GCGTCACGCGGCGCTCCCTTCCAATACCTCCTCCCTAGTTCCATTGCGCGCCAGGCCTATCTCTTTCCCAAGTGGAGTCGATCTTGGACCAAGTTTGCTGATAGCACGCAGGCCCTCAGCCATGGTCGGAGAGGAGAGAGAGCTTGTAGGGCACTGCCAGACCCAACCAGTTTCCCCTATTCCTGATCTGTGCTGTGTTCCCGAGAATCTGGGATGGGGATGGGATGGAGGGGGAAGGGGGATGGCGCAAGGGCCCAGTCCAGCCTTAACTAGCCCGCCGCTTGAGACAGGCGGGGAAAATTGTCAAGGGTCGTCGTCGAAGACTACCCGGTCCGCCTCTTCATCCTCCGTTCGCTGGGCGTTTGCGAGAGCGAAAGGAGGAAGATAATCTCCGAATTTTCCAAATCCGGGCGTAACCCGATAACGTCAGGGCTTGCTTTCTATGAAGGATGGAAACCAGTGAAGAAAAGTACAAGTTTCTTTTACGATTTGGCATGGATCTTCGCGTGCCTCGGCAGGGTAACGTCAAACCCTCGTTCGCCAAAGAAACGACACTATTTGGAGGGAGGGGAGGGTAATGATTTGATACAAGTACAATCAATCGGCGGTTGCTCCTTCGCTAACACAAAAGAATCCTTGGTCAGATTGCCAACTTGTTACCACTCAGTCTGGATGGCCAAGTCCAGCCCAGTTCGGCAGCTGCGGCTGGCAGGAACCCCACATCAACTCCTGGTGACCTCATGCCTCACCAGCAGCCTCTGGGCCAGTGTTCGAGATTGCCCACCTTGCTGACCGCTCGACCCCAATATCAACCATTCAAATTGATTGATCCCACCAATTCCACTCCACCCCTTGTCGGCCCCTCCACTCCCGCTCCAACCCCACCCGGCCTGCCCGGTTCGAAAGCCACTATCGAACCGCCTAGCCTCGGTCGAGATACAAAGCCTTGGCTTCATCTTCAGCGTGTCCTCATTCTGCCCCGTCATTCAAGGCGGAGGCCAGCTCCCATTAGGGTCACGCCCAAATATTTATGAGTGCATCAGCTTGAAGGCTACGCAGTGGTCCAAATCCCGGGACCAATCCATTGATCCCACGCCTCCTTCTACCCACACCTTGAGATCTTAACATCCATTCGAGGCTCTCGAGGATGCGCTTAACCACAATGTTCCCGAGGATATCGGCTCTTATCAAGCGGGTAGAATCAGCCCCATCCCGCCCGTGCAAACAGATCGCTGAGGGCTCACTCCTGCGGGACGGTTGATTGTTTTTGATGGACAGAGTGAAAGAACGCTTGCCTACACTGCGCATCAAGTGTCACCGAGTGATTACCCAGCAGACAAGACGTCGTACGGGCTGCGGAGGTGGGGACTGAATCAATGGATGGACCGCACACATTGCGAGTCAGCAAGTTTCAAGTTGTGGAATATTGCCGTGCGATTTCTCTGAAAATTTCGAAGCGGTTCCACTCTCAGCCATCACGAGAGAGGATAAAGGATGATCATCAACAGGCGCAATGCGACGTTGTGGGAGTTCTAGTGGCTCAAGTGCGATCCTGGTCTTGTCAGATTTGGCAGGTGAAGGGAATCTCTTCCTAAGGGAGGGGGGATGATTGACCGCCGACACCGCAACGAAAATGGTTGAGATTGCGTCTTCTTAAAGTAGACGGTCGCAACACATAATCTAACTTATTACCGTGTGAAACCTCACCGATGTTCATTCGGTGTCTGAGAAGCAGAGCCTAGGTGGCACCCGTTCATTCCCCTTCTATTATTTCCTCGAATCGGTTGCTCTCTGGCAGGGTGTACTTTGGACATTTTCCAGTGGCTTTCTATGCCTTCCGAAGTGTTATTCCCCGCCTGATTCGTTGAGATAGGCTCACCATTCCAACCCGGTCCTCACTTCCATGTTGTCACCCCCTCGGCCAATCTTGGGGGCTCATCGCAGGGAGGCCGTCAGCTTACTGGGGCGGCCAAGCCGGGGATGTGCAACCAACGTGGAAGGATAAACGATATTGAAGTGCGGCGGGAGATACCACGGTCCTGCAAGCCAGCTAACAAGCGCTACCTAAGCCAGAATTTGCAGTGCTTTGGGGTGTGTGCTAGGCTTGGCAAGGTCTATTTACGGGGGTACGAGCTGCCGTCCTCACAAGTATCAACCTTGAGAACACATCTCACACACGCACGCAAACAAACACACACACTCTTGATGGATCAACCATGCACGCACACACATAACATGCTGCTGAAGCGAGCGTACAGAGAATAGCAACTTGGCCTCACAAGGGGTCAAGGGAACATCTGCTCTTCCACGATCCGGTATCGACCAGGGTCAGAGAATTGCTCGGTTGGTTACACGACATGTAACACAAAGTTTGCTTCAAGCCATCAGCCTAGCAGCCGACACATCCACCAACGGGGGCGCTGGTGGATCTACTTTTCCCACGACTTTGTGATTGATCGGGAACGACCTGCCGGCGCAGCCAGCTACAGGTAGTAATTCATCCGCTAAACCACTTCCCGCAAGTGCAAAGGAAGGACGGCGTGGGGCCAAGGGAAAAGCAAGGAGGAAGATAATATTACAACATCGTCCATTTAACGCCGGTTTAATACTACATGTACTAAGTTGAGACCTCCCCCCTCAAAATACAGCCATCATGCGCTCTACAGACTCCGACGGGGATGAGGTTACGGCGGGCCACGAGAAGTCGGGAGGGTTTGGGAATACTTCGTTGACATGCTAGGCATCTGCAACGACGGTGAGTCGCTGCTGCGATAATTTCGTTTGACCGCATGGATGGGGCACAGCCTAAGCATGGCCTGCCAGGAAGGAAGACGGGATTTCGGAATATCGGGTCATGCCGCCTAACATGCCGGTGCCCTGTGCTGTGTGGCCTTCCGACTATTGTTCTCTCTGGTCTTAAAGTTCCCCCCTCCCTACACTAAGTCATCAGTGACACGGCGGTTTTTGGGGCACAGCACTATCCCCTTCAGGGTCGCTTGATGAGGTACAAAATGCTTCCTCCGCGTACATGTAGGGATCCCTTCCCTGTGCTTACAAGGATGGGTTGAATGTTTTCCAGGTGATCTTCTCAACACCAGGCACCAACCAAACATGTTGATCAAGTCATCACATCACCATGGATCAGTTGTTTTGTAGTGACTGCAACCACCAGCCACCAACCACCAACAGCCCACGGCAAAGCCAGCGCACCCAACAGGATACGAAGCCCTCCACTTGACACCCAAGCATCCTGCCTGATGAAGGATTAAGCTCAGCAATATTACCTTGTCAAGCGGGAGTGAGCACCCCCTGTCGCCTGTGTCACCCGAGTGGACTCACTGGCTCTCTCAAGTTCTTCTTATGCTGTCCTCAGAAGACAGACCGACATGATGGCTAACAGCTTAGGTTGTATTACTGCTAAGATACCAATGAGTTTTCTTATATGTTCAGTTATCTCTTTTCCCGAGGGAATAAGGGATGTTGAAATAGATGAATTGGGCGCCAGCACCCAGGGCATGGATGTTCTATGGATGAGACACGTAATAATGTCCCAGCGTCCTTGCGGAAACCGCACCCTCAGCTCCCCGAGGTCAAAATTGAAGGGTTATAGTGTCCTCGGTCAATAATCTCTTCGCCCGCCAGGCGACGACGACAAGATAAGCACGGCCCCAGGTTGTGTTTCTAAAACCTTGCCGCCTTTCCCCTTCTTTTACACGATAACTCGTGAGCTTGGGCTTGAACCCTGAAGGGCCCCCACCCTGCGTACGGCTCAATGCGAGGCGCTTAGAAAGTTTCCTTTCTTTGCATTCTTCCGTGTCGCGAGTGGCACAGTCACTTGTTTCGGCAGAATTGTCTATTCCTCTAGGCTCTGTCTGGCTCTGCATGTCCGGCTTTTGTTACTTCTTTTGTTTGGGGGTTGGTGAGTGTGCCCCCGTTTAAAGACACTCTTTCGATGCATTTTCTAGCTTTTGGGCCGACGTCGCATTCCTGCCGCCCCCGCACAGCAGCACAGACAGGCTTGACCCTCCTCCCATCTTGCACCCTCAATCAAGAGCAAGGGCAAGGGATGGATCAAACTTTCATAGTTTTGTTCCTACGATCTTATAGCGAGGCAGCTTTGCTTGTTCTGCCAATCTATCAGGGTGCTTGGTTTTAGAACAGTCTTCAGGTCACATACCAACACACTGCCCTTGCCAATCCACCTCAATCGCGCGCTCTTTGGCGACCCCAACGCAATCCGTTGTCTCTCCGTGCACTCATCAGCCCAGCCCCTCGCCTGTCCCTGTGGGTGAAAGAGCGTATCAGGGCTGCAGCCACTACCTAGGCCGCATGGATATCAAGTTGTGATGTATGCCGAGTCACACGATTCCATGCAGGGCCTATTACACTGTATCAACAAAAACTCTTAACATTTTTGCTTCTTTCCTTCCGCTGCCTTGCTTTTTATTCTTCTGTCTATCTTCTCCATTCTTTGCCTGATCGTCACGTAATCTTTTGCCCGCCCCATGTGCGGCCCGGATATGCAATCTATCAATCGGCCGAGAAGTGTTCGAGTGTGATAGGTCACCAAGTCTTTTCAGTATTATGGAATGTCTTAATATGACCAAGCTGTAAGCGGACCTAGGGAACGGCGCTGGGTGATCACGCAAAGTTCCTAAAATTGGTTGCGTTCCTGTATCCGTATGCCACGCGACTGTCAGCGGCTGCAATCAGCCGCACATACCAAAATGAACTTCTTCGAGTCTCGCGCCGTTCTTTTTGGCGACGCGCCTCGACTTAGAGGCACAATCACACATTCACGATTCGTCGCCAGCGAGCCTTCGAAATCTATCCCAAGGGTCAATCTAGAGTAGAATACTCTTAGATGCACCTAGATCACCTTGCTGGCCACAAGTACATGAGTTGATTGTCATTCCTCGTCTTGTCGGCCCTCCCGGACCCCGCGCCGCAACACAGGACCCAGTGTTCACGGCGCATTTGGCCTATCACCTCCTTAAACGATGGACGTCGACGATGTATCTAACATTAGCGGCTTAGTAGAAGATGTCGTGGCCGGTAAGAATCACGTACTCCTTTTTTTTTTCTCCCATAGGATCGCATGCTTTGTTTGTTTATTTTTCTTTTTCCCTTCCCCACCTTTTTCCAGGCCCCTCCATTCTAACACACTATGAAGCCTCCAAGGTGCCCGCCAAACGACGCGGGGCCCCCATCAGGCCCACCGTCGATAAGCTCGCTGCGGCGGCCTACGAGCGCGGCCTCCTGCCCGAGGCCCTCTCTGACTTGGTCGGCCTCCTCACGCGGCCGAATCACCTCGACCAGGCCAGCTTAGGCATTATCGCGCGGCACCTCTACCCCGCGTCGGCCGTGTCTAGTAATGTGATCCTCCAGATCGTGGGCTGCCTGGGCATCGGCGAGCTGAAACCCTCGCTACCCATCCAGGCCACCCTCCTCAGGTGGCTAGTCATGGTCTACCATGTCATTGACTCGCCCACCATTCTCTCACGGGCGTATCCTGTTCTGTTCAACCTACTTGATGTGGCAGCTATCAGGTATCTCCCATGTCTTAGCACTTCGCCCTTCCCCCCTCTCTCTTCCCATCCCTCCGTCCGCCTATACCTTTACGGGTCGAGCTTCCGCAAACGCATCTCCTAGTGTGAATGAGATAGGTCTAATCTCGAAGAAAATAGGCCGCAGATCTGTCACGTCCTGGCGCTCGTGACCCGGCGCAAGGATGTGCAACCCTTTAGGATACAGGCCGTGTAAGTCTAAGTCTCTCTTGTGAGCAGTCGTTGAAGCGTGGCTCCAGTCCAGCAACAAGACCTTTCGGACTAACATGCGCAAGACTGGAACTCTCACGTCAGACGGGCAAGGACCCCGCCCTGGTGGGGCTCTTGAGGGTGTACAAAGACTATTACCCGGAGATTGTCGTTGGCGACGCCGTCCGGGGAGGGCATCTGCTTTCAAGGTGCGTCGTCGTTGCTATTACGGGATCGAGTTACGGTCTCCTCGCTACTGGGTCCGCCCGGGGAACTAACCCGCTCATGCACCTAGCACCCCGACCTCGAATGGCGAATTCGGCTTGACGACATCCAAGCAGCTCATTCGCGCAAGTACGAAGGTGATGCGGCGACTGCTCGCCGCGGAGGCTTCCAGGTGCGCCACAAGTCTTTCGGTAGAGCGAAGAAGTCTACCATACCCCATGTGCGCACGGCGCACGCGACAGAGGTAAGTGTGACGAGAGGAGTCTGGCGCGGCCGCCGGCGGTAAGCTTCCGCCTATACTAACGAATGTTTCAGCAATCGGTCACGCTAGAGGAGATCAATGATGCCACAGCGTTTGTCGAGAACCTCGAGAAGATCATGCTGCCCAGTCAGCTTGTTGCCGTGTTAGCGGATCCGTTGCTCCAAAAGTTTCTGCTGCTGCGACCCAATGAGGAGGCGTTCACGCGGATTAGCAACTGGCTAGCGGGGTCCTTCGAGATATCCGGACGGGCGACGCGGATTCGAGCACCATCATCGACGTTCTCGGCGTGTTGCAGGAGTACGTCCACGTTAGCAAGGTAAGAGAGGACAAGCCTCGGCCCGTACCCTTGGTAGCTACCCCGGGGCTCATTTGCTGAATCGTCACAGAACGTACCACCTCTCGTTCTCAACTTTTTGTAGACTTCCTAAAGGTGTGGAACGGCCATGATGGACAGGACTCTGTCCTTGGAATCCTATCATATGTGCCGTTGCTGGAATTTCATAGTATGGATCAAGCCCTCTCCACTCCAACTTCGGTCTGCTTTCTCCTTGCAGACTAGCTAACGTTGCCTGTCTAGAGCTCAACGAGAACATATTTCTCCCTCTGGAGGCAAGTATTCTTGACAATAGCGTCAAATCTCAGCTAGCCCTCCTCCGGTTTTTCAAGGAGCTTTTGCGGTACTGGCACGGTCAGCTCCTCACCTTTGACGAGATCCCCGTACATGCGCCCCCTGCGTTCACAGCCATCGTCGACCGCGCGCACCAGCTCGCCCTCACGATTACGCAGACGAGCCCGACCATCACCGCGGAATTCGCCATTATCGAATTCCTAGAGCAGTACACGCAGACCCTGTCCCACGAGCGCCTGAGGCAATTTATCCCCATCCGCAACCCCCAGACTCCCTCATCTACACCCTCTTCTTCAGCCACTCCCTCGCCGTAGTCTCGCGCCTCTGCGCTGTGCTATCCGCCTATAAGCAAAACTTTCAAGCCGCTATGACCGCCAAGAAATCCAAGAGCCAAAGGCCGGGCGCGCAGCCCATCACGTCCTCCACCTACCCACTCCATTACATCAACCGCTTCAACGGCTTCCTCATGGACATTTGCAACTGCGTCTGGCGCATGCGCGGCTTCACCGACTCGGACCCCAACGCCCTCGGCTGCCTCGTACCGCGCGCCCGGGTACGCCTGCTCGAGCGCTACGTCGAGTCGCTCCCGGGCGCCGACGCCCCACTCTCCCTCTGTTTCGGACTCTCCCACTCCCCGTGCTCAGCCTACAGTCGATCCTCGCCGTGCGCGAGTTGGAAGACGAGGCCCTGGATAAGGACGGTCCGCGCGCCCTCGCGACCCGGCATCCGGGCCCGGTCACGCAGTCTAGCCTGGCACGCCTGCGGGAGACTGGTGGCTTGGCCCTCTCGTGGCAGGACTATCGCCTGGCTGTTCTAGCGAGACTGGAGGATACCGGTCTCGCAGGCATCCCGGATCTCATGAGAAATACAATGAAGATCTTGAAGACTGGTTCAAGGGTATCACAGGCGTCACAGGCGTCCGCATCGTCCCAGCGGAGATAGGAAGGCGATGGGACAGTTGGTTCGCACACGGATAATATTAGCCCGGAGTTGGTCGCTATTGCGGATGGGGAGTATTGGAGTCTGGCTGGTCTCAATAAACTACAAAAGTAGGGAGGGAGGGATATGTCAAGATTAAATAGTCGCTTTCGATTCAAATTCCTATTAATTGTAGGGCAGGGCGTAAGCAAGTGCTTATAGATAAAGGAGTCTCTCAGGACCCCCAAACAAGTCCCCCAAAAGTAAAAATAACTAAGGACAAGACAGTTAATAAGAAAGCAAGTAAACCTCGAAGCAGCAGAGCAGGCAGATAGAGACTGACTAACTAGCCGGTGGAATGTTTTCATATAAAAATTCTATCCACATTGTTTTGGTCTCAAAAACTCCAAAAAAGATGCGGTGACTCGGGATTGAACCGAGGACCTTCAGATAGACTGGAACCGAAGTAGACTTCAGTCTGACGCTCTCCCAACTGAGCTATCCCCGCTTTCTTGAATTACCAGTAGAATATCATCGACTATTAATTCAACCGACGGCCCCACTTTACCCTGCACTCGCCCTTCTACACTTTTAGGTAAACCAACCTTCGCCTACCCTCACTCATATTACTTACATCTTGCTGGTCACGACGAGTCTTTAGGTTGGCCTTATCATAACAAAGGAGGCTTGCTTGTTGCACTGGCTTCTCTATAATTTCCTTCCAGTTTAATTTTCCTAAACAAAAAAATGATAGAACCCTTCCCCTCCCTCTAGCATGTCAACTTCTAAACCTTTCTTGGCCGCTCCAACTCCAAGTGATCAAAACCCTTCAACTTCCCTAAGCCTAACGTGACCATCCATTGAAAAAAATGAAAAAAAAGAATACAGGGCTCCCAAATGTTTATGCGTGGGCTGCCTTTCCCTCATGCAGATACCACCTCTTCGTCCTAGGCGTCCTCGCCTAACTCATTGGACCACGCGGGATCGTTGATCTTCTCGCCGGGCCCGCTCTTGAAGTGGTAGCCCCTAGCCCTTGGCCTCTGACCAGTGGGTATAGGGAGTTCCGACTCGTAGGCGGCAGAGAATTTGGCGCGGGCTTCTTCAAAGGCGGCCTCGCCCTGCGCAAGGGTAGCGCGGATGGCCGCAAAGAACTCGCTCATGACGTGATGGTTGTGAATCTGGAGGAGGGTCCAACTGAGCATCTCGTTTGCACTTAGAAGGTGGCGGATGAAGGCCTGGGTATGGTTGGTGCAGGTGTAGCACGTGCAGCCAGGCATCGGGGGTCCGAGGATGCCGCACGCTCTTCGGGCCACATGTTGACGCCAAGGGGTAGGTGGCTGCTGGCGGAATCACGCGGGGGTGTGGTAGGAGGCTCTAGGGTAAAAGTGAGGGCGATGCCGTTGTCCGAGTTGTCGTTGATGAAGGGGATGAGGCACAGGTCGGCTCCGAGGGCGACTTGACGCAGGACGTGATGAGGTGTGGGAGGAGGCTGGAGGACGAGACGCGGAGGGGAAGGAGAGATCCATAATGGGCTAGCTCGGGGAGGATGTCGGCGTCGTAGATGGCTAGGCCGGCTAGAGAGCTGGCGAGGTCGTCGGAGAGGTGTTCGAGGTACTGCCACTGTATGGGACGCTCGACGGGGGAATGGGGGCGAAGACGGCGACGGCCTCGGCGACGGCTGGGTCCGCGGCGCGCTTCTGGAGAAAAGTGTCGACCCATTCCTCGGTGCGATCCACCATGCGGATGAGCTTCTTGGAGTTGGGGGTCGCGCTCGTGTGGGGCAGGTCCACGAGCGGGATGGCGATGTCGGGCCGCAGCACGGCCACCTTTCGCTGTACTCGGTCACGGCGACGTTGCGGAAGCCGGTGGAGGAGAAGACCTGCACGTGCTGGTTGCCGTTGCCTAGCGGGGTGGTGACGGGCGGTATCCGCCGCGCGCCTAGAATGATGGTGTGGTCCTTGGGAAAGGCAGTGAAGGCTTGCAGGGGCCGTGAGCGCGCAGATGGCGTCTGGTACACTGGAGGACTAGGTTTCTCAATAACTACCGAAAAAGATTTTAGTGGCTATTTTTTTCTCCTTTTCCTTTTGATATCTCTCAATTTGTTTATAACACGATACCCGACATAGAACGAGGGTCCGTTCCTCGTGGATGAAAAGAAGAGAAACGTGGAAGAGAGGGATTGTGGGAGGGGATCGCGGTTTTGGTGCTTACAATCCTCTAGGGCCATGTAGGCCGACTCAAATGAGGTGTGCTTCATGATAATATCGGGTGTAAGGTGAGGTAGTGTGCCTCGAGATGTGACACCAACGAAGGAGGGTGTTTGCATGGGGAGCCTCTGAGGAAGACGGAAACTGCCCAACCTCGGCCCTACGCCGCTTCCCACCAGGGACTTCAACACCTGGAACCCCATTTCTTCTTCTGGTCCTTGAGATGAGGGGCGGTTCCCCTCACTCATACTGGAAAGATGGTGGGCGAGATTCAGCTGCTATCTGTGGTGAGGGTGATAGTTGAGTGGAGATTGTTTTTCGGGGTAAGAAAAATCGCTGGCAAATGAAAGTTACGATTTGCCTCTCCTCCCCGGAATTTTACAGAAGGGTGAGACTACCTGGTTGGTGCAATAGCTGCTAATTCCTGGTAAAGAACTGGATAGAGCAAGAATTTATCTTCTGAGCCCCTTTCTCTTTCTTTTTTTTTTCTCCTCCTTTCTTCTTTCCCTCTCTGTTGCCTTTCTAGACCTTCAAAGCTGCAGCCAATATCAGCGCCGTGGTGGGTTTGTGAGTTGAGGTTGAACTCGTGAGCAAAGCTTAGCCCCCGGTCTTGGTCAATAATTTCGTGAATTCAATATTGAATGCAACTATCAGTCTATATGGTGAAAGTGGGACAGATCACCCCGATAAGGAATTGCTGATTCAGGTCCTGCCGAGCTCCGCTTGGCGTTATGCACTAGGAGCCAATGGCGGCAGGGACACCCCACCTGTGGGGAATTCTGGCCCTCCCATTCCTGAACGAGAGGCGGGTTTGCCCAGGATCGGAGGAGGGGGAACCTTCGCCTCTTTAAGCTCAACCCGAGACAGCACCGGTTGCACGCAACTCGCTCGGCAACCAGCCAGAGGAGGTTCTTCTGCGCCCTACAAACTGCCTTGCACTCCGGCCGTACCGAACCAAAGGAAGCTAAACGGCGCCCCAGCACCACTTTTTTTCCCTCCGTGCAGCGAATTGGGGCAGAGCCCAGCTCAGCAACTGTTACTTTTGTCTCCTGGACTGACAAGAACAAACTCAATCCTGGATCGGCCTTCTTCTGCTTATCCTTTTCTTTTCTCTTTTGTCATATTCCCTTATTTCTCTCTCACCTTTGTAACCTGCTGCTTTACGCATCTTCCGCCACCTTGATCCTTTTCCCGCGAGCTCAATCTTGATCGCTCGTTTGCTTGTCACGCCGTCCGGAGCAGCCGGGATTGATCATTGCTGGAAGCGAGACGCATAGTAGGATCGACTCCAAACACGACAGGCTGACACGCACGCAATCCGTCCCTGTTCCTTCCTTTCCCTCCCATGGCCGGATAGGGTAGCCCCCTGAGCAGGACCCCCAGACCAAAAAGAATTTAGCGAGTTCGTCGCTCTATCATTTGTTACCACAACAATTATGGTGCGTGGTGTTTCCGACGAATCGACCCCCTCATGTCCGACGTCCAACGCCAACCCAACAACCCCGATGAGGACCACCCCGACGCACCGATCCCCGACCATACCTCCCGCCTCGAGATGGCGGACTCGGACGACACGACCGGAACCGACGAGGTGACGGCCCAGAAGAAGCATACCTGGGTGCCCTTTGCCGTGCGTCGACTCTGGAAGTCGACGGTTGCCTGGAGCCGGGGTCCGGCCCCGGCCAGCTTCCGCTACACCATCACGCCATTCTTCCCCGCGTGCAAACGCTGCCGCTCTACCTCGTCGACCGATTTGTCCCGCGCAAGAAGCAGCGCATCGGTCTCGTCGCCTTTTTCTTCGCCGCATGGATCGTCACCTTTGCCCTCGTCAAGCGACAGGAGGTGTTTGCTAGCGAAATCGAAGGGTGGGGCGACCCGCAGACCATTAGCTGCGGCGCCACCTACTGGGGCCGCGGGAACAATTGTGGTGTCAACGGCGACGACTGTCGGCCCTTCAACGGGACGGGGTTCCCGTTCCGATGCCCCGCCAACTGCCGCAGCTATCACGCGCTGAACCCGAGGGCGGTGGGCAATCAGAGCGCCATCTATCGACCTCTGGTCATCGGAGGACCGCCGCAAGGGTCCAACGAAGACGCCATCTATCGCGGAGACTCGTATATTTGCGGATCCGCCATCCACGCGGGCGTCATCTCCAACGACGAGGGAGGCTGTGGCGTGGTTACCCTCGTCGGAGGCCACCAGGAGTACGCCGCCTCGCGACGGTCGGGTATCGATAGCCTGGGATTCGATTCGTACTTTCCCCTTTCCTACACCTTCATTGACGAGATCAAGTGCAGAGCCAAGGATATGCGCTGGCCCTTGCTCGCCATTTCCGTCGTGTTCACCGTGATCATGTCCCTCTTCACCTCGTCGTCCACCCTCTTTTTCTTCACCTCGTTTGTCGGCATCTTTTGGCATGTCGGGCTCGCATCGGACCCACCGCGGCACTACTCGATTCCGGACCTCATCTCGAATCTGCTGGGCAAGTTCCTGCCTGCCATGTTTTGCGCATGGGTCATGTACGACAAGATGGGCGTGCGACGGACGCTCAAGGGCCTCACGGCGCAGATCGAGAAGACGGTGCTTTGGCTGGGCGCGTGCTGGGTCGGCGCGCTGGAGAACTACACTTTCAACTGGATTCCCATCCAGAGACTCAACAAACACGACCTCCAGCAGCAGCCCGGCGCCCGGGGCGCGCTCTCAGCCATCATCATAGTTCTGCTCGTCATCGTTTGCTCGCAAATCTACTTCTTCCGCCAGGAGGGCCGCCTACTCAAGTACCTTAGGTTGTACGCGCTCTTTGTCCTGTCCATTGTCGTTTGCCTCGTGCTCCCAGACCTAAACCTCCGGCTCCACCACTATATCCTCGCGCTGCTCTTCCTACCCGGTACCAGCCTCCAGATGCGGCCCTCGCTCCTGTACCAGGGTCTCCTCATCGGCCTCTTCATCAACGGCATCGCGCGCTGGGGCTTCGATCCCGTGCTGCAGACGGACCTTGCGCTCCAGGGCGATGCGCAGCTCGGCACGAAGCTACCCACGATCCTGGAGCCCGAGATTCGGCTCAACGACGCCAACGTGTCCACCATTACCTTCCACTGGGAGGACCCCGAGGGCATCACCTACGACGGCCTCTCCGTCCTCGTCAACGATGTGGAGCGCTTCCGCGGGTACTATGATGATGCGACGACCAAGGTGGACACGTTTACGTGGGAGAGGAAGCACGACCTCGGTCTCAACGAATACTTTCGGTTCGGCTACCTCGACGGGCGTACTGGATTGGATTACACCAAAGCGGGCGTGTGGACCTCGGATGGAGAGTGGGTGCAAATGGCACCCGGGCCTTCGAGCATCGAGGGTATGGGAGAGGTGGAAGAGGAAGAGAGTGAAGACGCAGGTGCTGTCGCTCGCAAGTTGCGCAAGTGAGCCCCTCGCCGGTTCTCTCTTTCCTCTCTCTCTCTCTCTCTCTCTCTCGCCCTTACTTGTTAACAACTTCTGTATCTTTCCAAGAGGGCTTTTTATGTTTACTAGTTATTTCAAGGGTTGTCTTTTTACATAAAGAAGAACGCCATACAATCTTTTGGCTGGGCTCTGGTTTATGATATCAATTGGGTCAAACGGGAGTCTTGTCGTCTATTTTTCCAGTCAGGTTTTCCAGGGGGCGCAACTATGTTCTAGTTTTCGAAAAGCAGGGGCCCAACCGTTCTCGTTGGGACCAAATTCCTGTTTTCTTTCTTTCGGTAGTAAACTGAAAAGGGCCGTTGCTTTTGTCCCTTTTGATGTCAAATATCGATGCTGTACGTTAATAGCCCCAGAAAAACAGAGCAGGGGTTAAATGTTAGGATAGTCTACTTTGTCTATCGTGCAGATGGGTATATATTATTCCTGCTCACACATCGGTTGTGCTTAACTGTAGCGCAGTTCTCAACAGACCCCTAGTCTTACGATCAGCCACGCATGCAACGAACCAAGTGATTAAAGAGATGAGGAGCGAGGACACTTGCCCTCATCCTTGTTTCGAGCCAAGGACAGCCTCTCCGATGACCTCAACTAGGGCCGCGACCTCTCCCGCATCGACCTCGTCCGTTTCCCCAGCCCCGATACACGAGCTATGGAGCCAGACGCGGTTCGCGGCCCCCGCGGCTTCGAGAAGAGCGGCGGCGCCCGAGGCCCTCACTCCGCCGCCAATGAGCACATCAAGGCGTCCGGCGGCGGCGCGAATGAGGTCGCCAAGGCGGGCGAGGTTGTCGGAGGCATTGCCGGGCCCGCCCGAGGTAAGGACGGCGTCGAAGCCGCAGGCGAGGAGGGCGTCGATGTGGTCCTGAACGGACGCGCATTCGGGACGGGCGAGGAGGGAGTCGAAGGCGCGGTGAAAGTGCAGCCAAAGGGCTTGGCTTCGGTAACGAGCCTGGCGTTGGCGTCGGAGTCTAGTACAACGGCGGCAGAGGAGGAGGAGGAGGAGGGGCGGAGGATGCCGAAGACGAAGCCGTCGCCGCGGGAGGGGTCGAGGAGCCCTGATGCTTTAAAGTGGCGGATGCTGGCGAGCATGGCGTCGATCTCGGAGGGGAGTAGAGGAAGTCCGGGGTGGGTGGGGGAGGGGCCCGCGGGGTCGGATCATGATGCGGAGGGGCACGGGGAGGGACCGGGAGGAGGAGGAGGAGGAGAGGAGGGAGGCGAGGGCGGATAGGGGTGGGGTGAGGCCGCCGGCGGGGTAGGAGCCCGGGGCGTTGAGCTCGAGGCGGGTGGCGCCGTGGGAGAGGGCGGAGGAGGCGGAGGAGGGGGAGAAGATGGGGATTTCTAGGTTGATTTGGGGCATTTTTTATTTATTTATCTTTGTTCCTTTTGGTTTGGGATAGGGGATAAGGGTCAGCGGGGGACGTTGTGTTTTTGGACTCTTTGGAAAACGTGGGAATCGAGTATTAATGATGCGGAAGTGGAGGAATTTGATGAATATCTTCAGAGTTTGAAAATGAGTAAGTACCTGCTTCCACTTTCTCACGTCTACCTTTTTTCTTGCGATATAGAGCAACGACGTTACCATTCGGCGCGCCGTACGCGGGGTACATGTAACCTTTTGCATTATATTTCGGCACTTCATCCAAGCTACCACTTACTCTCTTGGGTCCTTCACCTTTTTTTTTTTTTTCGTCTCTCTCCTGGCGTCAAGTTCCATCACCATGCCGCCCAAGATCGCCACCAAGGCGGATTTTGCCTCTCTCGCGCCGGCACTCCACGTCGCCGTCTCCTTCCCCTCACCCCCAGAATCCACCACCGCCTTCCTCGTGCTATTCCACGGTTTCGGCGACAACGAGGTCTCCTTTGCCAACTTTGCCCGCGGCATGAACCTCCCGGGCGTCACAGCCATCGCCGTGCGGGGCCCGCCGTCCTCCCGCCCAGCCTCCTCCCCGACGCCTCTTCCCCTGCGGCGGCGGCGGGAGTGGGCGCGGGGCCGACCCATTTCCACTGGGGGACGACGTGACGCTCGACCCGGCGACGGAGGACATTGCCGCGGATCCCGGGTTCGACCGCGCGGGCGCCGTGGTGTTGGACGTGCTCGTCAAGGGCCTCTTGATCGAGAAGCTGGGCTGGGAGATGGACGACGTCATTCTCTTTGGTTTCGGGCAGGGGGCTCCTTGGCGCTGGGGCTGGCGGCCCGCGTGGCGAATCCGCCGAGGGTCGAGGAGGAACGAGAGGGCGCGGGGCCTGGGCGCGCGAGCGGCGGTAGCGGCGGCGGCGGCGGCGACCGGGGACGCTCAAGGGCGTGGTCTCGATTGGGGGCCCGCTGCCGCCGTCAATGGTGTCGACGTTGAGCGGGCGGAGGAAATCTAGGAGCCCGGCCCTCATGGTCCAGGTCGGGGCCGAAGACGTGGAGTACGCCGAGAGGGAGTTTGAGAGCGTGCGCAGGGTCAAGTGGGGGAGGAAGGACGTGGATATGCCGCGCACAAGGGAGGAGATGTACCCGATCATGGCGTTCCTCGCCGAGGTACTGCGTCCGCCTCATTCTTTTGGTAGGTGAGGAAGCGGGGGATGAGCACGGGGAAAAAGGACATCTTATTGGGGGTGGGGGTGGTTCAAGACTTTAAATCCAAGGACATTAGGAGCAAGCACGACATACGTAGGAAGATGCGAAGGTACGGGTTATGATAGAGATGGCGAATGGCCATCAAAGGACCTTTAGCTCGCCCGTCATGGATTCCACATTAAGAAAGCCAGACGTGGAGGTGTCTATACACTTAAAGTATCTAATCTACAGGAAATGGAAAATAGGACCAAGGCAAAGATGAAGTAAACACTTGCTAGAACCATTATACATATACACTCGTACAAAATTTCTTCGACATCTCACGCCTCGCGTGCCTCATACATCACATCGCATGCTTGCCAGGGGATACGGAGCCCCAAAGCGCGTTGGGGGCCGGGGTATCACGAGTCGGCGGGTGGATTTGGCTGATATCCTCTCGCCCAGATGGTCCCGACAAACTTTCTCTCCAGCTTCGAAAACTGCCAGGCCACCCAAAGTCAGTTTGAAGCCAAGAGCAGGCCGTGGTAGGTGGGGGTAGTTAAGTCCCGATTCCTCAGGGGCTAGACTTACCATGCTTTTCTTAGCCAGAGGAACAACACCGTCCTTGACCCAAAGCCCCAGGCCCCCATCATGTTGGCCATCATGATGTCGGTCGTCAGCCGGTCGCCGACAACGGCGATTTGCGAGGGGCTCGTCACGCCCGTCTCGGGATGCTTTCGGAAGTACTCCATGACCTCGGAGCCGCAACCGGGTTTCTTGTCCGAGTGCGTGAGGACAGGGATCCCCGTCTCCTCCTCGAGCGCCTGGGCCATTTTTCTCTGAGGATCCCAAGACGTGGCGCCCGACGTGTTGGACACGATCAAGAGGCGCCTTCCCGGGTATGCCTTTTTCAGGGCTTCAAAATGTTGCTAAATGAGTTGGTGTGAGTGGAAGACGCGCGCGCGCTGGAGAAACGAGGCTCTACCGCCTGAGAAACGGAGGAGCTTGGATGGCCGCGTACCTTGTAGGGCTGATACACCTCATTGGAATCAGGTATAGCGAAGCAGTCATCCTTATCGAGGACGACGGCGCGGATGTCGACCTTCTTCCCCTGTTGCTTGAGCACGGAATCGAGAGGAATGGGCAGGTCCGTAAAGGTAGGGACGGTACAATGGGGCAGACACAAGTAGGGCCTCGTTATGAGCTTGAACACGTTGATCGAGGCTGACAGATTGAGATTGAGCCCCATTTTCTCCGATTTTGCCACCTGCCTCGCGCCCTTTTAAGCGAATAAAGGAGATATAAAAGTCTGGGGGATCTTGGGTGGGATCTTGATGGTGTGAGGTCGCCCTTGAGATCAATTTTGATACTAGTCTAAATTCAGAGGACGTCTGCGAGCCGAGAGCACTGAAAAGCACCCCGCCGCCTTCCCTCAATTGACTGTGCTGCTAATAGCTGTGCTGTGCCGTGTGCTGACTGAGCTGAAAAAGGAAAGAGTTTGGAAAGTTCCTAGCCCGCCTGTCCATCACTGTCCATCGCTGGTGGGCAATGCTTGAGCTCGCCCCCAATTCCAATTGATTGACCCATCCACAAAGGCTGCATGCAGATCGCGTTCCATCCATTCAGAAAGCTCCAACTCAACGCGCCCGCCAGAAATATCGAACAGCTCCTGTGCACCACAGAATTATCCACGCCCAAACACCGCTTTTTCTTTCCTTGCTCACAGCCACCCTCCCACAACCTAAACTGGATGTTGGCTTAAATTCGACACCCTCCGAATAGAGCTATTCCTCGCTGTCCTCTGCGCCCTCATCCCCTTCATCCAGCAATGCCCAGGCGGAAACCGACAACTAAGGTGGTGGAAGAGGAGGAGGAGGAGGAAGAAGAAGAAGAAGATATCGATGGCGAAAACGGAGGATCGCGACCGAAGCGAAAGCGCAATCCTTCACTCAAGCTTCGCGAGATCGTCGAGGATGGGGACGTGATCGTCGCTGCCGCGCCCAAGCGCAGGAAGTCCGCGACCACCGACGACGAGGAGATGACCATAGACCCGAGCCCCGTCGAGTCCGATCCCGAACCACAGCCGGCCGCAACGCCCAAGCGGAAAGGCAGGCCGCCCAAGTCTGCATCCGCCTCCGCCGCCGGCACGCCGACGGGGAAGAACGCCGAAACACCCTCGCGGCGGGGCAGGCCGAGCAACACGGCCGCGATCACGCCCTCGCGGCTGCTCGACGGCCACGGCATCACCCCGAGGAGGCGCAGCGCCGCCGACCGCTCCGCCCGCAAAAAGAGCATGCGCGCCCTCATCCGCAACGTCGTGGACGACGAGAGCAGCGGGGACGAGGAGCAGGAGAGGCTCGCCCGGCGAATCTACGAATCCTCGGACGACGACGACGACGACGACGCTGACGGCGAGGGCAGGCGGAGCGCGAGGGACACCGACGCCGACGCCACCGATGCCGCCTCTGCCACGGAGCCCGATACCCCCTCGAAGCGCACGCCGGGCCGCCGTCCGGGCCGCCCGCGCAAGGTGAGGTCGCCCTCGCCGCCGCGGCACTTGCCACCGCACGAGATGTACTTTTTCCACAACAAGCCCGGCAAGGCCAAGACGTCAGACAACACGCTGGGGTCGTCGGGCCTGCTCACGCACGACGAATACTTTGGGTTCTGGCGAGACTACGAGAACCCCCACGCCGAGAACCTCGCGTTCCTCGAGTCCATCCACCTCGCCTCCTTCCCCCAGTGGGAGTTTGAAATGTCCGAGGGCTTCACCGTCTGCCTCTACGGCATGGGCTCCAAGCGCTCCCTCCTGCGCAAGCTGGCCGCCCACATGCACGCCGCCAGGGTCCCCGGCGAGGACCTCAAGATCGTCGTCGCCAACGGCTACGTCCGCACCGTCACCCCGCGCGACATACTCTCCGCCGCCTGGTCCGCCCTCCTCCCGGACACCCCGCCCCCGCCCAACCCCTCGCCATCCTGCAAGGCATCGCCGCCCACCTCGCCGACGACCCCGCCGCCTCCCTCGTCCTCCTCGTCAACTCCATCGACGCGCCCCCGCTCCGCAAGCCCGCCGCCCAGGCCCTCCTCGCCCAGCTCGCCGCCCTGCCCCGCGTCCGCGTCGCCTGCTCCGCCGACACCCCCGATTTCCCCTCCTGTGGGACGTCTCCTCCGCTCCGCCTTCAACTTTGCCTTCACGACGCCACCACCCTCGTCCCTTCACCGCCGAGCTCGAGGTCGTCGACGACGTCCACGAGCTCCTCGGCCGCGCCGCCCGCCGCGCCGGCGGTCGCGAGGCCGTCACCTTTGTCCTCAAGAGCTTGACCCAAAACGCCCGCAGCCTCTACGCCCTCCTCGTCGCCGAGGTCATCACCGCCCTGGATGAGGGCGGCGGAGCCGGAGGCGAGGACAACCCCGGCCTCGAGTACAAAACTCTGTACAACAAGGCGGTAGAAGCCTTTGTCTGTCCTAGTTCCGAGATGGCCTTCCGGCAGCTTTTACGAGAGTATGTAGCACCTGCTTGAAATTCTGTTTCTATTATCTCCCGTGCATCTATAATTAACTCTTGTTGCCCTAGATTCCATGATCACCAAATGATTACAAGCACCAAAGACGCCCTTGGTACGGAGCTCATCAGCGTGCCCTTCCGGCGGGACGAGTTGGAGGCCATCCTCGAGGACATTGAGTCGTAGGTTGTTGTACATAACAACATCTCGTTGGGGAAAAGGTGGAAACAAAAAGAGGGTGTGAAAGAAAACAAAAGAGTTTGACGTGTACGATTATATCATGACCTGCCCAGCGTTTTCCTTTTGTCTAGCTGTCCACTTGTTCTTTTTAATAGTCTTCATCAGTTATACACTTGCATATTTTTTTGGTTTTCTTTTCTGTCCACATGACTAGGGGCGTGGGACGCTAGAGGGGACCATAGTCTTCATCAGTCTGGCGAGCGCGTTGCGCGTCTCGAGGTAGGAAGTGGGAACGGCATATCTGAAAGTCTCAGGCTTTTTTATAGAATGATAGATTATTAGCGATCCGACTCATCCTCATCCATAGACGCACATATTTTCTAGCAACCAAACGCATACACGTAGGCCTCTCCCTAAAGAGATTTTCCTACTCCTATATCTATCGGACCAGATTCCTCCATCAGACAAATCCACCACACCCATCATCGATCATAAAGTACTGCTTCATATATGCTGTAAAGGGGCAAGACTAGGCAACAGACATAGTGCATATCGTCAATCATGGGGCGAGATTGAAGAAAAGAAAAAGAACAAAATGATCAAGGTGTACGAGTCCCGAGGCTTCTTTGTCAAAAGAAAAGTTGTTAAACCACCATTCCTTCCCCCATATCCCATCCCGAGAACGCCGTGGCCAAAGTACAAAAAGCTTTCCGTGACACCACCCTTTCCCGTCGCATTTTCTATATCTAGATAGAGTTTGGAGTTCGTTTACTACAAGCTCCGAAATTTTCCATGTTTAGAGGGAAAAAAAGGGGGTTTAAAAGGTAAAAGTAGAAAAAAGATTACGAGGTGGAAAATACCAAAGCTATTCATCAATGCTTAAACCCCCAAGCTCTTGACGCAAGTCCATAGTACAATCGGCACAATGACATTGTCATTGCCGCCGGTGAGCACCGCCTCCGTCAAGCTCGCCGCGGAGGCGCACACTCCGGCGTTGCGTACCTCGGCCAGCCAGCCGAGCGGCGCTCCGCCCGTGACGGGCCACCGGCCCACGCGCAGCCACGCGCTGGCTGAGATGAGGCCGACGAAAACGGCAGTCGCAAAGGCCGCGCTCCCTCGAGGCTCTTGCCGCCACCCCACACCCATTTGCGGTGGCCCCATCGCCTACCGATGAGCGAGGCCGCCGCGTCGCCGAGCCCGACGCAGATGACGCCCGAGACCATGCTGACTTCGCGCGTGGGGATCTCCCAGCCGGCGAGGAAGCCCTCGCCATTACGCGGGAGAGAAGCCAGTGTCAGCCACAGCGATGGCGCAGCCGATGAGCAGAAAGATGTGCGAGATGACGACAGGCCCGCGAAAGTCGCGCCCGTCAACGTACGGGGCGAGGAAATTGGCAATGGGCTTCGACAGGGGCGGTAGCTGGCTTGCGCGCAGCAGGTCGAGTATGAGGAAGGACGCAAGCGCCGCCGACAGGGCCAGCGCCGCAAACGCCGGGTCCACGTAGGTTGCCGGCAAGAGCATGCCCACCATCATGAAGTGGAAGACCTTGCGACGGGTATCCACTTCGTAAATATCCTTTAGGCGGTATACAATGACGAGCCCAAAGACAAGGATTATGAACCAGTAGCCGAGAATCAAGAGTCTCGTGTTGGCTCCGCCAAAGGTTTCGAGGCGTATGTGCTGCACCCAACCCTGATGGCAGAACTGACCGGGCCCAGCGTCGGGGCGAGGAGGCAAACGGACCCAGTGGTCCAGGTTTTCGCTAACCACCTGGAACCGAAACCAGTTGATGTTGCCCAAGAGATACCCCAGGGCCCAGCCAATGGCCTCGGCCCCGTCGAGGGCAAAACGTGAAATATAACTTCGGATACCGAGGAGAACGATGCCGATGATGCATGCATAGACGTAGCCCGCATAAATCCACTTCCTCAGGGCGGCCTGAGACTGCGTCAGGCTGAAGAACGCGCGCACAGATGTTGACATCGACCTTTCTTGCGCCCGGCCGCCGTGTGCGTCGGGTATACTTTTCGGACTCGGGTCGCGACAGGCGCAAAGGGGAATGTGTTTCTTCGTAATGAGACCCGCTGGTTGGCAGCCGGTTCCGCAGCCTCGGCACTGGCTAGCAGAGTAGCCTCTTCGGCGTCGAGGGGCACGTCTCGGTTCACGGCAAACGGCGACGGAACTCTATGCTTTGCCGACGGCGAGTTTACTTCTTCGTCGTCGGAAGATGGCCAAGGCCGAATGGAGGCCGAACTAGGAGCCATCTGGACCCGACCATTAACACCCGCTTTGTTTAAAGACTGCTTCCGCCAAAGGAGTTGGCGCATCAGTCTGGCAAAGCGGGGTTGGGCAGGCTGCAGGGCCTCGCGCTTGAACCGCCACTTGGGCACCCGGGCCAACGCTATTCCCCAGATGATGACCCTACCGCACGAGACGAGCACACACAGCCCGCCAATCCATAAGAGCGCCTTGAGAATTCTCATTTGGGGAGATGAGGTTAAGAGTAAAAGGTTAATGAGGGCGATTGAGAAAAGCTCGAGCTCGGCCGGGAGAAGACTCGTGGTTGTGAGGTGGTGGAGTACTTGGCGCAGGCATTTGTGAAGGGGATAGAGAAGGACGGCGATCCCCGGCGCGATATGGTGAGAGTCCACGAGGGACCAGGCCGGGTCTTCGGCGGGTATGTAAGGGGCACCCCGGGACGTTGCGTAGAAAAGGGGAACACAAGTAAGGACCCAGTGCACAGTATTAAAGCATTGGTCGGAGAACGTAAATGGTATAAGTTGCTCCGGGATAGAGCAGAGACAGAGCATGATATTGGGTAAAACGAGGCTCGGATTGCCGCTCGCGAGGAGGAAGGCGGTGAGAACTGTAATGGTTTGAGGGTATAAGAGAGGAGCAGGGTCGAATTGCACGGGGACTTTGAGGGAGATTCTCCGTGTTGGAGAACGATGGACAAGGGCCCACATCATCAATCGCAGGGGGTATAGGGCAATAAGGATGCCAAAAAGAGATAGGGCGACGATGCATTCTACACGAGGTATTCTTTATTAGCATAGGTGCGCAATACTGCAGGCAGAGGCGCCGATTCGTCTCCTCTACCCAAATGCAAAGATAAGATCTCACCTGGAAGCCACAGTTTCCTTAGAGGCTGCACACTGCGATTTGAGAGCACCATCATGCCGAGCCCCGCCAGCAAAGCAACCTCGACATATCTCCTGGCAACGTGGCGGGCCTGGCGAACCCTATCCGTGCCGAGCCGTCGGTCGCCCTGGATGGCCTGGGGCAACTTTTCGCCGAGCTCCTCGACGTGGTGGTGCGGGATTGTGGGGGATAGGAGCGGGGTGGACGCGCCGGACAAGGCCTCGTTTCGGCCTCGCAGGCCCTTGTGCGGCTTGGCGCGGGGTGCGGGTAGGCCCTGAGGAAGTGCTCGTCGTCGGCCTCGGTGCCGCTATCGCTCGCGAGGGGCGAGCCCCGGCTCAGGCGCGGATCGGAGCTCGACCGCGAGCTCGACGTCGTGCCGTCCTCCTCCTCGTCGTCGGGCGGCGTGAGCACGACGGCGCGCGGTCGGCCAGCCGCATGATTGAAGCGGTGGGTTGGGTGGGGAGCTCGAAGCTCTGGCGGTGATAGGGGTGGGGGAGCGGGAGAGGAGGCGGAGGTTGGAGTCGTCAGGGCCGTCGAGGGCGTGGGAGGCGCTGGCGCTGGCGCTGGCGGAGGCGGCGGCGGATTGCCATGTCGGGTGCAGGTGCTCAGGTTTGGGCATGGCGGGGCCTTTGCACCATTGAGGTCTGCGAAGACGTTTTGGGCATGGGAGAAGGGTGGGAAAGTCGAGGGCAAAAGGAGACGGCGGGCGGCTTTCCGAGCTATTCGTAGGTGCTGCGTGGGTGAGCGGGACGAGGTGGGAAAGCAGTCGTGTCGTGTCGTGGCTCGATCAGCTGCTAGTGAGACCGTTCAATCGCTCCAATGGCTTTATCGCTGTCCGATTCCAATAAAGGGGGACGATTAGGATTAGGAAGAAAAAATTAGGTCGAGGAAGCTGCGAACTAGTTGCTCCCCGAGGACATGGTAAATGGGTCCGTCCTCAATCAGGCCAGAACCGTCGACGAGCTTAGTTGGAGCACAATCACATGAATGTCATTTGAAAGGTGTGATGTTGGGAACATGGCAGGGCGGCTCTAACGAGTACACGTTACGACATTGGGAAATAATAGCCCGATGGCCAAGGTACTTGCAGCCTCTTGCCTAGCCTGGAACCTTGTCTCGCCAACTAATCACTTTGCATGGCGTAAGCACTCGGCTCCCATTGCACTGTTTTCAATAGCCCCTGGCGGCACCAGCATCCACCAGTCGAATACCCCTGGCGGCTTGCCTATCAAGGCCCAATTAAAATCAGGGATTCAAACCTCAGTGTCACAATCTGACACCTTTCCCATAGATCCATCTCTAGAGCCCAAAATTCACATGCTAGGAGGATTATGTAATACGTTGAATACAGCTCAGCCCATCAACGCTTCGAGATCGATTGATGCCCGCAAAATTGGGTTGAGGGGACTGAGCTGGACCCTTTTCGCGGTTCCTGAATGTTAATATTTAGAATTTGGTCCGGACACACCACCGCAATCCACCTATTGGGTGTTCTTGTCCCTCCCGGCCAAGAAATTGAACAAAGCCGCAAAAGAGAGCGAGGCTGGAGGCGAGAAACCAGTGACCAAATATCGCCGAACCAGCCCAAACACCTGGGACAACTGGCAGTGTGGAATGGCTATGGATAGGTGTGGAGCAGTGGATCGACGCCGGGGCGAGCGAGAATTCCGAGGCGAAGCGATCCAACGGTCCAAGGCAGGCATTCCACCTCGGATCTCTCTCTCAAAAGCATGTGCTTAGGGCTCGCACATCTACCCTCAAGAACAAGCTTCCAATTTTCCTTTTTCTCAAAAGGAAACGCCCTCATGTTCCCTCTTCACGGTTCTCGGTAGGGAGACGTAGGCTAGAACCCGTTGATTCGACTTGAGGGCATTTTTCAGCAAGTGCCAAGACTTTCACACCAGGCCATTCTTCCCGAAGCCAAGACATACGCGCGCCTGGCGACGCTGTTACTCAGCCCTGGTTGCTTGCTCTTTGCTACAATGGATGTAGGCAATGCACATCCGACACGTCATCGCAAACCCGGAAGTCGTCCGTTCTTGGGGTTCTTGGGGGCCGCAGGGAGGGAGCCATCCACGCTCCATTGCAACCCCAGCACCGACTCTACGGAAAGTCTTTTCGAAAGTCCGGCACAAGTCTGCGGAATGCCCTGTACGTATCGTGGCCCCCTCCCTCAAGATGCTTTAATTACGAGTTAAGACAGATGGACGTGACACGCCCTTGTCAACGTACTTGTACGGCATCTGCAGAGCGTGAGAAACAATGCACAATCTTACAGCCAAGAAACATGGCGGTCACTTGTGCTGCTCAAACATGAAACAAGCCGCTCTCCTAGAGGCTTGCCTTTACACACTCGCCGGGTTGAAAAAGAACAATACGACGGGCAAATAAAAATTGCAGGGACGCAGAAAAGGTGGGCGTGCTAGGAGTGAGTTAGTAGTAATACATAGTTCGACGTTCCGGGTCGAAAACCTTATGGGTTCAATGTTGGGTCGTGAAAACCACAAGGGCCTCGGGAAATCCCAGCTGTCCCAGCTTCGAGGAGCTGCACGGAGGGACAGAGCTACAGAAACGTGTTCAGATGTTCCTCGATGGCGCTGTCTCATCTTCTCTCCTGGTGAAGAATATTGGCCTGACACAGGTTTCGAGGGAAACCCGGATTCGATGAAGATAATCCCCCACCACACAAATCATGTTGGGTCCGTGGAATCCTACATACTTCAAAGGGAGTGTAGAGTGGTTTGGTCACGGACAATCGCCCGAATGCTTGTAGCCCCCGTCTACACAACTTTCAGGCCATCTATGGATCTAAAGGTGTCTTTTAACGCACTGCCACCCTAGGCGCAGCGAACTTATGCGTTTCGTTTCGCTGCTCATGATCAACCAGACCTCCACAAGCTCAATGAATTAATTCAATCAATAGTTGAACTCTGGGCCCATCGACAACTGTCGCGATCAGTGCCAGGCATTGCGCGGTGGAGCCAATGGAGCCCGGCTATTCGCCGATAGGGCAGTTCCGCATCAACCTTGATGATGATGATCAATGTTCTTCTGGTGTGGGTGTGTGTGGGTGTGTTGTATACACCTGATGGTGAAGCACCTCGTATTCCTGGCCCCTCCTCGCCTCCCCCTCTTAGTATACAATGGATGGATGTATTTTAGGAACACGAAGAGGCGTATCGGTAATAGCCGCGACGAGCGACAATCTAGCCATCCCCTCTTTGCTGGCGTGCTATGGCTACATGTAGCCTTGATACGAAAAAAAAAAAAAAAAAAAGGAACGGAGAGAAAAACAATGGAGGGAGAGAAGCGAGAGGATGCTATCGGGTCTTGATCTTTCTCGAGTCTGGATCCACGTTCGGGTTGCTCGGCCGTGATGTCATTGCTATTAGGTTCCCTTGGTCCCATCAATCGATGGAATCTCGCTGGTTACATTCAATCAATGCCCAAGACCAGAATTCCAGGAAAAACAATAAGATCCGTAGCGTACGGATAGTAACCGGGCGACGTAACCCTCTAATTCCTCCACCCGCACCACTCGGATCCGGATAGCCAATATCATTCGCCCTACACGGCACTCCTGCACTCGTCGAGCCACCATTGTCAAGTCTCTTTGTCAAGGTGTGGAATCTGGGGGGCGATTCTGAGAATCCGAGTGCCGGCTACCCGCTCGCGGACTATCTACCAAGAAATTAGGCCGTCGTCATCGCCTCGAGGCGAGAGATTGAGGGCGATCTTCCCCCAAGTGCCGATGATGGATTTGCTTGCGCTTGAGCGGAGAATTATGGGTGATCCTATGTAAATGCGTCACGGGTAAACATGGCGACATCGAGAACCAACCTGGAGAAAGTTCCGACATTAGTTTCTCGCCTCTTGAATTGTGAATGTGTATTATTCACTGACAAGACAAGATGTGCACCGAGGAAGATGGCGCCCTCCAAGCCCTCTGTCAAGCTTACACTTGATACAATGGATGGTGGATGTATTGCACTTGATAGACAGCAAATTCCCCAACCTGAAACCGACGAAGAATTGGTCTCGCTCAGTTTGAGCCCACACCCAAGCACTAGTGCAAAGCCCCCACATATGCACATCTGGCTGCCTCAATCTTATCACGGGCGTGCTGTTGAGAGTTTCGTTCAACGTTGCTACAATCTCGTTGCACTCTTGAAGCCCCGAGATCTATGCCTCCGCGTCGCCAGCTTCCCTTCGAGTTTACAAAGGCAGCGGGAGAGCGAGATCTTCAACCTAGCTCCTCCCGGCTGATCTGCCCGCCTTGAGAGCCAAATTCCACAAGGATCGACACGCAACGGCTCCAAGGCGAAGTCGAGGTGCGTACGGCATTCACGACAGCCACCCCTACTACCGTTCTTGCCGAATCGATCAATAGCCTTTTCTCCCTTATCAATTCAGGGCTGAATCTGTATAAAAAGATAAAAAAGTATTCGGTAAACTGCTATCATGGCAGGCGCTCGATCTTAGATAGATACTCAACTCGTCAATGATACTTCCATTGATGTCTTGTAATCTCCCTAATGTTTGATATGCTTGATGGCCAAACCAGACAGCCATCAATATTCGAGCCTCAATCGCCTCGTCCAAGCCTTCCGCATTCCAGACTCATTTCACCCTGACGATTATTCATTTCTCAAGCCCGACGACGGAGGTTAGCTCAGCTCAGCCAATCAACCGAGCTAGGTCAGTTCAAGTTCACTGAACACGGATAGAGCTGTCTTCCCTGGACCCTGGTCAAGCTGAGTGCGGCATCCCGACCCATGCAGGCAGAAGTGGAGAGCGTTGACCCAGCCCAGAGGATGCGTTGCAATTCGGAACCACTGCAGGCGACAATCCCATTGCTGAAAAAAGGCAGGAAAACTCCCACCAAACAAGGGGCAGCTTTTTCTCGCATCCTCCGGAAAGCGGGCGAGGGAGAGGCCAGCCCGGAAAGAAACAAGCCTCCAGCCCCCTTCGCCAGGTCCTCGCTTGAATACTTCGTAGAATAGTCGAGGCTGTTGCAAGTCCCTGGAATGTTGGAACTCGCATTGTTCCTGCACCGCTTCTGTCACGGCTCTCATTGATCCATCAGTCCTCGCTTTAGTCCCGAACTACCCTCCGTCTGCATGTTCTGACAGAAAGTCTGACATCGGTTGCTGCGATGGTCAGTAAGCCACGACATCCCCGTGCAGTGGCTGCTGCTTAAAATTTCCTTCTTCGTGTGGCGCCCCATGCACACTAGACAGAATCCATATGCATCTGGATCCTTTTGCGAAGCAGGATCTCTGTTCTTCTTTGAAGCTTTTGCCCAGCCCCCGAATTGATAGAGGCTGCCCACCACTCCGTATGCACAAGTAAGTACTTTAAAAACAGACGAGTACGTGCTCGCAGTGGCACCCTTTTCTCTTTGTGCTGCCCATCGATTTAGCCTGAAAGGCCCCGCCCGAGTGTGGACCATCCCTCAGCGACCCACGCCGTCAAGATATGGCCCAACACGGGTCCAATAGATGCCCACCAGAGTTTACGGCTAGGAAAGTCGCCGGGGTCAGCTCCCCGTTCGCACCTGCGCTAAAAGAAACACCCATGATACTTTCCTCGCTCCCTCCTGCCTCCTGCCTCAAGTCTTGCCTCCGACCTCCTACCTCTTGCCCAAACCGCAGCTGCGTTCATCAAAGCGCCTTCCCATGCCCCAGGCTCTCGATACAAGGAGGTACTGCACGGCAAGAGTGCTCAAGCTGCATTCTTACTTCGTAATCGATGTTCTCTGTTCGGAAAGCCCCTGGTCCCCCCCTTTGTAGCCTGTCGTTCTTGGCTTGTTGCGGGTGTTCTCCGACGACCGGCCCACACCCAATTTTTCTCCCTCCTTGGCCCAGTGCTGGCCTTACCCACCTTTATCTCGTACTTGGCACCGGTGACGACAGTGCTCAAGCTTGCTCGTAATACTTGTGACAACCCCGACAACCCCAGGAGCGCAGCCACCCCGGACCCGGCCTTTTCTGGCCCGTCCTCTCCCTCCTTTGAAGCCTGGCGTCAAGCTGGACTCTGCCTGCTCGTATCAGCTCAAGCTTTTAAAAACTTGCCCTGTCCTCCGTCCGCCAGTAAATATTTTTAGTCTAAACTTTCGTCCCCTGACGGTCTGTCTCATACGAAAACGTGGTGCTCCCTTGTGTTCCTCTCAAACTGTAAAACCCACTGAGCTGCGGAGCAATTGATTCCGACTCTGGTCTTTTTTTCGGATCTCCTCTCTCTTGCTCAGCGCAGGCAAAAAGAGGCTCCGCACCAAATTGCCTCCTGTCTCGCTTACGAAGGGCTTCCTTTTTCTCTCGATCTTGTCGCCACAGGGATCTCCACGCGGACTGGATTAACGCTGATCTCGTCGTTGAGCCAGCAACTTGCTCTAGCGTTCTCTCCCCTTGCAGCAGCGTTCTGCGCCCCCTCGACAAGGCAACAAGTGAACAGAAGCAACAAAACAGCCGAGAGGCCAAAGTTCCTACACCCCATCAATTGATACCCACACCCACACCCACATCGCCCCTCCTCCCGGCCAGCCTGTTTATACCGAACGCCACTTTGCACCAACTTCCTCGATTTCGTGTGCTTCTTTTTGTTCTTTTCTCTTCTTTTCCCTTTTCCCCCTCCCTATCGACTTGCACGCCGGGTTCCACTCTTCTCGCATTTGGGGTGTTTGTTATTCTTGTCTTGGCCCTCGGGATTGTGTCTCACATTTCTAGACCCCTCGAACTTGTCTTATTGGACCCTCTTTCTGCAATATCGACGCACCAAGGCAAAGCTTCTTAACCCTCAACCTATCTGCCGTTTCTGATATCATCTTCTTCCTTTCTTCCGTCCCTCCACATTCTCTCTTTCAGACCCAACCAACCAGGTACACTTTCACTCACAGTCACTATCACACATTCGCCATCGTTACCCTTACTCTATAAGCAGTCGCCCTCGCCCCTTCGGCCGCACGCTTTTGCTCTCTTCAACATGCCGGCCAACACGCCAACCAACGACAACTTCCTTGAGGCTGGACTCTTGGACGAGAAACGAGTTCTTCAGACCCCTTCCTCTAACCCTTCTGGGCAAGCAGCACAGCAGAATAGAAACATGACGGCTATCAGGCGGTTGCTCGTCGCTTTGACGGTGAGTGTACTGGTCACGGTGGCCGTGGCCCGTACCTACCCCGTCCCCTGCGGCTTGCATCATAACGGAGATGCGGAGGCACAGGCTGCACAGGCTGCTCCCAATGTCGTTGCTAGCCAGGACGACTCTACCTTTGCCCAGCTTCTCCGCTCGGCCTCCCCGAGTCTCTCCATAGGCTCCTCCACGACTACCTGCCGGAAAAGTTCCAGCATGGCGTCTTCCCTTCTGATAAGGAGGCCGTCGAGGCTGTCCACGACGATAGCGCCGCCCTTGCTACTTCGATTGTCCAGATCGCCAAGCGCCAAAACAACAACAACTCGACTGTAGAGGAGACTTCGGACGAGCCTACTCAGGAGCCGACCCCAGATCCTACCACCAAGGATCCCGAGCCCACAACTGAATCAAAGGAGCCCACCAAGCCCCCGACTACCTCCAACCCTCCCCCGACCAGCAAGACCCCCGACCCCACGCCCTCGGAGCCTACTCCCACTCCTACTCCCACCGACAATGATCCTGGTACGTCGTCGCCGGACGAGACGTCTTCTCCTTTTTCTTCTACTGAGGAACCATCTACAGTTCCAACTACCCAACCCCCTCCTCCACTTCCTCCTCCCGCTCCTCCTCTTCTTCTCCCTCGCCAACGAGGTCTGGTACGTAAGGTTCCTTTGTTCACTTGAGCTCGAGCCTTGCGGACATTTTAAACTTTCTTCTTTTGTTCACTCGTCTTTTTATTTTTATCATCTCTTTTCCCTTTCTTATCCTCTCTCCCTCGCCCCTACTTTCACGTCCTTCCCAAGCTAGCCAGCGACTAGAGCACGCCCCCTTGTTCCCTGATCCCGCATAATTCGCCTCAAATTCTCAAGCAACCGCGCAATTATATGAATAGAGCCGGCTAACTTGGATTTAGATTCTACCACCTCGAGGAGGACTACGAGCCGAAGCGCCACCGTGGACACCAAGACTTCCACCCTTCCCGGTGGAGGTGTCACTACCATCACGTCAACTTCGTACTACGACCTGCCTCCCGAGGCCACCGGCGACAGCTCGGATCCTGAGCTCCAGAATGCCGCTCCCCGAAGCGCCGTTGCCCTCATCCCCATGATCTTCGGTATGCTCGCCGCCATGGCTCTCTAAATGATGGCGCATCACCTGGGCCCATAAACCGGCTACATTTCATTTTGCGCCCCAAAAGACTTGAAATCAGGATCACATCCATCTGCTTTGCGCTACACTCTTTTTATCTTCCGCATTACATTCTTTTACCAACACGTCATTCATTACATTGTATAATCTGTCATTCCTTTATATACCCAAACGAGAGAGACATGCACGCTGGAGATGGAGAGGGGAAGTAAATTGAATTTGGTTTGCGCATCTCCCGTTGGAATCTTGCGAGAAGGAGAGAGGAAGAGAGGAGACGAGAAAGATGGAACCGAGAAAACAAAGGAGCGCGGATACGCCAGGTATCTTGTATACAAACGGTGGAAAGAATCAACTTTGGTGGTGATTCAGACGCCGAGGGCGTTTGTTTGGGCATTGTACATACAAGCATCTTGCATCGCGGCGGTGGGCGGATTTTAATGACCACTTGCACTATAGAACAAAGCAGTCGACCATAAATGCGACATTTCTTCTACACACTAAATTACTGCGTTTTTTTCCATCGACTTTTTTTTTTGGCCCCCTTTTCCCTCAGTTTCAATGTTCTTTAGATGCTCGCCACTCTTCTCGCGGCAGATGTGGACATGTCTCTATCTCGCTATCTCGCTCTCGCTGTCCTGGTTGGGGGACAAAGGCGTCATCCATGAGGTCATTTAAGAAGGAGGGGAGGGCTCTCGTTTCGGGGGAGGGGGTTCAAATGAATTGCAGACCAACACCAGTCTCGCTACGGAGTCTCGTGCCGGCAGCTCCGCCCCCGAGTAATACATTGATTGATCCATTGGTAGTAGATCTATTCCAGCGCCTGGAGAAATATCCATTGATGTATATTTTTTCCCCTCGTCTATTGGTATATGTAAGGCCTCTCTCGCCGGTTTAAATGACAACATTGTGTAGACTTAGATGCCACGCCCATCGAGCAGTTTCAACACGACCTTGTGCTGTACGCACATTGTAAATTTTTTTCCTTCTAGCTATTTGGATGTATGACGGTTGTTTATTCTGGCTTCACAAGCAGGCCAAGGTGTTCAGAATGGCGGCTATCCTGAGGTTTTGCTCGGTTCAGGTTTGAACTAGGCTTTAGTGTGCAGGCATTTCTGGTGTCTATTGCCGTACTTGCAGAAGGGTTAAGCGGTTTTCTACCCATTACTAGAATGGCCGCGGAATACCCTATAAGACCTGTAGGGTGTGCAGGAGGGAAGGGAAGTCCGCGCTACGGCTTCTCTGCTAGCTGATGATGTCGCTGAGCGCAGACTGATACAGGGTCGTGTCGTCTATACCGATGTGTCTACGTTTGTCGCTTTCCTCAAAAGAAGGCCATCTTCTTTCCTTCTTCAATCTTTCGGGCGCGGGTCGTCACTTGCTCGACTTTGCCAAGTCTCGATATGGTGGAATCGCAATGTCCCCTCCACACCGATCCAGGATGGTTCTTGGGGATCGACAAAGCAATGGCGGCCTCGATTAGCCTCTGCGATGGAGGAAGAGTGAAGAATATAACGCTAAGACATCCTTCTCGATCGCAACTGTCTCCTACGCCGCAACCGACGGATGCTTCGTAGCTAGCCGAACCGGGGCGCTTCGCGTACTTGTACAAGCTGGTGAGAGTGGCTGGAATCTGACTGTCGATATAAATGAGGGTACCATGAGACGGCCCCCAGAGAGCATACGAGATGATAATGTGTGAGAACGAGATAGAAAGCAAAAATTGGCCCTCGCCGCCGGTGGGTCATAATCGTAAAACCACCGTGCTCCTGCCGTGAGCCCAACGCCTATCGCCGAGTGGAAGCCGGGCAGAGCCACATGAATAACAAAACGGGCCGCAATAAAAGAGGAAGAGGGAAAGAGAAAAGAGAGTCGATATCCAGGCTACAATACGCTTAACCGGGACCAATTTTGGGCATGTCATTGTGCTCGGAGAGCTTGGAAAGGAAGCTGTTGAGCTCCTCGACCCTTTCTTTGTGGGTCTTGAGGAGCTCTGGCCTCGACTCTGGATTCTCCGCCATTTCGAGGAACTATAGATTGGAGTTGATTAGCAAGAAGAATCAAGGGGGCAAATTAAAGATATACAGCTGAAAGGAGAAAAGAAAAGGGGGGAAAGGGGGACAAAAACGTACCCTCTTCCTCCTGACTTCGTCGAGCTTTCGCTGCGCCTCGGTCTTGTGGGTGACGTGTACGGCGCGCTCGTCGTCTCTGTCGTCGTCGGCGCTGTCTCGGTCGCCCTTCCTACTCTTCTTCGTGACGAGAGCGGACGAGCTGTCCTCGCCGGCTGCGCTATCCGACAGGGCCTTTTCGAGATCGGCCTTGTCCTTGTCTTTGACTTCTTCTTCTTCTTGGGTTTGGACACCTTGGCGCCCTTGAGGCGGAGGGCGCCGCCCCGCCTACGGAGGCGTAATCGTCGATGGGCATGCTTTCCTTCCTTCCTGGCTGAAGAGAAAAGAGAATGGGGGCAATCTCCCTCGGGGTTGGCAAAGGAGAATGTGGGCGGAGCACCGGATTCCTGTCGTTCAAAGTGCCGGCAAGATGGACGTTGTCAAGGTTTGGCGAGAGTTGAACCCGCGTATTACATAAGTCAAATAGTTGGCAGGAGAGACGAGTGGGCATGTGAGAGTGGTGGTTGCTTGGGACGAACTGACGAGGGAGGGTTGTAACTGGCTCGTGCTCGTCCAAGCAACTTTACTCTGGAGATCAAGGTTGAGTCAGGGAGCCAATGAGAGACTGGGAAAAGTGCCCAGGCAGGAGAATTCCAGGATGGGGTTTTTAGCACCGCGCGCAGGGGCAGAGATGTGTGTACAGGGGAGATTAGCACGTTTCCCTTCGCGGTGGACTTGGGGGAAAAGAACCCATTGAATCCATTGTGCCGTGCCAAATGTCTGTGCCACCCGGTGTCAATCCAATGGGATGCATTGTCTGAAGCCGACTTGAATCCACACAGGGCGCCAGGTTTGTGAACAAATGATCCATCGATGCGGCATGCGGCGGCAGCTAGCGGTGACCCGTGCAGCACTCTCCTCCCTCTTGCGGCCAGCGGGTTCTTCAATCTCAGCGGGTTTCTGGGTGCCATGCGAATTTGATCAAATGGATTGATGCATTCTCCTTTTTCCATCAATTTAACTTTTTTACTTCTTCTTTTCCATCCACTCCCTTTTTCCACTATAATCCCCTATTTTATTCAGGACTCCCTTTTTCTTCTACTTCTTGTTTCTTGTGTTCCTAGGTATCATACCAGGGTAGCGGACATCATCTCGAGGTTTGGTACGCACATCCAACCCACGCTCTTCCTTGTCTCTGAACTTCGTGTGGCCTCTGCGACCACCGGCGGGGAACTCGAAGTGTTTCACCCATTACCGCCGCCTTAGACATTTTTGCCGGCTCGAGTTTTTGTTTATACAGTAGCACAAACGGGGTAACTGTCTTGAAGATCCTCACGCTCCAATCCGCCGCCGCCTCCCACGTTCCAGGTTAACAACCGGTCACCTGTCCCTTCGCCGATAATCTCCCGTTCCCAGCATCGCGACCGGTCGTCGGGTATCGAATATCGTGTCCGGAATTCCTGCCGTCATGTTCTAATAGCGAAGCAAAAGGCCGCAACCGACTTGTCCCTTTCCAACACTCTCTTCCTTTTCAGGCATCATTCGAATTCCTGCAGAGGCAGATGACGTCTGGCCCGCCCGCCCGTAGCCTTCGATAACCCGTGGCCGCAAACTTCTTTTGTCGGACGTCTTCGAATCCACGCCCTCTCCCCTATATTTCTTGCGATCGCTGCCCGAATCCCTCGGCGCACGAACGAGCCGATTCGCGCCCACCGCCACGAACCCAAAAAACATAAGAAACCCCCATCAACCAACGATGCCGGCGGGATACACTTCCGTCTTCCCGCAGCTGTCGCGGGACTCGCTGGAGCTTGCGTCTCTAGCGAGTTCTAGCGGGCTCGCGGATGATGCAGCCTCCAACACCCCTTCCTCCCGACCCAGTTTCTCCTCCTCGCGCAAAGCGTCACTCGAGCACGAGGACCCCTAGACAGCGCCAACCCGGCGGCGCGGGGATGCACGGCCGGTCCTACTCAGTATCCTCCAATTTCGACTTTGCAGCAAACCTCTTCCCCTAAGCTCGACGACGGGCGCCGGCGGATACGCCCCCATCGGGGCCTCGGAGCAGGCGCGGTCCCAGGGCGGCGGCCTGGGCGGTGCGGCGCTGCTAGAGAAGCACAAGACCCTCACCTACCTAAACGGACTGTCGCTAGTCATCGGCATCGTCATTGGCTCGGGCATCTTTTCTTCCCCAGCCAAGTCAGCTCCAATGTGGGTCGCCGGGCGCGGCCCTCATCGTGTGGGTGGTGGCCGGCGTACTGGCGTGGACGGGCGCGGCGAGCTACGCGGAGCTGGGCGGCGCGATACCGCTCAATGGCGGCGCGCAAGTCTACCTATCCAAAATCTTTGGCGAGATCGCCGGCTTCTTGTTCGCGTGGGTGGCCGTCCTCGTGCTCAAGCCGGGGAGCGCCGCCATCATCGCCATCATCATGGGCGAGTATCTCGTGCGCGCCGTCGTCGGCCCCGACGCCGAGACCATTAGCCCCTGGGTGGCCAAGGGCGTGGCTGTGGCGGGGCTGTTGCTCGTCACCTTTCTCAACTGCGTCTCCACCCGCCTGGGCACCCGCATCAACGACATGCTCATGTTCCTCAAGTTCGTCGCCCTGCTAGGTGTCACCATTATCGGCATTGTCGTAGCCGCCACGGGCTTCTCGTCCTCGGGTGAGGCGAGCAGGGATTGGAAGGATCACTCGTGGTTCGACGGGACGTCCTCGGATCCGTCGTCGTGGGCCCTAGCACTCTACGCAGGGCTTTGGGCGTACGATGGCTGGGATAACGTAAGTGCTATGAGAAGAAATGCTCTTCCCCGAAACTGTTGGAGAAAAAAACCGTGTGGCTAACGTAGAAGATGAAAACGTGTAGACGAATTACGTTGTGGGAGAGCTGCGTCGTCCGACCCGGGATCTTCCCAGAGTCATCCATACGGCCATGCCGCTCATCATTACGAGCTACGTGCTGGCCAACGTGGCGTACTTTTGGTGCTACCGCTCGAAGCCATCAACGCCACGAACACGGTGGCCGTGATCTTCGGCGCCAAGGTATTTGGCAAGGTCGGGGCGCTTATATTTGCGCTCATCGTGTCGGCGTCGTGTCTTGGCGCGCTCAACTCGTCGACGTTTACGTCGTCCCGCCTCATCTACGCGGCAGGCAAGGAAGGCTACATCCCCATGTGGTTCAGCCGCATCGGACTCCGCCAGGTGGACCGCCACCAGCTGTCGACGCAGCGCACGCGGGGATGGTTCATGAAGCGGCTGCACGCGCTCATCGGGGACGAGGAGCACGGGCTCTTCTTCACGCCCATCTACTCGCTCCTGCTCAATTTTCTACTCACGCTGGCATACGTGGTCGCGGGCGAGTTCTCCACGCTCCTCACGTTTTACGGCGTGGCCGGCTACACGTTTTACTTCATCACGGTGCTGGGCCTCATTGTGCTTCGGGTGCGCGAGCCGAAGCTGGAGCGGCCGTACAAGACGTGGATCACGACGCCCATCGTCTTTTGCTGCGTCAGCTTGTTCCTGCTCAGCCGGGCCGTGTTTGCGCAGCCGTTGCAGACGCTCATCGTGGTGATTTTTGTGGTGGCCGGCGTGCCGGTGTACTACTGGAGGATCATGGGCCGCGACGAGGTGGTGAACAAGAGGGAGAGGCGGATGAGGGATCTGGAAGGCGGGGATGCGCCGTGGTGGAAATTCTGGAAGAGGTGAAGCAGCCTTGTGAAGATAGAGAAGGAAAGGGGAATGAAGGAGAACAAGAAGAAGAAGAAGAAGAAGAAGAAGAAGAAGGCCTTTTTTTTTTTTCCCTTTCTCTCTTAAGAGCGTTGATTCTCTAATCTTTTTTTCTCCTTCCCTGTCAAACACCTTGGCTGTTTTATTCATGGATTGTTGTTCTTAAGGCTTGCTTCATTTCGGGCGTCGTTTAGGCTGCATCGCGACGGGAAGATTAGAATGGGATGTTATTCAAGAGGGCGAAGAGACGGAGAACAGAAGGAGACAAAGGAGAGTGGGAGAAGAGGGCGGTGGAACAGGGAGTTCACGCGCGCATGGATTAGAGAGACGATACCCCCTGGTCCGGGGAAACAGCTCTGCCGGATTGGAAATCGTTAATATGTACACATTGAGACACTGTTTTCACTGTTTTTGCTTGCACGACCTCGTTGGGGTGCGAGAGAGAAGCACAGGGTTAAGCGAGAGAGCCACCCTCGGGGAAGTGGGACTCGATGGTGAGGAGAACTTGTGAGAAGGATTACAAAAACCATCACGACCTATATGATTGAGAATGACCTCTGAGAACGAGAAACCATCTTATCTCCCTGAAGCATGTGGTGTCATCTATAGCATGTAGCCTTGCCCACCCTCTACCGCGCCACCCTATACTCGACCTCGCCGTATCCCTCTCCCTCAGCCAACACCGCCCGCGCGCCCTCTGCAAAACCCGGCATCGCCATCTCCACCTCGCCAAAGTAATTCACGGGCGCGGCGTCCGCGAAACCAAGGCTGGCGAAGAGCGCGCGGCTCGGGGCGTTGGCTTCGTTGATCTTGGCCACGAGCTTGGTTAGGCGGACGGTGGGTGTAGCGGTCGAGGCGGAGGCGGAGGCGGCGGCGGCGGCGGCGGTGTACTCGGCGAGCAGGGACGGCAGGTTGCGCCGCACGAAAGCGAGAAATGCGGCGAGGGCTGCGCGGCCGAGGCCCCGGCCCCGGTGGCTTCTTTCGGCAATCATGATGTCTACCTCGCCAAATACGTTTCGGCCAAGGGTTTCCCCGTGTTTGTTGTTGTTGTCGTCGTCGTCGTCGTCGTCGTCGTTGTCGTCGGGGTACAGGAAGAGGTTAATGTCCCCAACCATTCTCGCGTCCGCGTCGTCCGCCTCTGCTACGGGGCTTTGGTTTGCGTGTGCATCTTGACGAGGGAGGCAGACGATAAAGGTTAGCTTGTCGGCGCTCCGGCGCCAGGAGAGTTGGTTCTCGTATTCTTCCTCGATGGAGAGGGGTTCTGAGGCTGTGAGTTGTTGGATTTCCTAGGGCGCGGAGGAGAAAGGCAGGGACGAAAAAGTGAGCTTCGTGACTTTTTGGAGTAGATGTATAAACTGGTCTGTTCTTTTCTTGTCCTTCACATGGCGATCCATCGCGGGATCGTGCAGTGACTACTGCTCTTGGGGCCTTCTTTGCGTTCCTGACCCTCAACTGCAACGCAGAGGCTGTTGATGAGGCACGAAGAGGGTAAAAAGTAACGGAGGTGAAGGGGCAGTGGGGAGTGGGATGCAACTGACAGGATCCTTCATCCAGGTGTGATATCGCGGGACATGATGCGCCTCGTACGGCACGAGGAGGACGCGGGGCGTCGAAATGGCTAAGGGGAACGGCGGCCAAGGGGTGTTAGTGCCCCAAGTGAGCGATAATCAAGGAGGATTTTGATATTACATGGAATATCTGCGATTTTGTCTCTCCGATGGGTGCTCACCAATGTGTTGATTGAATATCATTTTGTCTTTTTCTTGCTTTTTTCTCCCTTTTCTTTTCTTTTCTTTCTGCTAGCCGCACTGCGAAGCAAAGGGTTGGGTTTCGATTACGAAGGGACTAGATGGTCTCCCGTTTCGATGAGAGAAGTTGAACGAGTTGAGTTGCTTGGGTTCTTCAAAATGTGAGTTTTTTTTCTCACTTCTAAATCCCGCCGCATTGGTGACGGCGACGTTAACGTGAGGGAATGGTTTACCATCGCCTTGAAACGTTTACACCGGCGATATCATAAGACTCCCAGGAATACATCTAGCATTCTCACCAAGCTACACCACACTGCTCTACAGTACAAGACTTCTATTTATTATAAGTGGTTGATATTATACAGTTTATCATCGTCACCTTCTATGCTAGTTATTGTTGTACATCCATCCACACTCAGCCATTTGGAAAATAGCCATCCAAAAAAGGAAAAAGGCAAAAAGGCGTGAAGAAATCGCCTCTCCCTTTCCCCAGACGATCCGTCGATGTTTACTCATACACGACAATTTCGTCGTTTCACCCCCCCATCAAACCTCGCTCTCGCCCGCCTTCTTCTTTCTCGTCTCCCTCGCCCTCGCCCTACTCTCCTCCTTAGCTTTAAGCTTCGCCTCCCGCCTCGCCTTCCTCTCATCGCGATCCACAGCGAGCGGCTCACCCTCCTCGGCCGGGAACTCGCCCCCGCCGAGGGGCGGGAACAGCGACTTTTCCGCGCCTTTGCCCTCGAACCCGCGCGGCCGGAGGCTCATTCCGTACGCCGCGTCGGCCCGCGCACGGCGTGGCCAAAGTCCCGCCGCGCAGGGTCCACGCCCAGTCGGTCGAGGGCCTCGGTGGCGCGCTGCGGCATGTACGGCTGCAGCAGGATGGCGGAGACGCGCAGTGCGTCGGCGAGGGTGAAGATGACGCGGCTGAGCTCCGAAAAGGCCGCGCTGTCCTGGTGCTTGTTGTCCGAGAGGTCCCAGGGGGCCGTCTTGGTCATGTACTTGTTGGCCTTTTTTCGGTTGGTTAGCGATCATTGCAGATGGCGGGGAGAAAAGTAAAACAAGGCAAAGGGGCACAGAAAGAATGAGAAAAGAAATAGTTACCTCTGTGAGCGTGTCCATAATCAGGGCCAACGCCTTGTCCGGCCGCAGCGCCCGCATCTCCTCCGCCACTCTATCCCGCAGCGTATCCAGCCCAGGGGACACGGCCGCGCGGCCGCCGACCCACCCGGTCCCGTTTCGGCCCTGACAGCAAGCACGACGCTCCACTTGACCGTCTTGGTAGTGCGGGCCAAGAGGTTGCCGAGGGTGCCCATGAGGTCGGTGCGGTAGACGCGGGCCACCTCGCCGTTTTCGAAAATGGAGTCGTCGCGGATGGCGCCCTTGCGCATGAGGAAGAAGCGCACCGTGTCGGCGCCGAAGCGGTCGACGGCGAAGATGGGCGACACGCCGTTGCCGGCCGACTTGGAAATCTTGCGCCCGCCAATGGTCCAGTGCGCGTGCGTGAGAAGCTTGCCCGGGAGGGGAGCCCGACGGCGAGGAGCAGCGCGGGCCAGTACACGCCGTGGAAGCGGAGGATATCCTTGCCGATGACGTGCACGTCAGCGGGCCAGCCAGGCCGTCATGGCGGCGGTCGCGGATTCGCTCGAGGGCTTATCCGAGGACGCTGCCGTGGTCGTTGAGGTCGGGTTTATGTTTGTGTTCGCGGTCGTCGTGTTCGTCGTCGACCAGCTAGGGTAGCCTAGGTTGCTGATATAGTTGATGAGGGCGTCGACCCACACGTAGACCGTCTGGCTCGGGTCGTCGGGCACGGGGATACCCCACGACAACCGGGTAGCGGGGCGGGAGATGGACAGGTCCTCGAGGTGGTTCTCGACCCAGGCCACCACCTCCTTCATCTTGTAGTCGGGCGTGATCCAGTCCGGGTTGGCGCGGTAAAACGCCAGCAGCTCCTCGCGAAACGCCGTCATGCGGAAGTGGTAATTCTTCTCCTCCACCCACTCCACCTCGCTCCCGCTCTCGACGGCCGACCACACGACCTTGCCCGTCTCGGGCACGAACGACCGCTCAATCATGCTCTCCGGGTAGAAGCACTCGTCGCTGACGCTGTACCACCCCGGTGCGTCGTCTCGTAAATGAGCCCCCGCCCCGCCAGCTCCCGCCAAAGTCCTGCACCGCCGCCACGTGCGCCCGGTCCGTCGTGCGGATAAAGTCGTGCGCCGACAGCCCCAGCGACTCGGCAATCTCGCCAAACTTTTGCGCGTACGTATCGCAGAACTCGGCCGGCGGCTGGCCCGCCTTGGCCGCCGCCCGCTGTATCTTCATCCCGTGCTCGTCGGTGCCCGTGCAGAGCCGCGCGGGGCGGCCCTGCAGCGTGGCCCAGCGCTTCAGGACGTCGGCGAGGACCATGGAATGCGCGTGGCCAATGTGGGGGCTATAGCAAAGGAAAGAAGGAATGGGTTAGCTTTCAGACTTTTGAGATGCGGGCCACGGGACCAAGGATACGGCTTGTCTTGCACATCACCTCTCCCATTTCGCTACTCACAGGCATTGACGTAAAAGATGGGCGTTGTCACGTAAAACGGCTTCTCAAGTGTCCCGGAACCGACGCCAGCCGTGGATGACTGTGACCGCACCTGACAGAACTCGGAGCCGCGCCAGGCGAGCCCCCGTGCGAGAGGTCCCCGGGTACCCTCCTGAGCAGGAGCCCGCCCGGGACCCTGCTGCACCGAGCAGGTATCCTGAGCAGACGCATTGCCGCTTGTGGTAGAGGCAATTGGCGTGGGCGTTTCTCCTCCTTCTGTTGATCTCCTTTTGCAACCTATAAATCCTGGTTTTGTTTCGCCTTGTTCGTGTTCAAAGGACAAGGACAGGATAGCTTAAGCAGTGGACGGGAAGGACGGGCAAGACGACGCCGAGAAATATTTTGTTCGACTTCGTTCTTCGAGGAGGCGTCGTCGCTCGGCGAGGGGAAAAGGTTCGCTTCGTGGGTGGATGTCGTTGAATCGTGGGCTCGGGTGTTTTTTTGTCCTCTTCTTTTTTTCTTCTTCACAAGCAACATGCGACTTTGGGGATCGAAATTCCCAATGGCGTCTTCTGCGCGCGTCTCGTTCGTTTTTCCCCTGGCAAAGCTCCGATAAGGACAGTGTGGATTACAAAGTGCGATTACGGAGCCCTTACACGACATGGCACCAAGTATTTTAGGCACGGAGACAGGCAGGCAAGCAGGGATCCAAGCCAATTGATCCATTCCTGCCCCTCGATCCAATACTTCCACTCAAATTCTCCCCAGGCATGCACACCCCCACCTTGAGTCTGACCCTCTCCAACTTCAACAACTTGAATCGTCCTTGCGCCTTGTTTTACTTTTTATCTTTATTTTCTTCTTGCGCCTTGTCTTCCCCCAGCTCTCATCTTGTCCAAACCCCTCATAGACTATAAAGAGCCTCCGTCTATCCATCCAATACCTCCCACCCGAAAGACTACAGCTCCTCCGTCTCCTTGAGAGCTCATGGGCGCAGGCCTCAAGCGCAAAGTATAAGTTACTCAAAAAAAAAAAAAAAAAAAAAAGCCATAGCTGCCGCGCGCACCCTTACGATCTCCAATCTCGCTCCTTACCACCCACCATGTCGCTCCTCCGAAGAAACTCAAGTCAAGTCCGCCAGCGAAGGTACAAACCCTCCCTCCCCCATCACCAAACCCCATCTTCGAGACAAACAAAGAAAGCTAACCCTTCCCCCAACCCACCAGGCGCCCAAGCCTTCGTCGAATCCTACTACCACTCCCTCTCCTCAGCCTCCCCCATCTCCCACTTCTACATCAACTCCTCCAAATCCTACTCCCATCCCGCCGGCGCCGGCGCCGGCGCCGCCTCCAACTCCTCTTCCACCACCGCCACCACCGACCCCGCCGCCGCGCCCTCGTCGCCGACATCTCCATCAACGGCTCCGTCCTCCCCTCCCCGCCGACTACGAACGCCTCGTCGCCGACCACGGGCCCGGCACCCGCTACGAGGTCGAGTCCTTTGACGCCCACTCCGTCAATCCCGCCTTTGCCCTCGCCGACCCGCCGCCAACGCAAACTCCAGCGCCGCCGGATCGTCCTCTGGCCCCTCGGACCGCTCCGGCTCCCGCATGAGCCTTCTCGTCCAGGTCACCGGCAGGGTCCACTTCGGCAAGGGCAGGGACTCTGTGCGCAAACCCTTTAACGAAGTTTTTGTCCTCGTTCCTAACTGGGAGGCTCTCTCCCGTAACGCTCCCAGGAATCTCAGGAGATGGCTCATCATGTCGCAAAATTTCCGCACCCTTTGAGTACCTCAAGTAGGACGGAGAACGCCCCGCAAGTGATAGACAACCTGATAAAGTGTAGAAAAACAATAGCTAGATGCTTGGATGTCTTACACATTTTTCTTTTCTTTTTAGCTGGAGGTTTCATACACGTCGTTTCTGGAAAGGCCATACTTAACCTACACTCATCAACTCTAGAGAGACCTTTTTCCTTTTTTTTTTCTTTTTTTCTTTGTTGGTTCATTTTCCCTCCTCCTGTGCCGAATAGCAGGATTTGACTACAGAGTTGTATAACAAAAGCTGGAATAAGCATGATCAGAGAAACTCAAAAGTTGGAATGGAAACAGACAGCGACGACTTGTATCCGAGAAAGAGATTAATTTTGATGCTGTAAGAGCATATAAAGACTATAAAAGGCGCGCTTCTTGCTTGATTGTATCACAGTGTTTTCCCTCGTCTCTTCTGTCTCTTCTACCCCTTCTACCCCTTCTACCCCTTCTACCCCTTCCCTCTCTTCGCCTCCTCTTTTTTCGTCTTCGATACTGCCAAACTCCTAGCTCAGTCCATCATGCCCATCACGCAAGGAAATAAAAAAAGGATGACGAAACCAACATGCACAAGCCTGGTCTACTAGAGATACAAGAAACAACCCAAGGGGCACAGCACACCTTGCCTGGCGCAGGCACCCTTAAGCTACCTCTACTAGCTGCTGCCTGTATTTCCAGTATCCTGCGCGGATCGGGTCCCATTTGACAGCCAGCCTCTCCAAGCACAGCTTCGCCTGCTCCTTGTTTCCCTCCTCTAGATATGCCTCGGCCAAGCAATCGAGGGCGTGCGAGCTCTTCACCACCTCATCCCCAGCTGCCGCGCCATCCTCGGCCCCGAGGTGCTCGACAAACTCCTCCGAGAAGGCCTTGACCTCCACCATCCGGCGTCCGCCCTTGGCTAGCACGCCGCGCAGGTAGTTCCACGCCGCCTGGTTCTGCGGCGCTAGGTGAATCTTGGTCTTGGCGTACCCTATCTCTCGGTCCACAATGTTGGCGGGCACGGCGGCGTCGTGCTCCGTAGCGTGGCTGCCGGGGGTTGAGGCTGCCGGGTCGGAGAAGACGACGAGGAAGCGGTGCGACCAGGCCGAGTTGTTGCGCACGTCATCCTCAATCAGGTTCTGGGTCGCCAGCAGCTCGTGCAGCCCAAACAGGTTGAGCTTGCGTACGAGGTACTGCCGATATGACCAAACGTGGTAGTTCTTGGTATCCTCGGCCAGCATGGTGGCGATGAACTGTAGTTCCGAGCGTCCGAGCGCCTTGACGGCTTCGGCATCGCCCTCGATCTGTGGGTAATGGTGGTCCATGAGGAGCTGTCGGTGGTGCCAGATCTGGTAATTTTTAAGGTGGGCAAACGCCACCTCATTGAGCCACTCAATCTCATCCGGCACCGGGAGGTTGAGCGTCGATATTATCTTGAAGCGGTACAACCACACTGTGTAGTGGGCCGGATTCATGGAGATGATGTGGTCCGTCAGGCGCAAGCAGCGCGGAGACGATTCTTCGGCAGCCATGACGGCTCGCAAGTAGGACATGGCTATAAGGGCGGCGGACACCAGGAGGATAAAAAAGAATTAGCAGGGGGTCACATCCAGGATCGGCAAAGCTTTCACATATACGGCGCGTTGCCCTTTGGATCCATCTCCGCACCTCTTCCTCCTCGACCTTTTGCAGACAGAGGTGGGGAGGGGGAGATGGACAAGGACACGGGATAGAGAGCAAGAACAGCGGAATCGGCTATCTAACCTTCAGCGTAGTCGTCTGGGTACGCAATCGCAGCCAGCGCACCCTCGGGCTCCACGGCGGGGATGGGCACGACATCGTCCCACTCCGGATCCGTCGAGTACGCGCTCCCACGGTCATTGTACAGGTCTTTGTTTAGACGCGCCATCTCGGCCCTGCGCCGTTTTTCCTCGTCAATGTCCTCCTCGGTAACCTCGTATGCGATGCCCTTGCGGTTGCGGGCCCCTCTCGCTTGCAAATCCCTCTTGGCTAGGAATCCCTCGTGCTCAATCGTCAGTGCGGCCAGCCGGTCTTGGGCCCTCCTGCGCGCCTCGAGGTCTCGTGGTGCGTAATCGCCGAGGTTACGGCCCGTCTTATCCGTACCCCACTCGTAATCGCGGCGTAGGGGTCGAATGGGAAGGCTGTCTTTGGCGACCTGCTTCCAGTATTCGCGCTCGACTTTGGCGGGGAGAAGAGTTTGCTTGCCGGCAACGCGGGGTAGCAGTTGGGCGTTGGCCCAGGTCTGACGTTCGGCGGGAGTAAGGGCTTCGAGGCCGTCGGCTTCGAAGCGTTTTGTAGCGGGGTTGGTCTGGTAGTAGCGACTTTGAGAAAGCTCTTTCACCGAGGCTGGTTCTGATTCTGCTTGGCGGGGTTGTAGTTGCACCCTTGGGTTAGTTTTCAATCGCTATGGCTGTGAAAGATGAAAGTGGCCAAAGAACGAGAAGTTAAAAGAGATGAGAGAAAAAGGAAGCCACCAAAAAGAAAAGAAGAAAAAAACAATAATAAACAACCGAAAAAGAAAACCACTGCTTTCACAAGAAAAATTAAACTATAGGGAGGCAAGGAGGCATGGAGCTATCCGGCAGAGATTCGCGGCTCGTCTCAGTCCGATCCTGATGTGGGTGAAATGATGATGCAAGGGAGATTGCCGGGCAGCAAACACCTGCGAGCCTCTCTCTCTGCTAGCGCTGGAATGCAATCAATATTCCTCCCTTGAGAGCTCAGAAGCAAGCAATCGACGGTTTCACCAAAACATGCAGGTTCCTTCCAGGCCCGGACAGCTTGATCGCGGGGTTGCGGCGTGGAGGAGCAAGGGTGAAATCCATCAAAAGTGATCAGATGCAAGAGCTCTTCCCCCGTTGACGACATGGTGGGGTTCCGGCCTTTGCCCAGTGCCCAGCCAAGAGGACACGGGATAGGCGGGACAAAACTGTGCCTAAAGCAGGGGGAGCGAAGGGGAGGGGCAAAACAGGACTGTAGAGACCCGGAGAGGGACTTAAAAAAGGAAATGGGTGGGCAAAAGTAAGACACAGACAGGGACTGACTAACCTAGGGCAGGCTCGGGGTTCTTTGCCTTGGACACTGCAGTCCTTGATTTCGGTGGCATCCTCTTCTTAGGTGTTGAAGATGCAGCAAGGGAGGAGGGAGAGGAGGGCAGATGTGGACAGGGCGGACTTGAGAAAGGATAGGAAAGAGAAGGATGCGGATGGGATGAGGACAAAGAAACCAAAGAGAAGGAGAAGAAAAAAAGACAGTGGCAAGAAAAATCCAAAGATGAACCGCGGCAAGCTCAGAGTCAGAACTGGAGAGGGATCAATGTGAAAGAAGAAGAGGAAAAAAGTTTGGTAGGAACGAACAAAGCCGAAAGGGGATCAATTGATTGCCTGATGTCTTGCAGAAAAGAAGGTACTTTAATGTTCTTATTATGTATGTTCCTTCCATCTAGACCGCACAGCAGCTTCCTTCCCAACTCGATCACGAAAGCGCAGGAACCGAAACACTGCCCAAAGGAAAGGAAAAGAAAAAAGAAAAAAGAGAAAGAAAAAAAGAGAAAGAAAAAGAAAAAGAAAAAAGAAAATAAAGGGTATCCCTGGTTCTTGCCATTGCCGACCTTGACCTCGACCTGGACCTGGACTCGACGTGCAGGGGGGAAGAACGCGGACGGGGGATTGGGGCCCGAAGACAACCCCCAGGACTCACTTCCCCTCCAAGTGCTATAGCAAAAGGGTCCCCAGTCCTTAATGGAACCTTCCAATTCCCCACCGTCCACCAATCGTCCCATTTTACCAAGGTCGTCGGAAGCTCAGCACCGCAAAACAGAAAAAGAAAAGAAAAAAGAAGCTCCCTTCCGAAGGATCAAGGTTGGGCGTCAGCGGCGCCAGCCAGCGCCGTCACGTGCCCCCATCAACGTTCAGCCCCAGCTCGGCGAGCAAACGGGGAGCAGCTTGATCAACGATATCAGAATGCCATTCGATGCTAAAATATCAAGGTTGCTGCTCCCTTGGCAGAAAGAAGCAAGCATGACCTTGCCGCTCTCATTCTCCTCAGCCTCCTTTTCGGACGACCTGCTGCCTGTGCCCCCTCTCTCTCTCTCTTGATGTCCTCCATCTCGTCCGGGCCAGTCTCGGGTTGACACCTTTTCCCTGCACCTCCGCGCCCGGGTAGGCCCTGTCACTTTCAGCACGATTGAACATGTGAGACCAAGCACGCGGCTCCGCTGCGTTGTCTCACTCGAGGCAGGTTCGCGCCGGGCCAAGCCAGGCGCAAGCCCCCTCCTAAGCACGACCTGATATCCGAATCGAACTCGGATCACATCGTGGCGTCTATAGGCAACGCCTATTATTCTCAAACGCAACGCGTCCCTTGTTGTAGCCTAGTCGATTCCTACGGGTTTTCATTCTAGGATTTTCATGCGTACATGTAGACCCGGGCTCTCATACATCCATTGCTATGCTCTCTTTGATTCTTACAACTTCATATTAAATTCGTCATGTCAGGGCTTTCGTGCACCGTATGGCATTAATCTATACAAACAAAGCACCCCCGAACCCCCGCCCATTGATATATTTGAAAACGGTCGGCGGAGACGGAGTCAAAAGGAGAAAGAGGGTAAGAGGCTAGACGGGGGAGGTCTCCCAATCCCGTATCGACCCTACAACCATTTTGCTCTCCCCGCCCCCATCTCCCTCCCCGGTTCCCGCTTAGAAGAGGAGATGATAATCTCGAGCCTCGTTCCTTTTCCCCCTTTTCTTTTTTTTTTTTTTGGTGGTCCTCCCTGGCGTACGTATAAAGTTCGCATGGAGATCTGACTTCCCCAACAACATCCGTGCGGAATCATCATCTGCTGCCCGCACCAGATGGAGAGGTCGAAGTGAAGTCGAAAGAGTAGAGAAAAAGGACAAGGCTTTGCCCCGATGCCCGTAGTAGCCTTCCTTCCGACATGGTGACGAAACCATGTCCCATGCATGTTATGCCGAGACCTGAAGATAGCAAAGAGAAGTTGCTGGCGTGAGTCGCGTTCAGTGAACGATCTAGATGGTTTGAGAAAATCATGGCCAACCTTCCCAAACCTAACCAAGATTGATCATCTCAGCTTCCAAAAGAGAGAAGCCCCCAAGACAGCGCCCGGAAAGGAGAAGAAGAATAAAAGAAAACGGCCCCGTTTCCTCCAGCCAAGGAGAGCTCCTGCACCCGCAGGTTCATTCCTCCCATCCTCTATTAGCCCATATTACATTAATCCAAGCTTTGGTGATTTTTTCCCGAAAAATCCTCTCCAGGAAGAAAAGGAGAAGAACAAGTAGAAGAAGAGAGGTGAATTAATGTGTTGAAGAGAATGGGAATCGAGAAGCGCTCGTTTGGTCGGGTTCGCGCGATTAATGACTCTCCACGCTCCAAAACCGCCAACCTTCGCCCCTGCCGGCATTGTCCACGCCCACCAGCCTCTCCACGCCAGCGATGCCCTCGGCATTGAGGAATTTTTCCACGTCAATCTCCATGCCGCCCTCCTCATCGTCCTCGAGCCCATTCTTCAGCACGGCAGGCCAAAGAACACCGACGCCGTCGCCGCCCAGCGTTGTCTCGAAGCGCTCGTAGCCCTCGGCCTCGAGCTTCGTCTCGAGTCTCGCGAGCCGCTCAGGCTCCACGTCGGGTCGCAAAGGGTAATGGAGCAGCCACCTCCACCGGCGCCCGTGAGCTTTGTCCAGCCGATACCGTCGTGGTCGACGAGCTCGCGGACTCGCTCGAGGCGGGGATGGGATACGCCGAGAGCAACAAGGAGGCCATGATTTATCGTCATGAGCTCTCCCACCTTTCGTAGGCCCTCTGGATCCTCGCTATCAAACTCTGGGTGCTCGAGTAGCTCCGAAGCCGTGCGCGTCGCTCGATCAATTGCGTCGAGGATGTTGCCAATCAGTTTCGGGTGGGTCTCGCGGAGGCGCGACACCTTCTTCACTTCGTGTGCCGTCGACTTTGGTTGCTTCGTGTCGACCAAGAGTAGGGGCAGCTCGGGGAAGTCCCAGAGCGGGTGCACAGCAGGTGGCTTGCCGTAGTCGGTTCTTTGAAACACCACAGCCTTACCCTGCGTCGAGACGGTATTATCCACGCCCGAAGGGTTACCGTGAATGCACATCTCAGCTACAAACGCCCACCGATTGATCCTCTCCACCTGCAGCCTGGCCTCCTCGGGCGGCTGGTCGGGATGGGGGCCTGAGAGCGTCCTCAACTGCAAGAGGAGCGCTGCTGCAAGGCACACCGCGATGGACGCGCTGCTCCCGAGACCCGCGCCAATGGGGATGGTGGAGCGCAGGGTGTAGATGCAGCCGTGGAAGGCGGGAGAGCCGATGGACAGGAAGATGTAGAGGAAAGACAGAGCCGAAGAGCGATGTATTTTGCGCACCTCTTCCGACTTGTGATGGGAGACTTCGGCAAGGTGGGGTTGGACAGCAGCAAGAAGATCAGGGTCGAGGGTGGTGACGAGATCGTAGTAGTACTTTTTCTTGTCGGGTCGCTGGAAAATGGCCCACGGCAAGTCGTCGATATTCCACGTGTGCTGAAAGTCGATATCGGGGAATCGCAGGGTAACGGTTCGCTTCGACTTGGACAGGGTCGTGACGTGAAGATAAGATCGGAGGAAATCGCGGCGGCTATCGCTGCCTAGACAGGTAAAGACGACAATGTCAGTCGTGCAATCAAGATATCATCCAAGATTATCCAAGTCTCGAAGATGGGCAGCGCGGCACAAGAGTGGGCGCGCACTCCCCTCGCCGCCCCCTCCCTTCCCCTTTCGCGCAATGCGCCAGCTACCCCCACAAACTCCCCTGTTCATCAGAACTTATAAAAATTCAAGATTTAAAACTCACCTTGCCGTGTACGACGGCGTGTTCTCCAAACATAATAACCTTGCCAGGTGCCGACACGATGAAGGCCGGCATCATAGGGCTCGACTGTTTCCTCTGAGTTCGAGTCCTCAGAGCTAGACCATTTGTGCCATTGGCGCCATTGGCACCGTTGAGGTGGCGGGACCCCGAGGCGCCATTGACGCCGTTAGGCTCGTGCAATGGCTCGGGCATGAGTGGAATGGTTGCGGTAAAGTGGCTCTAAGAGTCCGCGTACGGGTTCGCACCGGGCTCTATGACTGAGAACGAAAGCGAAAAGGGCTGAGCAGGGGGAGAAGGAGGGAAAAGTTCGAGAGCTGCAGGTTGCGGCTTCGTCGTCTTCGTCGCGCTAGCAAATAGTGGCGAGTTGACGAGGAAAGTGCGGTTCGACGCTTACGTAGCCGGTACTGGAAGAGGGTGACGAGGTGTTGGGTTTGCGCGTTGATGCGCAACGAAGCTATCGAGCCCTCTAGCGAGTTCCTCGTGACAGCTAAGGTTTGTGGACTCGCGGAAGCCGTGCACGAAACGGCGATTGTGGTATTCAAACCGGTATTAGAGGCAAGAATGAGGTCGAAAAAGTGATGGGGCAACCAGGGCAATATTTAGGGGGAGACAGGCTGAAGTATTTTTTTCTTTAAAACGAGGAAAAGAACCACTAGTGCGAAGTGGCTGGATCAAAAGTTCAAGAGGTAGTTGGTAGTTGCAATGGATGTAGTGTTGAAATCATCCAGGAGAAGCAAGCCAGGGAAGAAGAGAGGCGGTTAATATGGGGGAATTGGCCTTAGCTCGAAAAGAGATGGGGGAGAGACGAAAGGACGGATGGACAGGCGTTGAGGCAGTTTGCGGGAAGACGAGCCGGAGATAACCAAGCTTGGCTGACCTGGTTGTTGCTTCGTTCGTGGTTGCGTGGTGTCAGGCAAGTTTAATGTACTAATGCGTGTGGGCGATGGGAGGCAAAAAAAGAAGGGGGATAAAAGGGAGAGAAAGGAGATGAGCCCCCTTGCAGGGGTATGAGCAGGAACGGATCGATGGGGGCTTAGTATTATAGTTTGGATTTCAGAAGGCGGATCGTGACCACGACGACCGGGCACTGCACTAGCGGTTCAACTCATGGCGGGGCGAGAGGAGAAGGGGGGCAATCGACACTAACTATCTGGGTATAGTATAGTAGTGCTCCTATGCAACGAGCCAACTCTCCCCGATTGATGTACACTCCTTTTACTTTTTCCCTGCTCTCTCCTCTCGTGGGAGAAAAGTTCAGCGCTAACCCGCCATCATGGGAAGTTGGGTGTCATGTTATCGACAATCTGCAAAGAGAGTCATGGAGTAGGCGCGGGAGCCGGGAGAATCGAAAAGGGTGAATAGGATGGAAAGGGGGACAAGAAAAATAATCTCGACGCCTGAAGAGAAACGTGGACCATGAACGCGACTGGACTCGGGCCCAGGCATACAATACAAATGCGGGCAAGCGGTGAAGAATCGTCCACCCACAGCAGACCTAGGATATTGTTGGGATCAAGGTGGCAGGTGACGACCTCTCTTTTGGTGCCTTTGTTCTTTTTTCTTTTTTTCTAGCCTTTTCGACGAATGGAATTCAAGCACTGAGGAATAAAAGGGCTCAGCGGCGACTCTTTGGTGCAGCGGTGGCAGGTATTGGACAGACAAACCAAACCGACAGGTCGGTTGAGTAAAAAGACCTCTCAAGTACTTCCTGGGCAAGAATTCAATGCACTAGGCGGCACTCATGCAATACTGTCACCTCGTGCTCTCGCTGTAAGTATGCGAGGATTGATATATTTTGGCCATCATCTCGTCAACTCCAGGTCCTAGAAAAGTCCGCCCCCTATGATCCTCCACGCAGTCCCTTCAATGACACTCTAGGGCCGTGTGCCTCCCCTGTCCATGTTTTCCCCGTTGGCAAGGCGTGATCCGATGACTGAAGACGGGGAGCGGTTTGGATCTTGCCGGGCCAAGGAATCTAACTCACACTAACACTTCAGGTGCAATGCACCCTCGTCCATTCAATTGAGTCAAAAGTGGTAATAGTGCCATTGAACTCAAGACAGAGCACCCGTGGATCCAGCTGGCACTAATATCTCGTTTGCCCCAAAGTGCGGGGATATCAAACGACATGCTCCCCTGAATTGGAAATACCCAATTGAGATAATGGATGGCCACACATCCGTAGATCCAACTCAGGAAAACAGCCAGTGAGGAGGAAGTGGGGATCCATCAGTATATCGAGCCAGCTTCCATTTCTTCCCCAAAAGATGAACTTCCTTGGTCAAGAGAGGGGCCTATCCTGGCGTGACGAGTGCTACAACAGCTCTGCCCTTGACTAGATCGAGCTTGATCGGCCATCTGAATGGTTGACGTATGTGCATAGTTCGGCATCGGTATTCCCGAGCTTCGTGGTTTGTCAATATCGGCCAGGACACTGTGGAGGGGGCGGAGCACGCAACCCTCGGAATTCTGAGATGGCTCTCCATCCCAGACTCTTGATTCCCCAAACCGTGCCTCTTTGTCTCATGGGTCTTTGGCCACCAAGAGCCGAGAATTATTACATTCAAGGATAAGAAAAGGTGGGCTAGGTGGGCTTGGTGGGCTTGGTGGGCTTGGTGGGCTTGGCGGGCTTGGTGGGCTTGCGCGCGCATTAAGAACCACTGGAAGAGGGTGGTAGGACAGACTCAACGCCGGAAGCAAGGAGCTTGGACTCAGGACAATCGATAAGCATGCAGCCCTCCAAAGGAGGTACCAGACAGGTACTTCCCCATCAAATTGCCATTTTGGAGCACCTTGACACGGCAGCCACTGACTGCGTCACTTGACGATGTGTGCCGTCATGCCAATGGATTGATCCATTGACACTTCACCTGACGTTACTTGGAGAGAGAAAAGAAAAAGGAAAGGGGAAACAGCGGAGGAAGAGACTTCAAAGTACCTATCAATCTCTATTTCGTTTTTTCCCTGCTCTTTTTGGAGGGACCTTACTCGTCACCCACCGAGAACGGGATGCTGGCACACCCGTACACCACACACCACATACCATTGCGCACCCACACCACGTAGGAAACTGCTGCATGTGTGGTGTCGTCAGTGCATTCCTTCTAGATTATTCGTGCTCCTCATCCCGGTCCTGCATCTTGTTGGGGCAAAGAAGAAACAAACGGACCAATGCATGGAGGTATTGGAGGGGATGGTGAGTGATGTGCCGGCGATAGATCCATCTTCTTCCATCCCCTCTCGTCCTTCTTTCTTCCCTGACCCACTCCCAATTAGTTGACATCAATTGTAACAACCGCATGGTCGTGGAGTAACAAGCAAAGAAGAACGGAGGGAGGTGCAAATCACTTTTTCCGTCATAGCTCCTTGACCTGGACGATTGATATCCATCCCTCCATAATCCCCCCGCTCAAAAGTTCAAAGAAGTGTTGCTCCGCAAGACAAAGAGACTCGATATAATGAGACCATTGCGTTCGAGGAAAGAGTGGAGTGGCTCCTCCAAAGGTCAGAACCACAAGAACAACACGAGAACAGTGTCAACGCTAAACTGACGTGAGGTCGGGGGCAAGGTTGGATCGGCTAGTGGCATGGGGTCAATGTACAAGTCATGGGTGACTCCCGAGCGCCCCTTTGATTGGGATACCGAAACAGGGCCAAGGGGGTGGGTTCCAGAATGTTGGGTTGGTGGTTGGCTTGGTAAAATACGTTTTAAGCTGGCACAGCACCGCTTTTCCAATTCGCTGGGCTTGCCAACCTGGCTTGCCTTGCAAGGATCATGACCAGGAGCTCTCATCAGGCCGAGATCTCTTTTCATCTCATCTCATCTCTCTCTCTCTCGGTGTCACTTGGCTGGCCTTGAAATCCCGCAAAAAAGAAAGATTGCAGAAAGAGTTGGCACCATGGGTCGAGTTTCCATCATCACTCCAATTCTGCTCCGCGTGAATCACGCTTCACTCACTTGGCTTGGCTTGGGTTTCCGTAGAGGGAGGGAGAGATGGGCCGCCTGCCCCCGTCTCTTTCTCCCCTTTTCACGCTAAGATTGAATTGATCCGGCCCCCAAGATTGCGCAGTTTGGAAATTGTTGATGCCTGATTGACCAAACGGGAACGTCGTGGGCCCTTCCCCACTCAACTCCACGGAGCTTCAAAATATCCATCCATTGGATCTTGGTCCGCTTGTCCCGGCCTCCCCTGAATAATAGCCCACTGACTCGTCTTGCCCATTATTATTAATTAGACTCCCTGGCGAAATTTGGTCCCCGTGACCTTTGTAAAAACTTGGCTCATGGTTTCCCCTCCGCCCAGCTACGCTAGGCCTCTCCGTCCTCTGAACGGGTCCCCCAAGAGGTGGCAGACTATCGCCGGAAAGCGCTGGTCTCGGAGCTTGACACACACGTTGATGATGTTTGTAGTTAGGGCAGACATCTCCACTTCTTTCCAAGTTTACCGAATCACCGAAGTGCCACCTGTTGCTTGCAAACTTCCATACATATGTAGATGCAAGCCATCCAAGTACCAAAAGAAGAAAAAGAGAAAAGGAAAGAGAGAGAGAAGGGACAGGCAAAAAGCGAATGGCCACATCCTATGGTGCGTAATACTGGAGAGCTATGTCGATGGAATGGTGAGCAAGTCCACATCAGTGCGCCTCACAGCCAACGTCCTTACCAACCATAAGCCACAGTAAAGCCACAGCCCAGCCACTAGGTCTGTAGACTCGCAGCACGACAAAAACAGAAGGGGAATCGCGCCACGCCGAAATGCTGATGAGATTCACGCTGGCCAATACCATATTTCTACATGTAGTCTCTGATGCTCTACTCGCTTTTACCCTCGCAGCACGTGGCGTGGGTCCAGAATACCAATCTTCGCATACGTGAGCAGCCGCGTTTCTATGCTCCCAGAGCAACAGACAGCTTGGAGCACATTAAACTTTCTTTCTATGCTCCTGACTAATATCAAGGCCCTCCAAGCCCTCCTAAATCTTGTAATCCTCGACGGTAGAAATAAACGCCAAGGTGCCCGGGCACGTTCAGAATGATCAACTGCTGCGGCCCAGAATACGTAACCACAGCGAGGCTTGTCCTCCCGACTACCTACATCGGCCGTTTCTTTTTCTCTTGTTTTGTCCAGTAAAGGAAAGGAGAGGCGAATGGCTCATTAGAGTCGTCATCATCCCTCATCGAATCATGCAAGCAGCACGCGGCCACTTGGCGTAGGGGGAGCAACCCCCACAGGCTTGCTGGAGGGGAGGTTCTGGCATGTTTGTGGTCGGCGAATTCGATATCCGACTGACACTTGAGGTCCTCGTACGGAAATCTCGCGCAAAGCACACCCACTACCGATGACTGCGATTGGCTCGGTCGCCCGTACCAGCAACGCGGCTTCCCTTGGGCTGCACCGCCACCTTCGCGTACCGGGTCGATGCGACCGCCATTGTGGTGGTCAGCCCGGTATGCCAGCCAAGAGAGGAGCACACCGGTCCGGTCCTTGGCCCGAGATTGATACGGCCCCCGGTGCTGCTTTGTGGGGACACGGTTTTAGACCAGGTGCTGTATATCCTACGAACCCGCGTCCGCCGCTGGGAAGACGAGACGGGCGACAGATCTAGACGTGGGGAAGGAAGCCTCGACCGAGAAGGGCACCCCTTTGCCCATCAACGAGTCACTAGAGAGTGAGGGCAATCAAGGATCCTGAGACAAGAAGTCGACAGTGGGCCGCGGCAGGCTAGTCGCACATGCGGCAGCCACTCTCGAGGAATGGATAGAGCCTGGCGGGCGAACGCTTCAACTATCACCAGCTAACCCTGGAAACGGATCCGGTAGAGTTACGGGGCAAGGCCGGCTGCGAAAGAATCATGTATTGAGCGACACACGTAGCCTTCCAACCGTGGGGCAGATGCCGCGCCAACAGCAAATGGCAAACGTTTCCCCTTTGCGCCAGTTGTATAATGAATTTCCATGTCTTTTTCACCCTACCCGGCGACCCGGGCGCATGCTACCATGGTAGTATGACATTTTTATCCTTCCTGCCCAACCACTCGCCCTTCTAGAAAACAAGATATGCCGTTTAATTCGTCATCCACTGCCCTCGTGTGTTTCCTCGTCCAGCTTCTTACGCCTTCGACTTGCCGTCCTTCTTGCCGATCTCGGTGACCTGCAAGTCTAGAGGAGAAATTTTTGGTTAGCACTCATCTCCCGGTCAATAGCACTAGCCAAGTTTGCTACAGAGCCTCACAACAACCAGGAGAGAAAAAGGTTGGTGATCCCCAAAACTTGATTCCATCCTGGCAATGTGGGCGAAAGAGGGTCGAGCCATGGGCGTTGGGGGAGCCAAAGACATACTGGGAGGAAGAGAGGACTTTAGCTTCTCAGCCTTCTCGCTGTCCTTGATGCTGAGAGTGTAGAGGAAGCGCTGGCATCGGACCTTGAACTTGGCCTGGCCGCTCTTCTTGTTGCGCTTGATCACCGCCGCTAAAAGGAGAATAAACATGTTAGACCATAAACAATTCCCATTCGACATCACGGCTCGCATGCAGCTCTCGATCGATCGGGATTCGATAACTCGTCGGGTAAGAACCTACAGGAAGCGTCCTTCCTCCGGCAGATCTCGATGAACTATATTTTGGAAAAGAATACGTTAGCCCACATGATGCCTCACCCGGTACAGTTTCGTTCTCGCGGTCCATGTCTGGAGCTGGAGCTTCAACGGGCCTGCAACCGTCTCCTCCTCTTGATTAAAGAAGAAAAAAAGACAATAAATTCGGCATGGGTTTTGGAGATGTCTAGATCGTACCTGCTTGATATCGGCGATTTCGCGAGGCATTTTGGGCGGAATTAGATGTGGTGGTCTTCGTGGAAGGTGGTCGGGGGTGGGCGGAAGGGAGAGAAGTTGATGTCGTGGAGGGGATAATATTTCGAAAGATTGTCGCTGAATTTGGGAGAATAATTTTTGTGGGCGTGTGTGTGGTCAAACGCTGTGTGTGCGGGTAGAAAGTACCAAGGTATCTTTCCCTCCTGTGACTCCAACCAATGAAAGCCAGCTTTCCTCAAGTGGGTCCGATATTGGATCCACTTCGGACCTGACGGCGGAAATTGCCGACCTCAACTCCGGGCGTCACTTCCCACTTGCCGGACTACGATCGTGGCCCTGCTAGATTTAGACATCATCCTCTGTATCCGACATACATGCATTCCCTTCGGTTTACTTTTAGGCACAAGATTGTGGTGTCGGTCATTGTCATAAGTTTCTAGATTTACACTTTATGCCCATGGTACACCGGCAGCTACGAGGACCAGAGAGATCTCATCGCTGAGCGAGGAGCTCATCTCAAGGCTCACCAAGGCATCTTGTTCTTATCTTTTAATAAACCGAGATTATTTGGCCTTGTCCCATTCTCCACTCTATGATCTTCCACGTGGGAAACACTTCTCAAGACCTTTAGTCCATCTCCCCTCTCCATCATGTTAGGCACTTCTTTCTCTGAACTCAAGAATACGAACTATGCCCTTCCAGGATGCCCTTACACTAGTTCCACATCTTCTATTCATCCATAGATCCATTACATTCAGGATGAATGAATCAATGGCCCTTTAATAATGGCCTCTTAATTCACTCTGGTCTAGGGAAGCACTGCGCAGTGCCTAGTAATTATTTGGGGGTCCTTCCTTCCCATTCTTTGACTATCTAATTCCCTCCCCAGATCCAGTTCATCTTGTTTCTTTTTCCCCTTTACACATCTTCCTAGATCATTCCTCAAGTCAACCTTCGGGTCGAATCACCATTTCCTGGAGAAGTTCTTTCTTCGCATCCGAGATTTTAAGCTCGAGACTGGCTAGTCTACCTGGGAACAGAACACCTATTCGTTCCATTTTCTTTTTCGAAGTCGTTCAGCATCTCTCAAGTTCAACACGCCTCTCTTCTTTAAAGGTAGCGTAAGGCAAGTCTTTCCATGGCATAAACGCAGACCGTCCTCCTCTAACAGTGTGCCTCTTCAGATGCCTCGACCATCTAAAATGGAGAGTCCACCAGATGCAGCAAACGGGATCCCCTGCAATCTCCCTCGAAAAGTTGCGAGCTCTGGCTTGATATCACCAACCAGCCCCAGTCTCGAAAGTTCCTTTTCAGCTTCGTCGGCCGGCAAGCGTCGCCATGACAAGACCGACTCACTCTCACGGCAGCTCAGGAAAAAAAGAAAATCGCCCCAGTCCCCCATAGCAATAAACCGCGCATTCGGATGGGTCGAATGTCAGACAAGCAAGCTTCTAAATCGTTCGAGAGACTCGTGAAGCCGCGGAAGCTGACGGAAGCTAAGGCGCGCCAGTCAGATGACGCGAGTGCCAATTGGGAATCAGGGCCTTCAGAGGGACTTGATTCACTTGGAAACGCTAACATGGATGCTCTCATCACTAAAAATGAAAAGAAAATGACTGAAAATGCTCTGCAGCGTTGCGAGAAGAAGGTTGCGCCGCATACGCCTCCCGGCGGGCCATACTCAATTATCGGCATCCAGACGCCCCTGTCACCGATCCAGTTTGGCACTCTGGGCTGGATGCTTGAGAGGGAGGCGTCGAAGACCCTGGGGCAGGGTGGAATCGTCGCCCACGGTATGGGAATTGGCAAGACCCTCATCGCTCTAGCCCTCATGGCTGTGAAGGGTACCAGCGCCCGGGCCAGGAAAGACGTCGACGCCCCTACCCTGGTCGTCGTGCCTTCGCACATCGTCATCAATCATTGGATCGAGGAGGCAAAGAAACATGCTCCGGAGACCTTCCCTCCTCGGTCGATCGTCAGGTACAACGACTTACGCAGGGTCGACCTTGAGAAAATCCCCAGCACGGTTGGAGTGGTGTAAGTGCCTGCCTGGCCATGCTCCTCTCGAACCCCTTTTTCTGTTCTTTTCCCGGGTTTCAACGCAGATTTCGAAATCGCTTTATTCGACCAATACTTACCTTATCTTAACTAGATTTTCTACTTATTCTGAATTGTATCGTTATCGCTCCGTGATCAAGAAGTCTGCCCCATCTCAGGGACCCGCTGAGGACGAAGAGGAGGACGGGTGCGGCCCAGGCTTGTCAACCGAGTTAATCTTTCGCGCCCATTGGTTTCGCATCATCCTTGATGAAGCTCATGCCATTAAAAATGACAAATCTCAAAGTGAGTATCCCAATGTGGGCAGGACTGGTTGCGATTTGGGAGGACGTATGTGGTTGTTCGACTACTGATATTGGGCGCTTGAAGCATTCAAAACGATCAAGAAGCTCAAGAAAAGACACTGTTGGTCCATCACGGCCACACCCCTTAGCAACAGCGGGAACGGTAAGTACATGGAAATCTTTGGATCTCCAACCCTCCAGATCCGCTGACAATGGTGGTAGAAATGTTCCCGTATTTCCGATTCCTGGAGCTCGAGGGAACGAAAAATTTGAGTGAATTTCAGGAAACATATTTTTCTCAAGGTGTAAGTGCATGCAAGCCAACGAGCAATGGCGAACGCTCAGGGGCGTGGACTTGCATGCTAAACTCAACCCCTTTCTCTACATGTAGGCTCCAAACCTCAAGATGAAGAAAACTTTGGCAACGGTTATGCTTCATAGATAGTGAGTTGACGGAAATTCCACACGGCGAAGATTCTGCCTGGCATACATGTATTCTAACAAAGAGGGGGATTTCTCCCCTTCTTAGCACTATCTCCGATTCCTTTGGGGGAGAAAAGATCCTAGAAATGCCCGAGCTCAACATCTCGGACATTGAATGCCCCCAACGGTTACTGAAAAGTCCTTCTCAAGTTTGTTCCGCACCCAAGCTTAGAATATTTTATGTTCCGTGACCAACATGGACTAATCGAGTGCGCCTAGCTTCCTTGACTCTCGAATCAAAGAATCGGCCAAGAATATCCTAGAGCAGTCCATCAAAGAAAAGGAGCAGGCGAAAGTGGCAATATACAAGGCTACATCGTCCGTGGCCTCCCTCCTACACCTCTATCGTTATGCCGCGGTGCATTCTTTCATGCTCGAGAATACCCTGATCCGACTGTTCAAGCCCGAAGACCTTGAGAAGATGGCGGACGACATGGCAGCCATCGCCGAGAACGATCAGGACGCCAACGGTCCCCTCAGCCTTCAAGTAATCTTTCGACTCGCGCGCCAGGATCAACAACTTCTTGGCCTAGTCTGCCTATCATGCAAAGCTAAATGTGGTACCTTGAGCGAACATATTTTCAAGGCCGGAGTAAGTCTTTTTCCACGCAAAGCGTTCCTCACTTGCTCTCTTCTTTCTTCTTGTCTCTCTTTCCTTTTCTTCCGTTTCTACGAAGCTAAGTTGAGTTCTCCTCATAGTGCGGTCACATCATTTGTGAAAAATGCTTATGTTTGAAGTTTACCGAGGTTTGTGATCAGCCTCCAGATCTTGAAGAGGCACATCCATGTATGTTGGAAAAAGTGCCACCGGTGATGGCTAATGACCTTCCATAACCAATCTAGAACATCAAATGTAAGATCGAGTCTTGTGGAATGGTCTGGCCACGCCTTGGGATAGCGAGATATCCCACATTGCGCTCTCCCGCTCCCCGCGATGATGGCAGCGATGAAGAGTCTGCAAGCTCCGAGGGGCGGATGAGCCCGTCTCCCCTGGCACCGATATGTGCGGGTACAAGCCCCCTTGGAGGCAAACAAGAGCAGGTTTCTTCGTTACTCGGATCAGTACATGATGAAACTGGGCATGGTCGTGCCCAGCGCCAGGCTGTCTAAAATTGAGTTCCTCTTGAAAAAGTGGCAGAGGGAGGCACCCAACGACAAGATTATCGGTTCGTGAGATACTGCACCTTCTCCCAAAGAAGACGTCTTAGTGGATTGAGCGCTAACCACGGGACCGTTGATGGCTTTGGGCCACCGCCATTTACCTAGTCTTCACTCAATTCATGGTCGTTGCCTCTCTCATTGGAAGGGTCGCAGACCTCAAGGAATCAAGTACTTGTATTACATTGGCGACATGAGCGTAACCGCGCGCCAGAATCTCTAGAAATGTTCCGCGATGACCCGACGGCCAAGGTCTTGGTACGCCCCTTTCCCCCTTCCTCCCTTGTCGCCTTATTGTTTCTTTTTCTTTTTCTTTTGCTAACTTTCCTCGTCTCCCAACAGATCGCTTCCCTCCTCTGCGGCGGCCAATCCCTCAACATCACCGCCGCCAACCGCGTCATCCTCACAGAGCTCTGGTGGAACACGCCCGCCGAGGAGCAGGCCTTTGCCCGCGTGCACCGCTTCGGCCAAACCAAAGAGATTCACCTCGTGCGCCTCCGGTGCCCCGGCACCCGCGACGACGACATCCTCCAGATGCAGGCGAGCAAGGACGCCGAGTTGAGCAGCTGCCTCATGTCCAAGAAGTACAGCAAATCCCGCCACAGCCTGCACAAGGTCCTCTCTCGTCGGCAGGCCCATTGTCGACGACGAGGGCACCATCATCGGCATCGAACGCCCCAAAGAGGGCGGCGCCCCCTGCGATATCGATGACGAGCTCTATAGCCTTGCGTCTGACGGGGGCGATCCCGCCTCCGACTCGGGAGACGAAGCTTTGGGATTCGACTAGAGCGCCAAGTAAGAGACTGCGGCCAACATCAGGGAAGACTGTGAAAGGTTGACATCGGCATGTGCGGGCATCTTTTCTGCCTTGCCAGCAACGAGATCTCACTAGTCGCCGGCTGTTATAGTACGAAGAGACGCAGATCCATGTCCTGTTTTTTTCTCTTGTTTTTGTTCATTTCTTCTCTGTCTACTTTTTCTTCCCTTGGTCCGCCATGGCCCTCAACGGGATGCGCCCATTTACGGCGAGGAAGAGCTATTGCGTTTTTATGATTACCCATGGATGTTTTATGATTCATTGCTCTCTAATCTATAGGGTTTACTTAGCTTCTGCCTCACGGCAGTGTGACCTAGCAAGGTAGAGGAGAGCTGAAACTCGGGATAACACGCCCCGTAGTATACATACATAGCCCTATCACTCCCAAGTCTAATACAACCCGTGTTATGAATTGTCACACTTTGTTTTTCCCTCTTGCTCCGGTTCTGTATGCTGTTCGGATACTCAATTATCAAGTTTCAGGCACGGTTCGTACAAGAAGAATCACGTAACGCTAAGGCATTCAAAAGAAAGCGCATCGAAAATCTGTATCCTTGATTGATACACTCCAGCCTTCACCCAATCTGGTATCATATCTAAACGTACTCTGAACCCCTTGATCGATCGACTAACAAGGCCCATTCCGGGACCGTAATCTACTGATGAGGCACCAATACCTTGTTTTTATCCTAGAACATCCGGGAGTGTTTGTTCTTTTATTTCGTTTCTCCCTCGCCAAACGATAACCATCGCCATTGAATTGGATGTCTGCCTCCACATTCCCACGCCTCTCATGCCGTGCCAACTCTCTCTCATCTCTTTTCTCTCTTTCTCTGTCCCCTTTTCTTTTTTTTCCACTCACACCACTCTTACACTACTACTACTTCCTACTCCTTTTCTGCCTTAGAGCTCGTCTCGTCCAGTGGTCTTGGCAGTCGAGGGTTCCTCCTCGACCTTGGAGACCTTCTCCGAGGGAGTCCAGCCGAGGGCACCGAGGCGCTCGCTGAGGATGGGGTGCGAGTAGTGGTACGAGGCGTACATCCAGTCGGCGTCCATGGTGCTGAGGTTCTGGATCTGGAGCTTGATGAGGGAGCGGGCGAGCTCCGCCTTGTAGCCAAGGCGGGAAGCGAAGGCGTCGGCCTCGAACTCGTCGTGGCGGCTGAGGATGTTCATGAGTAGCTGGATGACAGAGTTGGTGGGAGTGAGGACGTCGGAGAAGAGGAGGAAGCCGATGATGATGGGGCGCTGGGCCACGAAGCCAAAGGCCGAGTAGAGGGAGGCGTTGTTGACAAAGACGGAGAAGAGGGTGAAGATGTAGATGAAGTGGAGCTGGATGATACCGAAGCGCTTGGTGGTGTGGCCCTCGTGCCAGTGGCCGAGCTCGTGGGCAAGCACGGCGATGACCTCGGAGTTTTCGCTCTTCTCAATGAGGGTGTCGTAGAGGACAATGTGCTTCTTCCAGGGGAGACCAAAGAAGTAGGCGTTGCTGTGGGCGCTGCGCTTGAGCCGTCAATGACGGAGAGCTCCTGGAGGGGGAACTTGAGGCTGGCGGCGAGGGCTTCGACGCCCGTCTTGAGCTCGCCGGGCTCGAGGGGCGAGAGCTTGTTGAAGAAGGGCAGGATGAAGATGGGGTAGACCGTGATCATGAAAGCCTGGAGTCCGGCGGCGAAGAGCCACAGGTAGAAGAAGAACTGGTTACCCGTCTTTTGGATGATGGTGAGGAAACCGGCGAGGATGGGAGGAATCAGAAGAAAGGTCAGGATGTTGGACTTGATCAGGTCGGTCACGAAGAGCTTGGGCGTCTGCTTGTTGAAGCCGTACTTTTCCTCCAGCACAAAGGTGTGGTAAATGGTGGAAGGGAGTGACAGGGCCTGGTTGAGGACGGTAAAAGCGATGACGAAGACAATGGACTGGCAGATCTCGCCGCGGTAGCCCTCGGGCGCAATACGGAGGAGGAGGTCGCCGGCGAAATCCCACATCTTGGGGAGCACGTCGAAGTGGATGAAAGCGAGGTTCTGAACGAGGCCGTAGAGGTTGTTGAAGAGCGAGAAGCGGGCCTTGGCGCGGCCGTAATCCTGGGACTTGTCAAAGACTTCCTGGGTGACTTCGTGTTCGAGGACCTTGGGGACCTTGGGCTTCTGAAGGACGCGGTACTGGCGGAGGGTCAAGAAGGTGTCGAGGAGGTATTCGCCGACGGCGAAGCCCATGATGAGCTTCTTCCATGGGAAGAGCGGGCGGTCGAGCGCTCGAGCGAGGCGCTATACGAGGGAGCAAAGGCACGTGCATGTTAGCCATTGGATCTCGTCAGGTAGACAGACCATTAGGGGTGAAGGGTCTGGTAATTCTGCCGAGACTGATAGAGCATAGGTGGGCAGGAGGTGGGAGGGGAGGGGCAATGCGAGGGGAGGGAAGCATGGGGAGTTCGTACCTGAAGGAAGTCCATGGTGGACCAAACGAATCACCTCGTAGAGGCTGTACGTCAAGCTCGAGAAGAGAAGTCAAGGGGAATAAGAAAGAGAGAAAGAAAAAAAGAAGGTGTCAAGGAATGGACGCGATCTTCGGAAAGAAAAAGATGTCCGAACAGAATCGCGATAGATGGAAATGGAGTGTGGAGAAGAAATAGGAAATGGGAGGACGAAGGAGACTGGGGGAGAAAGGAAAAAGAAGGAGACGTTTCTTACAGGGAGCGGGACGAATGTGTGTGGTCCCTCTCGAGCGATCAATTGATGGCGAAGCGCACGGAGTGGAACACTGGCACGGCGGTTTCATCGGACAAGCTGTCCTCCACGTCCAACGGGGGCCTAAATGAGAGGCCAGCGCACGCGATGATTGGCCAAAGCTTTTCCCTAGGTTCGTTTGCTGCATCCGTTTGTTGCTTATATCATCAACCTATATTTGGTGGGCTCTCACAGCTCGGCACATTTATTAGGCATGAGACGAGGGATCTACGTCATTGGTAAGGAGGAGCGCGAGAGTATCGATGCACGCACGCGAGAAGAAAAGTCATAATAGGTTGGTTGTGCTTTGGGAACGGGAATCTATGGGAACTTCAAGACTGTATGGAAACCAACCGAAATCAAACAAAACAAATTCTTTGATGCGCGAGTCCCCGACTCAAGACGGAAAACTAATCTAACCCTCCATGCTGCTGCTGCCTCCGGCTTAGGTTCTTGGGTGGCGCAGATTCGCCTTGACCCGCTCCAGCAGCTCCTCCCTCGTCGCGAGGGGGCGGGCATCAAGTTCCTCTGTGGAACAACTACGACGTTAGCCTCGTTGATGCATTCGAGGGTATTAAGACGGTTCAGGGGAAGAGGAAACATTCTTGGGGAGTGGGAGGACGGGGAATTCGATGATTTCTCGGCCCAAGCGGATTAGCTTACATTATTGAGCCACCTGCGGAGCTCGTCGGTTGTCCATCCTTCAGGATTGCCCGTCGGGTCGGGCTGCGCTGGGAACATGTCTCCTCCCCAGATTGACCAGGCTGCCACAGCTGTGATGACCCCTCCAAAACTATTCAGAAAACAAATGTGAGTAATATGGACTAAGCAGAGCTTGAAGAGAGGGAAGAAGGACAAGGGTGGTGGAATGTGCTTTTGATTTGGAGTGGAATCAAATACCTAGGACGAGGTTCTGGATTGTTGCTCTCACATGTTAGTCGCTTCAAATTTATATAATGGAATGTGGATGGATTCACAAGTGGAGGCTCTCATATACCTTGGATTTCATCGCATTGTCTAGGGGCGTCATTGTCTCTCCTTTCCTATCCCGTCTTATTCTAGAGTCAGAGGTGGTGACGGCGAACAAAGAATGCCGATTATCGAGAGGGTGATTAGGTTGTTATCTATGCTCAAGGACAAAGAATCAGGTGAAAGGTGAAAAAGATCAAAGACCAGATAGGGCGGCGGTTCGACGATGGTTATTCTCTTTTGATCCCCTAGCTTGGTGCCTGGCCAATGTGGCGACATCCCTGGATAACAAAAGGCTAGTGAAGGGATCAATCATACCGAGACTTGCTCGAGTCTCCTACTCAACTCTCTGCCCACTAACTTGAAATCCACGCCACCAACTTGCGTGGCCCCTCGGCCCAAACCACCGTGTCCTCAACTCTGAACATTGATCAATCTTTCCAAAGGTGGGGAAGGAAATGCCAATGTGCAAGGAGCGTGGTTTCATTTCACGTTTTTTTTTTTGGGCAAGGTTTTATTTTATCTTATTTTATTTATTCTCCATAATGAAGGGGCTATTCTTGGTGTTATCTCGGCGACGAATGGCTCAACAGATGCCCTCTTTTAGTCTAAGTCCAGATCTTCTTGAATAGAGAAGAGTAGTAAGACGAAAGAAAATTCCCAGGAAACAAAACCGAACTCCAGCCCAATTTATGATACGTACAGAATGCCCATTTGATGAATCTTGTGTGCCTTTTTTTTGCCCTCCCTCCATCATATGCCGCCGTTAAAACGCCGTAGCCTCCCGGCCCTTGTCCATCTGAGCTTCTCCGGCCACCCGCTCGGCCACCTCCCTCAGCAAGCCGCGGAACGGCTCACCCAGCGCCTCCACCACTGGCTTCGTGTTTGGTCGTAGCTTCTCGCCAATCTCCAGCTCCTCCATGGCCCGCGAGAGGTCAACGTTGCCGTCCCACGTCGTCTCCCCGCTCGAGCTGGGTTTGCCCGGCGTGATGCGGTTGATGACGTCCGTGCCCCGCCGCTCTTTGCCCCAGAAGTCGGGGGAGATGGCCGCCTCGTCGATGAGGGAATGCCAGCTGGCGAGGTACATACCGGGACCCCTGGCCGTGCTCGAGTCGGACTTGTCGAAAATGGTCTGCACCCGGCCCCGTGTGATGTCGCGCACCGAGTCGAGGTAGACGGCGTGTTGATCGAGGATGCTGCGAAACGCATCCTGCTGTTCGCCTGGAAGGGCTGCGAAGAGGCCCGAGACTCGTTCGAGGAGCGTGGAGCCGTCTCGGGTGGCCGGCGACCCTTCTGGCCGGAACGCCTTGGCCACCCCTAGGGCCCATTCGACTACCGCGTCCCTCACACTAGGGCACTTACTGCATATGTGGTGCATCCACTTGTACACCGATCCCTTGTGTCGGTGGAGAAGGTCTACAAAGTCTTCCACGGTCGGGAGGATGTAAACGGGGTCGCTCCCATTCTTACCGGAACCGTCCACTTTCTTGCTCGAGCTTACGGCGAGCATATCCTCGAGAAACGCTTTTGTGGCGTCGAGGTGCTCCGCGAGGTTGACGTTGTTATGTACATCCCGGATCATGGGTTCGTAGACGGCCATGACGTCTCGGACCGCCTGGGTTAGTAGATCCGGGGTTTGCTTACACAGGGTGCTAACGATGGCGTCACGGTCACGGGTAGACAGATATGCAGCGTAATACTGGTGGCACTCGTGGTGCTCGCCCTCTGTCAGTGCGGCTGCTAGCTTAGGGTCCGCATCTTCCAGGATGCACATGATGACGGACTTCGAGGTCTGGATGCTGCGCTTGCGAAGTTCGAGCCTCTGTGCCTTGGTGCCTTGCGCATGTTTTCGGATTACTCGAAGGTGCTTGGAGCTTGGCGCTATTTTCGATTTTTCAATCTTGTCCGCCGTCTTCTTGAATTCGGACGAGTCCCAGAAAAGGACAGCGGAGATGATTCTGTTGACACAAACGTTTCCATGAGCTTTCCCATTCCCGGACCAAAGCAAAGAAAAAAGAAAAAGGAAAAAAGGGGGAAAAACGAAAAGAGAAAAAGGTCTTTGGAACAGATGACGGGCAAGCGTAGGTCAGAAAATGGAATGGGCAGGGGTATATGCGTACCGCTGAAGCAAGTTCATGCCCTCGTCCGCCTTGGATGTCAGGCCGGTCCAGTTCGACAACGACCCCAGACTAAGCTTAGCGAGAAGCAGCTTGACCAACGAATTCAGCATCGTTGCGGCGTTACCCAACCGCAGAATTTGCCGGATCATGCTGTACGGGATGAGGCGGTGAGAGTTTTGAACTAGCCGGAGGACATACTGGCCCTCGGGCGTGACGGCAAACACATGGTGCAGCAAACTCGCGAGGCTATCAGAGAACCAAGGTTAACAATCTGGCTTTAGCTTTAGGTGGGCCGACATGTAGCCCAAAAGGGAAAGAAAAAGAAAGGAGTGAAACAAGAGGGGAGAGGAGGGGGAGATTGCTCACTTGATGATGGCATAGTCCGCTGCGCCTTTGACAGTCTCCGAATACCCCTCGAGGTCCTCAGTCTCTGTTAGCCACTTCTGTAGCTCGTCAATTAGATTGCCATGGACAAGCTGCTGGATGAACTCCTCCCAAACGTCCTCCAACCCTCGGTGCTCTGCGTTGCTAATGTCGTTGCCATTACTATTGTTATTACCGTTGTTATTACCGTTGTTGTTACCGTTGTTGTTACCGTTGCCATTATTGTTTCCGTTGCTGTTATCGTGGCTTGCGCCTTCCTCATCGTGAGCATCTTTGGTGCTGTGTATATTGCCGTTGGCGTTTCTGTCAATTGCACCTTCCTGGTCGTTGGTTTTCTCGTTGTTGTTTCCATTGCCGTTGCTATCTTTGTCGCGCCCGTCGCGCTCTGTCGACCCCATCACGGGTTTCTGAGGATACCCTCCCAAACAACCTCTGGCAAACATCTCCATAAGAGCAGACGCCCCGGTCGCCAGGATCTTTCTAGTCCCGATGGCACCCTTGTCGTAGCTCTCGCTCAGATCTTCCTCGGCTAGCTTGGCCAAAATACCCTGAACCCTCACGTCCCAGAACTCGGACGGCAGTTCGCGTAGGCCCGGCAGAGGCAGCACAAGGCGGATCAAGAGCGTTTGCAGGAGGGGCGATGAGGAGACGGCAGCGTGACGGCAGCGTCGCCGCCTTTGTTGTCTTGATCATTGTCTTGGTTGACATCCTCGTTACCGGCCCCGCCGCTGCTCTTGCCGCTACTGCTACTGCCTCGGCTCCCGGGGGTGAGTGGAAAATGGGTAGCCATACTGACGGATAGTATCCGGGTACTTGAACGCCTCAATCTCGGCGTACGTCTCAGCGTGGGTGAGAATGTTGAAAAGGGCGTCCAGCTGAACCTTTGTCAGGGATCCCGTGGGGTGCTTCATGGCGTGGCGTCGACAGCCGGGCGCCGTCGTTCACGAGTTCAAATGGAGAAACGGAACGGTGGCGGTGTGTGTGTGTCCGCGAGGAGGTGGGTGCATGTGTGTATGTGTGTGCGTATCTCTAAGTGTAATTGTGAGCTTGAGTAATTGTGAGCTTGAGTTTGACGAGGAGAGGAGAGAGAGTACCTGGTTTTGTTCTAGAATCTTATGTGTCGATAATAGCCATACTCTTTGTAGATGATTAGGAAGAAAGAAGGGGATGGTGGTGGGAGGACGATTTGTTGTTGTAGGTGGGAACCGTAGGGCAGGGTTCCTTAGATGAAATGCTTCGTTGGGAGGGAGCCCAAGAGAAAAACAGTGCTGAGAGATGAGGTTTAGTTGCACTTTCCCTCTTCACACAATCACAGGAAATAGTGCTCTCTCACAGAGAACATGAAATGGAAAGGAAATAAAATCAGGGTGGAGAGGGGCAAAGGAAGTGAGCAGCAACTGCTTAATTGTCACGATGAGAGCTATCTCGAGAAGGAGGCAAAAAAAAAGAAAGGAAAATAAACATCTACCAAAACCTCCAGCTCAAGCAGCCAGTTTTTTTCCCTCTCCCATGCGCTTGACTATGAGAAGGGGAGGGCTTGAGAGATAGCGCTTGACCTCTACGACCTACGTGCCTGTGGCTGAGCCATGGATATGGATCATGCTGCGCGCCATCGAATGTATCGACTGATGTCATTTGGTGCTGTCCCTCCCTCCCTCCCTCAACGGCCCGCAACCCCATGGTTTCTTCCCGACCCCCGGAGCGCCGGGATCCTTGTCAGTCCCGAAGCCTCTGGAGCCTTTTGCCCCCGAAAATCGAAGAAAAAGGAAGAAAGCAGGATTGTTCGACAACCACACCGCTCAAGACCCCCACGTATTTTAACACCTCTCACTCTGATGTATTAGAATCCCACCCCTTATTAGGAAATAGCCATTTATTTATTCCCTATGTTGATAAAAGCGATGGCTCAACCGGGATTGGAACAAAGAGGGAAGAAGTGCTGGGTGCCGCATGTTCCCTTGGGTTAAACGGGGGGACACGTGCTGCACCCGCCGTGTCGACGTTTGAGCCATACTCGTTGGAGATTGTCGCTGCAAGTAAAACTTGTGCTATTGAAGCCTGCCCTGCCCAAGCGTCAAGTGACGAGCGCATGATGGAACTTCTCGAGCAGTGGCAAGTCGCGGGCCCGCAAGGTCACGACTTCTTCCCGCCTAACGCCACCGGATATCGAGCCAAACACAATTCGTGAGGGGTTTAACAGCAAGAGCTGGCTACATATGTGGCTGACAGGTTGACGACGGCCCACAGGCCCGAAATCGGTGAATGCATCCAGTCCACTTGGTCTGTTTTTCCAAGACGAAAAATAGGAAAGAAAAAGAAAAGAAGAAGCAAGGAAAGTAAAACAGAAGTCGTCTACTGCATCGAGAATTCTACCGGGCTATGTAGCATGTCTTCTCAGTCTTAGTCCGATGATCCATGCCTTTGGTATCTCGGGTCTGAAAGTGAGAAGTATGATAATTATAGACGAAACGAGAATGGAAAGATGGGAACAGGTCTCTTCGGTTTCCAAAGGAACCCAAAGGCGGCTTGTCGTTCAGTCATCCAAGTTTCGGGGGTTTGCTCTTGCGTTTTGCAGTGATCTCGCGGCCATGCTAAAGATATTCGGCCACAAGACGTATTGTAATAAAAACGCGAATCATTCACAGTTCCATTGCATCGGTGTCTGATACCTGCATCACCACTTACACCCCTCATACAGTCCTCCCCGCTCTATTTAGGGTGAGCGTGGAGGCGTTCACAGTCATCGGAGAGGGTATATTTTTTTCTCTATAGTCTAACCAAGTCGGCTTCTTTACAGTTAGTAGTGTACAGCATTAGTGGCCGATAGACGGCACGCAAACTTCACCGGAGCCAGGGCCGGGCGAGCCCTCGTCTTACGCCGGATTTCTTTCTTTTTGGTGTCTCATCACACCGCATTTGGTTTTTACCAACACCTTCCCCAACTTGTCGATTTAGCTTTGCGAGCTATTCGAGTCCATCTCGTGGACCGTCCAGGAATCGTTGACCCAGGGCTGCTTCTGCCCAATAAAGGCGACCCTTTCGGCGCCCTTTTCGAGGCCGTCGACCAGATACTTTTGCGCTACCTCGCGCACCTGCTCCTTGGTCACGTCCAGGAGCCGCTCCCGGCGCGTCTGCTTCATCTCGTCCGTGATGCCAAAGAGGAATTGGTTCATGCCCTCCTCGTTGACCGACCGGGGAGCGTCGATGCGCTGGAACACCGAAATCTTGGCCTCTTCCAAGTCGCGGTCCGCCCACTCCTTCTCCCGCGCCCACCGGCCCGCGTCTTGCATGATGGACATGGTGTTGAGCGGGTTGGGATCGCGGTACGAGTAGAAGCCAAACAGGCCGTCCAGCGCCGAGCAGTACGCGCCGCCGCCGTACGCGCCTCCCTTTTCGCGGATCTCGTGGTGAAGGTGCTTGTGCGTGAGGAGCTGCGCGAGCACCTGGAGTGGCGCGCCCTCCGCCTCCGTGTACGAGGTAGTGGGCACGGAGAGACCTCCGTAGTAGACCTGGTAGGGGAGGGGGAAGAAGGATTTCTTGTCCGTAGGGAGGCTGGCGGAGCCGCTGGTCGACGAGCTGAGGCCGGCCGTAGAGCCTGCTCGGGCCGACAAAAACTGGCCGAGCGCGCTGGCGTTGGCCTGGACACTCTCGGTACCGCAAGTCACGGCGGTGCGCATCTTGTCTCCGGACAGGACGATCTGTTGGATCCTCTTGAGCTTTTCGATCACATCGCTCAGCCCGTCCGATTCGGGTCGGCCTGCTAGAGAGGTGATGAGCTTGACTTGCGAGAGCCCGCCAACCTGCTGCTGCAGCCAGGCGGCACGCGTGAGCCCGGACTCGGCGTAGCCCCTAGCGAACTGATGACCAGAGGAGGCGATGTCGTTGACAAGACCATCCGCAGATGCCTGCAGTAGCTGCCGGATGCGAAGGGGAGTCTCCGGGCTGTCAAAGTTGGTCTCCACCACAAGCTTGCGGAGGATGTCAAACATGGCCGGGACGTTTCGGTCCAGGGCCATGCCGCTAAACGCGATTCCCTCCGTTGCCTCCCTAAAGTTCGTGGGTGAAGGCGCTACGCGGTAACCGACAGACACCCCGCCCGTCTTGAGTTTGATGAGGTCCTCGAGCTGCTCCATCGTCATATCCTTGGTTCCGAGGCGCATGATACTGTCGGCAAACAAGGGCATGAGCTGCCGGAGCTCATCGGGAAGACCTTCAATGGTGTTGATGGCTCGGAAGTACGTCAGTCCGTTGGTGGGCGCCTCTCGCCACTGGACGTTGACGTTGCCAAGCTTATCGTGTCGAAGCACGGTGCGCTTCGCCTCCCGGGGAATGTCGGCCACGTGCACACTCGGCAGGCACTCTAGGTCCTCCGTCTTGGTTTTGCCCTGCTCCTTGAGAAGCATGAGCTCTTGCGCCTCGAACGTCTTGCGAGCCTCGGCTTCGCCCCCAAGCTCCGACGCCGCCTTCCCAATCTTGGAAGCGAGCCTCTGCTGTTCCTCCTCAACAATCTCTTGGCCGTATGTGGGCGACGGGGCCATCACAAAGGTAAGAGTGTTGTCGTTGAGCAGGTACTTGTCGAGGAGACCCTCGAGATAGCCGCCCTTGGCAAGCTTGGCCCGGAACGCGTCGACCGTTTCATTCCAAGCGAGGGCGTCGAAGGGATCGACGCCGGAGAACCACTTTGACTTGAGACGGTGCAGAAGCGAGAGGCCAAAGTTGGCCGTCTTGTGCTTCAGGCCGAGCTCAATCTGATGGATCGCGCCGTCAATCTTGGAAAGATCGAAGCCCTTTTCGCGGACCTCTTCGAGGATCCGCCTAATTTCGGCCTTGAGCTTGGGCACATCCGCCTCCTTGATACCCGACAGACCAACGGATAGAATAGCGTGGCTTGGGCTGCTGTCGTAACCTGTGTTCGGGCTCCAGTCGGTTCCAAGGCCCGATTCGATGAGTCCCTTGTACAGAGGCGAACCGTAGCCATCAAGCAAGAGGCTCGCCATTAGAGAAAGGGAGAAGGACTCCAAAGTGTTCTTAGTCTCGCCAGTAACCCACGACACCGAGGCCTTGTATTGCCTGTCGGGGTCCACGAGGGGATCGATCGGCCCAGACACTGTCACTTGTACCGGCCCCGAGCTTAGATCGACGGGGCGCCGATGGTCCCGAAGAGTATGGGTTTGGTTGAAGCGGCCGAGGCGGGCGTCGACCTCCTGTAGGTGCTCCTTGAGGGGCATATCGCCATAGGTAAAGAACTTGGCATTACTGGGGTGGTAATTCTCCGCGTGGAATTGCTTCAATTGCTCATAAGTGAGGTCCGTGATCTTTTGCGGGTCACCACCTGAGTTGTTGATGTCGGGGAAGATGTGATCTTGGAATCGAATGTAGTACAAGTAGCCGGCATCAGACATCTGACCCTTCATCTCGTTATAGACGACACCCTTGAACACAAGCTTGCTGCCCTCCTCTTCCGGCGCAGCTTGAGGGTTCTCTGGGCCGATGCGCCAACCTTCCTGAAGAAAGTCGGTCTGCTTCAGGAGGGGTGGAAGGCCGAATCCATGTAGACTGACATGAGATTCTTATAGTCTTGCGCGTTGGTTGTCGCAAAGGGGTAGTATGTGTGGTCGGATGCGGTAAAGGCATTCATAAAATTGGACAAGGTGCGCGGGAGCATCTTGAAGAAGGGATCTCGGATGGGGTACCTTTTGGGGTGGAAAGCACATGTTAGCTTAGCTCCTGGGAGGGAGGGGGCATGGGCCGGGACGCGGGGATGGTGCGCGAATGAAGCGAAGGGAAGGCTTGATTCTGCAAGGAGATGCTCACTTTTCACTTCCGCATAGCGTGGTGTGTTCGAGGATATGCGGAATGCCCGTGTCATCCGGTGGGTTGGTCTTGAATCCGACCGAAAAGACATTGTTGTTGTCATCCCTGGCGATGTGAAGATAGTCCGCACCAGTGCTGTCGTGCTTCAGGTGGAGGGCCGTCAGCTTGAGTTCGGGGACATGTTTGGACCGGAGAAGCGTGAATCCGTGGAGCTTTTCGCCAATCTTCGGTAATAGCGCCGCGTCCGTGGCAGCCGTGCCAGTAGCCGCTTGCGCGACATGGCTGGCCTGGCGAGCGGCGGTTCGAAGCATCGTCGAGCACCGTTATGCTGCACCGCTGTAGGATATGAGTTATTGGTAGTTTTTTCTCTTTTTTCCTTTTGCCTTCTTCTCTTGTTGCCCGGAAAGCTCTCAGTTGGGCAAGATGGTACTGCCAGCAAAGAAAAGAGAGTTTGTGCCGGGTGTGGACGTATTACGGGCTTTCTCGGAAATGGAACTTTCTGGAGGGAAGGAAAGGGACGCAGACATCTGTCGTCTGATGTTAATCTAGAAACCTCGCCTCTGCATGCGTAGCTACGCGCGCAAGCTTGGGTGACGGCACCGCTGACTAAAGTCCCATTTCGGGTGTCTGAAATTTTCATAACGCTCGGGCCATTCGGCAGGAAGCGCCTGGAAGATCTTGTAGGCGGAGGACCTCTGAGAGATCGATTCTTTATGTTAGTCATCACTGGATCAATCCATTGGAGTTGAGTCAAGCCGTGGACGACTTTGTATCAGCTTGGTCCTGGTAGGTCGATGTCAGTGGTGAAGCCAATGTCCCAGCCGCCTGTCCAATGGATGGCACCCTAACGGCACCGCTGTGGAGCTGGAGACAAATCCGCGACCACAGGTGATGGTGCGCACACTTGACGCTTATTCCTGGCCAGAGCCCACTACAGGGTACTTGTACATGCGCAGAGAGATTCAGTTGATCCATCAACTTGGACTCTCGTCCACTCCAAGCCAATTTTTTACCGACCTCGACACTAATGAAAATCCCGATCGACGACGAAATCTACGCCACTTGAAACTCTCACAGTCGATTTCCCATGTCCCCGCTGTCGCCTACCGCACCGATTTGAACAGGCATGAATTTGTACAATACTTAAAGAATTTGATATTGCCAGACGCATTGAACCCTCCCCTCCATCTTGAGCTCGGTACGTTTCTTCATCAATGATCCGGGGTTCCGTGGCTTCAGTTGCGGTGCTGCCAGCTCTTGCTCTTCCTACCCCAGCGAGGCGGTTGCGACTGCCTCAGATTTCGACCTAGGCCCTTCCAACGTCATATTTGGCCCCGGTCAACGTTCCTCCCTAACTTGTAGAATATACCAGAGCCCTCGATCTCTTCACGTATTGCGACCGAGCGCCGTTTCTGACGAACCTGTCGAGCAATCATCTACCATTTGTCTCCACCCCCAATTCACCACAACATAGACAAAGGAAAGACGGTGATGGGTGTGGCCGGCATGCACCTCAATCGCAAACCCGAACCCTCCTAGTTCTTTTCCCTTTTACAACCTTTTACCTCTCTCTCTCCTTTTTTCCGTCGCCTTCAAGCATCTGGGCTGAGCAGAGGGTGGTACTTTGGCTTTCGGATCTCGAGTCGCTCGCGTGACAGGCACGAGGCCCGAACCGTCGTTTCCGGACCCCCACACACCGGTATGCCTACTCACGTAAACGGCCACTCTGAATACGCCATGCCGAACGGACCCGACATGGCTGCTTCAATGAAGAAGGGGAAGCAGAGGAAGGCGGTCGACAATAACGACACAACCCGACTCCTCCAAGCCCGCATCTCGCAGCTGGAACAGGACGCCGCTGGGGAGAAGGACCAGGAAGCCGAAATCGGTATGTGTGCCCTACTGCCGCACCCTCCCCCTTCTTTTGGTGAAGGGGTGGTTGTTTGTTTGGCAGTGTTGGACACCAGGCCTGGCCCCTCCCTCTGGAGAGGAAAACTAGAGGGGCGGCTGTGCCTTGCTTAGGATACTTGAGTTGCTAACAAGTGTGCCCTTCGGGTGCCTTTAGAGAGAGAAGTCAAGCGGGCGAACCGTGATCTTATGCACCAAATGGCCAAGATGCAAGACCCCGGTGACAAAATCGATTTCTTGCTCCGCAAATCGAGCGAACTCCTAGCCGAGATGCGACGGGTTGAGCGGGAAAACCAAAAGAATAAGAAGAGGGGTGATGCTCTTCAGAAAGAGAAGGATGCCAACCGTACAGAGCTCGGGAAGACCGTCACGCTAAAAGAGAAGTTGGAGAAACTCTGCCGTGAACTGCAGAAAGACAACAACAAGCTCAAGGTACTTTTTATACACATCTTCTGACGTCCCCCCTAAAACTTTGGACGAATACTGACTGAACTGTTCGGGTTAGAGTGAAAACAAGACCCTGAGTGATACTTTGAAGCATAGCGATGCTGCTTGGGATGAGAAACTCGCGACGGTCCTGTCCAAGCTTGATGGATACCAAGACGCTAAAGACAATCCTGGAAGGCCCTCGGTTGATACCGAGCTAGATGAACTGTACGCGATTTTCTGACACCGCCTTGGGCGCATGCAAGTGGTGATGACCTTTGCTAACTTGGCTTCAATAGCTTCCGTGTTCGGTTTAAGACGTTTATCGACCAGTACGAGCTCCGAGACGTCCATTACCAGGCATCCATGCGAAGCAAGGAACTTGAAGTTCAATATCACATGAGTCGGTACGAGCGGGAGCGAAAACGTGCCGAGGGAGAGAACGGGAAGTCCCGCCACCTCGAATCCCAAGTTCAGACTTTTACCAAGACGGAGGCGGACCTTAGGAGCCAACTCAACGTCTACGTAGACAAGTTTAAGCAGGTAGCGTCGAACCCACCGAACTCCGTTCCCCTCTGCTCCCCTGGGCGACCAACAGCCATACTGACAAACCGTACCTCTCTAGGTCGAGGATACTCTTAACAACAGTAATGACCTCTTCCTGTCGTTCCGCAAGGAAATGGAGGACATGTCGAAAAAGACGAAGCGTCTCGAAAAAGAGAACGAGACGTACAAGCGCAAACATGACGCCACCAACGCAAATATCTTTCGAATGGCAGAGGAGCGTGAAGAGGCGAAGAAGCGCGAAGAGGAGAGCTCCAAGAAGAGCGAGAAACTGATGAGCATCATCCGCACCATGCAACAACAGGGTCGCAAGATGCCACCAGGGGCCGCAGAGATTCTAGAGAGCTGCGGTTCATCATCGGGCGGTCACGGTGAGAGTGAGTACTCCAACGAAGATGACCCAGAAGATGATGAGGACGAGGATGAAGAGGAGGAAGAGAGCGAAGACTACGAGGATGAGGAGAGCGAGGAGGACGGCCTCCCCGCGGCAGGCAACGCCCGTAATGTCGCGTCTGCTCCCCGGCCCCCGCAGCGCCTACCGTTGCTCAAAGGCTAGTAATGCCGTTAAACCGGCGCCAAAACCTTTTGGGCCTGAGAGGCCTCCCCACCAGCAGGCTCAGCTCAAGCAGCAGCAGCAGCAGCGCACGGCGGTGAATGGTCACTAGATGGACGGCGAGTCAGGTCGGGATGAAGGGGAAGATGCGACTAAGCCGTGCTACTCATCCCCCATACCTCTCCGATTGCAGAGCCTTTCTCTCCCAACTCTGTTAGCCTTTTTTTTGGTCCTCGGCTTTCTCCGTTCCGTCTCCCGAGGTCTCTCTTTTTCATTTGATTATCCCTTGCATACAGCGCCTTGCATTCACGACCACATACTTACAACCCTCCCCCATCTACCTCTCCTGGCCCGGCACCATGCCATCTCTTTTGCTGAACCAAAAGGCCTGTCTGCCCCATCTCTTCAAGAATCCTTACCTTATGCATACTCTACCTCGCTCTTTTTATCTTCTTGGAGAACTGTAGAAACCCATTTTGCCCCCTCCTCTACAAGGGCTACTTTTGAGGGCGTAGGACTTGGCTAGCCTCCGCGAGATAGGGGAAAAGTAGATGCTGGAAAGGGAGCTAGATTAGAGCAATCGTGAAGAGTAGGAAGAGTTGAAGGAAAGAAGCCCCAAAGAAAAAAAAAAAAAAAAAAGGCCAACAAGAGAGCAAAGCTAGGACTGTTCAAGTCAAAATACTCAATAGACTATTGCAAATCTCTCCTCAAAAATGTGGTAGCACATGCGGGTAAAAATGCGACCTCTTCATCACGCCAAATTATAGACAGCAAGATCGCTGTCGCTGACCTCTTCAAAATTAATGTTTGATGATTCTCAACCAAACTGAGATACAAGTAAAGTCACCAGATAGTATGATAGGGGACTGGAAACAACATATCATGTTCTAAATTTTAAGATTCACAAGACCCATGAACGAATATTGCAAAAATAATGCTTTTATTAAGGGGGTTTGCTAATGATGGAAAGAGCCCTTGTTGTTCTTGGATCCACCTCTAGCTAATCCCGCATTTTTTCAGTCTGATTCTTCAAAGAAAGAGAAAGGGAAAGGAGGCAAAGAGATGTAACCAGTGCATAACTCTCAAGTGCCTAACACCTTGGCATGATAACTTTGATGCTGCAATAAGACATATACCGAGTCTGTTCACTTGCTCCTGGTCATGAGGGCCTTGGCACCGGGCTCGCTGCAAACATACACAACGTCATGGTTGTCAGAAAAGCCGTTGAAGCGAGTAGCAGAACACTTGGTGTAAGCGCCCATATTCTCAAAGTAGATCCAATCGCCGGCGTCGAGGGTCTGGTCGAAACGGATGCTCTCCGTAATGCGATCGATGCCGTCGCAGGTAGGGCCCCAGATAGAGTATTGGGTGCCTTCTCCGGCAATGGAAGAGCCGGCTCCAGGTTTGTTGTAGTACAACTTGGTGCCGGCCCGAAGGACCTTGGCAATGGGGTTGTAATGGTCAAACATGATGCAGGAAAAGTTTCCGTAGACGCCATCGTTGACATAGAGCATGTAGCTAGTCTCGGCCATGGAGGGATCCTCAACAATGCGGCGAGCAATGACGTGGCAGGCAATGGTGAAGGCAGAGGACACGAAAAAGCGACCGGGCTCGGCGATAATGTCGACGTTGCGGGAAGGGGGAAAGTACTGGTCAAGGGCGGCGGTGAGAACGACGGCCATGTCCTCAAAGGTCTCGCCAGTAAAGCCGCCACCAACATCGAGGGTGCGCAAATCGTAGCCGTACTCGCGAGCCTGCTCAAAGACGATGTGAGAATCGCGGACGGCCTTGAGGAACGCCATGGGATCCGAAGCACCGGAGCCAACGTGGAAGCTAACGCCGACAACATCAAGGCCGAGATCACGGGCAAGTGAGAGTAGGCTATCGGTGGTGTCCATGGGGGCGCCAAACTTCATGCTCAGGCGACACTGGCTCGAAGTGTCATCCGTCATGATGCGGAGGTAAAGTTGGGCGTCGGGGTAGAGCCTAGCAATCTTGCGTAGCTCATCGCCATTGTCAAAGGTCATCTGCTTGACACCAGAGGCCTTCACATGGCGAAGGTAGGAGGCGGTCTTGCAGGGCTGAGCGTAGATGATCCTATCGGGGTCCAGACCCATGGCCAAAACCTGGTCGACTTCGGCCTTGGAGGCGCAGTCAAACCCGGTGCCCAAGTCACAAAGGAGCTTTAGGACTTGAGGGTCAGGGTTGCACTTGACGGCGTAGAATGGGCGGATGCGGGGCAGGTTCAACTTCCAGCGTTGGTACTGGCGGTAGACCTCGCCGAGATCAGCGACGAAGAAGGGGTCCTCATCGCCGGGGTCACAGCGCTCGTGGTCGATATCGCCAATACGCTGGCGCATGGCCTCCCCGATGAATTGCTTGGAGAGCATGGCTCCATGGTGACGGTCATCGTCGGAGACATCGAAATGTTTCAATGGAACATGATTGATTGCTGGGGCATAGTGCTCGAGGACAACCGTTGCCATAACCATATCCCAAGATTTTGAAGGCGTCGAAAGACGGCGAAATAGCTGCAAGTATTGTTTGGGGTGGACGTGTGGAGTCTTGCCAACAAGAGACTTGGAGCTCTAGGTTTTCTGCTGCTTGGAGACGCAAGTAAAGACTGAAGAGCGCTTTACGGAATCGAAGGATCGAATCGGAGGGTAGTGGGTAGAAGGAGGGGGATTCGATATGAAGAGTTCTTGACACTCGGCGATATATCGAGAGTGAAGAGCTGAGGGGATGGAGTGGAGGAGAAGGGAGAGTAGCTTTATAGTTCCTTCTCTAGTTGTTTGTTGGGAATGTGTGAAATTAAGAACCTCGCAGCGGTTTGAGGGGTGTTATGGGGGTCGGAAGCGGTAGGAAGCAGGTGAACCCTCGGCTGACTTGCGTGGCCTCCTCGACTCTTCCTCGACGAGAGGAAGAACCTCAGGAGTCGTCCTATGCGGCAGCTGGTGGTCGTGGGGGAACAAAGGAATCTGGTGTTGCAAGGGCAAAGAATCGACGCGCAGTAGCTCGGAGTCCTTAAGCAGTTTCAGAATCGGTGGGGGAGGACGGAGGTTGATGATGTGAAATGTCTTTCGAACGCTGAAATCTTGATCACTGACGAACTCTACGGCCACGAGAGCCGTGATGGATGCTGCGCCTTTGAGACGATCAAAGGCATAAAATCGACAGGTTTGATGAGGAAGCGACGATGCTGACGAAGCAGTCGGTCGGGAAGGCGGGGAGGAAGGCGCCCGAGTGAAAAGCGGTCAGGGTCGTTGAAGAGGAAAGAAGGACGGAGGACACAAAGAGGTATGGAGTTGAGAGATTTAAGATCAAGAAAAAAACAATGTGATTGATGGACGGACGGCAGATTCTATAATGCGGTCTCGCGGAGATGAGATGGTCCCGAAATGACGAGCGATATGCGGTTGAGTGTGAGAGGAGAATTTCGATGGAAAAGAGAGTCTTGATTTCCAATGAAAATATTGGGGGAGGTGTAGTTGAGGTGCCGTGGTCTATTTATTCTAAATTTTTGCCCCTCCCCTCGCACTTTTTTACCCTTTTCTCTTTTTTTTTCTCTCCCCGCCTGAACGGTCCGAAGGGAATCGAATACATAGTGACACTGACAGTTGATCCCCCTCTACTACTACCACCGCCCAAAACACCCGCCCAAAAAAAAGAAAAGAAAAAGAAAAAGAAATCAATTGTGGCGTAGTTCCCAGAATGTGGGGCCCTGTCCACCCGCCCAATTCGTCGATGCGCGAGAACTCTACCTCGCTGGCGTGCTGAAGAGGCAGCCATTGGACAATCTAGCAAGGGGCAGCGCGGTGATGATTGGAAACCTGCTCGATGGAAGCAGATGTGATAGGAACCAGAAAGCAGTGATTAAATGATGCGGTAACATCCATGCAGTGACTGATTACTTCGATTCCGATTGGAAAATAAGAAAAAGAAAAGAAAAGAAAAAAGTTGGTCCCCAGACCTCGAAGTGAGTTGAAAACACTTCACCCTTTCGATCATGGAGACGTGGATATGGAATTTTTGTCGTGGCTGGCTGGGATGCCGTTGATCTTTAATGGATCGGGAGGGGGGCATTCACACAAGGCCTCAACGAGGAAGGGGAAGAGAAAACAAGGGGACAAAGCTGCGAGCTCAATACCCTCCTAGTCAGGAGCCAAGATGCCGCGTCATTTCGATGGGTATCAAAAACCAGGCGCCACTTGGCAAGACACTCCATCTGCACAAGGCATGTGCTAGAAGCCCAGGGAAACACACAAAGGCCATACCATGTGATGGAAGAATAACCAAGTTGAAGATTTGCAATTGAATCTACTCCGTACAGTACTTCCTCGCGTACGGACCCGTCGCCGACAAGCGAAATTTCGAGGGGCCCCATTTTGTTCCCTAAAGTCTCCGAAGAGTTGGAAGGAGGGGGGTCTTGCCATGGCGGAAAGCAAGTTTACATGGCTCTAGAGTTGCCCTTGAAGTACGTCGCCATGTTAAGAGTGGAACCCGGCGCCCTCTTTTTCGAGACGCGGGCGGTGGGGTTGGGCCCGTGGCGGAACTAGTGTGAGCACTGCCAGAAAAGAGGGAAAAAGGAAATCAAAAAGACCGGCACACGAAATCCGCATCCGCACCCTCCAGCAAAAAGGCAAAGCTGTGGCGCATCATCCACAAATTTTTGAGCGTTCTTTCTTCTTGGCTGGTCTTGTAAGAAGGAGGAACCTGCGGTCAGCTGATGAAAAGAAAACGAATCAGTTCCGGGATATGGTCAAAACAAATTCGTTAAGAGAAGCCACCATGCACTCCGGCGTCCGGCGCAGTGATGATCTTCAAAAGAGCTTGGATGCGCGCCCGTGTGTGGGATTGCGGCCTGTGCTGCTCCGAGGTGCAAGGCCGGAACCAGGGCACGAGTGTGGGCTTTTAGCCCCAGTTGCGGAGCCCTGCCTCGACCCTCGAGGACGCACACCTTAAACCTACAGCCACCACCCCTCATGCCACACTTGAGGCCAGCTATCCGCACACTGCATTTCTAGAATTGCGGGAATGTCTAGGACCCTTTGCGCACCATCTCAGACGACCAAACGTGTTTGATAGCAAACGGTGAAGATTTTGCTTTTTTGTTTCTTTTTCTTCATCTTCGCCTTCGACTTCCCCTCGCACCACGTATCGCGTAAAGCCAAAAATACAATAAAGCTAAAAAATAAAAGAAATTAGTAAGATCACATTCAACACAAGACGAAGACGAGGCGGAACAAGTAGGGGAAAATGGTGCCCCTAACAAAAGAGGGGCGGCAAGCAAGCGGGAAGCAAGAAGCAAGAAGCAAGAACCTCCCGGTGTCTCGCGCTCTCCACGGTCGCGCCAAAATTCTAACCACGCTTCTGCACTAACCACAACCTGAATGCTCGAGTCCGCTGGTGAGGGCTTTTGAACCTGCCCCGCTCTGCCATTGCCTGCCCCCTCCATCTTTTGCCTTGCCGGCCCCGCGCACGCACTCAGACACATGTGAACTGGAGACGCCAAACTCTTTGAATCCCTTGATTCACTCTTGCCGGGGAAGGGCAAACTTGCTCCGTCATTCAGGCTTTGCGAGTGGGTAGCAAAAAGAGGGAGATGAACGGGGGAGGGTTGACAAATAAGAGTGTCCCTGGATGAGGAAAGGGCCGAGGATGGCGAGATCCCGCGCGCCCCGATCTCGTTGAACGAAGATCCCGCGGCCTATCGCCCCAGCGTAGAAACCAAGCATTTCTCACAGCCCCCATCTCAATCAAGCGGCCCGCTGTCTCATCGGAGTCTCTACGTCGTGGACCATACCGTATCACTGACGGTTTTAACCCCGGCCCGGCCCTCTCGCCCTTGGAACAGCCACCGCCCATATCACGATTCGCCAAGGCTGGTCTAGGGAGTAGATGAGTTGTGCACGGCAAAGACGAGGTAAAAGCAAAGGATTGGAGGCAAAAGGGGAGGAGAGCCTTCGTTTCTCGACCCAAACAACCATCAAGCCGTGTAGCAGCGGGAAGAGGAGGAGAAGAAGAAAACAAAAAAGTCCTCAGACCGCTCTTGAAAATGCTGGAAGGAAGAAAGACACTTCCTCCTCGTCACTTGTCATATTCTTGTTCGCCTATGCAACTGTCCTCTTACGCAATGTGTCGCCTTTTCTTCCCCTCTGCCTTGACATATTTCGTTTCTCTAAACAGGTCCATCCGGAAATGACTTCGGGTCTGACAAGGAGCCGACCATCGCAAGAGGTAAACTAGGCGGCAGGAAGAGGCAAGCTCAAGAAACCTATTCGCAGCTGAGTATGTGAACGGGTGGGCCCTTCTCGTCTCGATCGAGGGATCAATGATACAACATGAATAAATGTCGCTGGATGATCTACATTTGTACCACCATCCCTCGTGTAAAACATAGCACTTTATTGCCCAGGCTCCGCCCTTTGCGCGACGAGCCACGCTCTTCCAACCAGTGGTCACGACGCTCTGTAGGTATGCATAATGATGCTATAGAGGGACGAAAAATACATAGTCAGAGGGTTCCTTGCATTGCGTCCGGGTAAACCCCAAGTGTAAGAAGAAAAGAAGAAGTGAACAGAGCAAAAGGGAGAAAGAAAACGAAAAAGAAGGAAAAAGGAAAGAAAAAGGCCAACCCTCCCGGAGATATATTCCCTGAATGAACACTCGACGAGACCACTTGACATGGTCTTTCATGCACCTTGCCTGCACCTCGCAGCCAAAAGAAGCTGCACAGTCTGCATGCTGCAGACGACGGAGGCGAGGGCAAGAGGGAAAAAAATAGCGTGCGCGCGCGCATTTTCCAAATCACTCCAATGCCTGGATCGAATGCATCAATACATCAGAGCGCGGGCAGACGAAGTTTCATTGTCCCAAAAAACGTCGCCGCGTGTGTGGCGAGCCCTGAATATCGGAGTCAAGGTCTTGTGTACACTCTGCGCGTTTTTTCTCCTTCTTCGTCCCTCTCTATCACCTCTTCCCCCTCTGTGCGCAGAGTCGGTCTATCTCCCCTTTGCTCACGGCGATATTAGCATCAACCATCATCACCGCAACATTGGTGATGGAACCCCACCCCTCCTTTCCCCGGCTTCTTTCGTCTCTAGCCCAGCGGGAGACCTCTTCGTTCCTCCTAGTTCCGATCCCTTCACTCTCTCCTTTGCTTTGGTTCGCAAGCTCCAATAGTGTGTAGGAGCTACACTTAAACTACCAAAGACTCCCCCACAAGAGCTCTTTATAACATATCCATTGATATCCTCTCTTCCCTCCTGCCTCCTCCACCCCTTCCCCCTTCTCTCCTGAACTGTATGCAAGTACTCAGCCGTCAAGAGATCCACACATTCCCGAATCGGGCACTAGCTGCAGATATATACCTGCTCCTCTTTTGAACGGCTACTTCTCAAGGGGGTCAAAGGTTCGTTGCGTTGATAGGAATCCATCGATTCTTGCTCTTACGCCACCGGCTGGTGCCAGATCAGAGACGGGAGGGGCTGCTGTTTTAGCTAAAGAAAAAAAGAAAATCGGGAAATATGCCGTGAGCCCGTACATGTATCCACCGCCATGTTCGCGAAAATGTAACCCGGCTCTGATAATACAAGTACCTACAGCACAAAGTCCCGAAATATTCCGACTGACGAGACCACGGGCGTCTCGCTTTGACAAGTGACGGCACGGCGTCTCACACGGCCAAAAGTGAATATCTCAAAAGTAAAGGCAGGGTTGAAGCCTACTTGTTTCCGCGCATCTATGCGCCTCTCCTCGAGTTAGGCGTCAAAGTTAATAGAGAACATTGGATTTTCATGGGATTGCTCCTCTAGTATTCACTGTGCTGATGCCCCCACCCCCTAGTCGTCCCCTTGAAGGACCACCATAGGTCCCCTAAGTTTCCTTCATTTCCTCATCCTCATCCTCCCCAGAGCCGCTCTCGTCGTCATCATCGCCACCCTCCTCGTCGTCCTCGTCATCCTCATCATCCTCTAGATCCTCGTCGGCGTCGCCCTCTAATCCGTACGCTTCGTAGTAGTGCGAGAGCGTCTGAACCTGTGTCTTGTAGCCCGCCTCCGTAAGCGCCTTCTCGATTTCCTGCGTGTCTTGTTAGTTTTGTCTCTCAACAGATTCACACAAAAGCTACGCCCGAATGGTGGGGGATACGCCACGATACACCTACCGGCTGTAGAAGTTGGGCACACGTAATAACGACGTTGCTCTTTCCTACTTCAAAGAGAGGGAGCAGGATCTCCTGCATCACCGCCTTCATCTCTTCCTGAGTTACTGCCCTCACCTTGGCAAGTATCTGTTCCGTCCAGTCCAGTGGGAGGGCACGTACAACGCCGAGGACGAAACTCTGCATCGCGGCAGCCGCCATTGTGCTTTGCTCTCCGGCAAATATCATGACAATCTGAGACACCGCTGCTTCCATCAGGTGCTCGTCCACAGGGTCACTGCCGTCGGCAATAGCCTGAATGGTTTCTTGAGAGGCCGCGATGGCCTTGGTCGCGCATGGCGACCGGTACACTTTGTATGTAATCAAACCCGTCTCGATATCTCGGGAAAAGTACGATCCATATGCGAAGCCCTGTCCTCGGACCGCCTTCCATAGAGGGCCTTCGACAGTCTCGAGATACGAGATAGCCACTGTTAGAGCTGCAAGCCTTGGGTCATACAGCGATGTCAATCCCTTGGCCGTCGACAAGCTGAACGAGGTGTCGAGGGTGGTCATGGGAATGATGACGGCGCCGATACTTCCCGGATTCTTTCCCTCCTCAGAGAGACGCGTGTCCATCAAAGGAATGGGCTCGAGTTCCTTGCCCTCATCTGAGGGAAGTTCCCGGGTAATTGTGTCCCAGGCTGTGACGGGGTTGGGAATCTTGGACACATCGCCAGTCACAAGAATACGAAGGTTGTCACGGGTAAAGAGACCGCTATAGACTGCCTTGACCCGGTCAATGACTTTCTGAGGCTCCGCTTCGAGCAGCTTCTTGAGGCGTTTGAGGTACACGGCTCTGACAAGCACCCTCCTTGCCAATGATGTGTTGGTCTCTTCGAGGTGTTGCGCGAGCACCACTTCGTTCGCCATGACTTGGCCGTCACGCTTAGATTCAGGAACATCCGCTAGTAGTTTGCTAACGAGGGCTTTGAGTCGATTCTCGTCAATGTCGGACTGGAACATGAGCGTTTTGAGCCACCCGATCACAGTCGAATACTTCTCTGGCTCGAGTGCGATTGTGATGGCGCTGCCGTCGGGGTCTCCAAGCTGCCGCGCGGAATTGATAGAGTAATGGACCGTTTCCTTTTCCAGTTCTATCACGACTTCTTCAAAGGTCAATTTTTTCCTTCGTGTGTTGCCTGCGTGTTGAAAAAGGCCTCATTGAAGATGGGGAAGAGAGGCTTTAGTTCAGTGGGCAATCGCTTCGTGCCAGCGTGAATGGTGATGTGAACAAAGTTGCTGGGAACGTGCTCGAACTGTAAAAACAAGGGATGATCTCCCTTTTCGCTCTGATTGATGATGGCCTGCGCCTCGTTGTCCACGATGCCAAGTGCTCGCGCTTTTCCAGCCCGGGCTGTAGCGGACTTGATGAAATGAATCGACTCCGTGCTGGGGACTGGCCACCTTGCGATAACTTCGGGGGATGCGCTCATCATTCTTCGCCTTGGCGTCATCGAGTACCTTGCCTAGTTTCTCAAGTCCTTGCGGCCCAAGATCTTCCTTGCGCTTCGCAAGGCGGGCCGTTTCCTCCTCCTTGAGCCTCTTGGCCATTTCAATTGAGGGTTTCCCAAACACCGTGATATGATGGGCGTCAACGAGGTATTCCTTGAGGCAGTTTCTCCACTCCTCCTCTGACCATCCGCGAAGGACATCGTACTCATTCAAGGTCTCCATGGCCTTGATCGTCGAACCGTCCCTCTTTCCAAAGAGATAGTCTTCGAGAATGTTACTGGAGAAGAAGCTGTACGACTCTTCAGCGTGGAATTTGATCTGACGAACTTCCCTGTTGAAGCATGCCTTAAGATAATCCATGTCCAACGGCTTAGAGACGACCTCCTCCAACACTTCGGTGATCCTTCGTTCGACCTGCTCAAGTTTCTCCGTCTGGACGCCGGAGGCGTTGATCCAAATAATCGCCTTGGGACGATTCTCTGTATACCACTGGACGACGCTCGCCAGCTTTTCCTTCTCCACGATTGTGTTTTCGAGAATGGAGGCGGAAGAACCGCATACGTAGGTCAAGAGGATTTGCAAGGCCGTGTGTCCGATGAGGTCCGTGAACTTGGGTCCAAAGTATGCCATGGTGAGTTCCCCATGGACAAATCTTCCTCGGGGAACTCAACTACCTCTGCCTTGGTCTCCGACAGTGGAGGCGGTTGGACGGAGTCTACCCAAGGCCTTGTTCACTCGGTCAGTATGGGTAAAATCTACTACTGCGGCGCAATGGGATGCTGCTCACCTCTTAAAAGGACTGTCCAGAGGGGGATGTGCTCCTTGATGCTCTCCTCAAAATTTTCGAGAATCTCGAGAAGGTTTGCATGGTTCACATCGCCAATGATGATAACACAAAGATTCCGGGGCTGATACATGGCGCGGTGGAACTCGCGAATTCGCTCGGGGGTAAGGACCCTGAGGGCTTCCATCATGCCACCAGTCTCGTAGCGAAACCCAACGTTCTCGGGGTACAGGAGGCGCTTTGCGGCTATTTCCATCAGCTCTGCGCTCTTGTACTGCACGCCCTGCATCTCTGAATAAACGACACCGGCATCATTTCCCTCCCCGTCAACGTGCCACACCTCCGTGGTACATGCTTCGTTAGTGATGGTGGGGAGAAGGACATGCTCGAGGTAGAGGGGAAGGATCTGGGCGAAGCCATCCCAGCCGATGGAGTCTAAGAGGTAGGCTGTATGATCCGTGGCGGTCCAGGCGTTGGTGTTGCTGTACGCGCGGGATGCTAGCTTGTCTAGAAGACCCTTCCAATGGTAATTCTTGGAGCCCATGAAGATGAGGTGCTCCAGCGTGTGGGGGCTCCAGAGTCATCGAAGATTTCAGTAGCCAGGGCGAAGTTGCCGACAACCTTCGGTCCCTTCCTGTCGGCCACAAAGACCTGCAGGCCGCTCCTCTCGGACACATACTTGGTAACTCGGCTTGGGGCATACTCCGTCTTGAAGCTTAGTTTCTGCTTGAAATGCCCGATGGAGTCGGGCAAGTGCACGGAGTCATCGCCGCTCGAGTGAGTTTCGGCAGGCATTCTTCTTTCGCCTTATCTTCAAACAAAAGGTGGGGTGGGCAAGATGCAGCTTGCGGAGCCCTAGAGCTTGGGAGGCGGGAGGGTCAGAGCACGGAAACCGGAAACAACAAAGAGGTTGTAGGCTGCCTTGAAGAGCTGCCGGTTACTTGGTAGTTAGCTTTGTCTTGGGCTGAAATTTCAAGAGTTGATAAAAGACAGGTTTCTTAGCGTAGTCCTTGCGAGGCTGCTGGAACTTGATACACATGAAGAAGGGGGAATGTGAGAAATCAAATAATTAAGACGGAAAGGGCGAGCTCCTTATGATAGCTCCTAGATGCGCAGAAACTCTTCATCAGCGTACCTATAAATGCTCCCGTCACTATCGATTTAGTGGGGTGGATTGCGTGCCACGATTGCCTAGACGGAGGCTTAAGGTAACAGACAAATTCGGTGTACGAGTGCCTGAATACTCAGGGTTAATCACTTAGGTGCAATTGTTCTTCTGGGCATTGGATGAAAGTGTTTGGGGAATGAGGTGAGAGGAAAGCAAAGGTTGGAGCTGAAACTGCTGAAGAGGAATGTGTGATGGCATAATGATAGTGAAGTTTAAGGGACGAGGGAAGTGGGAGGCGGGGTAGTCGTAGTCTTTTGCTTCTTCACCTATGTTCTTTCCTTTTACAATTTCATTTTTATCTATTTATTTTTATTTTGGTCGCCCAGCATATCTGGTGTTAGACGGATTGCAAGGGGCAAGACCAACCCAAACAAACGATATTCGAGTTCAGCAAGGGAGAGAAGGGCTTTGAGGCAGAATCACAATCGTGTACACCTTGTTCAACGTCAAGCAAACACTTTGTAGGTTGTTTTCCCAGCACAAGTACCCATGTCATTTAACCTTGGACCGGACCCTGGTCGTGCGCACGCCAACTCCCTCATCCGTGTGTCTCCCTTGGTTCGGGCACAGACCTTTCGTTCTTTGGCGGGGAGGAGTTTTCCTGGTGGGGGATGGAATGCGCTTAACCAAGCCTCTCCGGTACACCTCGTTTAGAAAGCGAATATGAGAGGACTTTACGACTATTTCCTAGCCTGTTATATGCGGCGCATAGGAGGCGCAACTAAGTGAATATGTTCAAAACCCGAAGCTCTAGGAAATAAGATCATAGAAATAACCCTATAGGGAAGGACAGCCTGCTCGTCCTAGGAACGTACCGAGCTTGAGAATGGGCGAAAATGCCTGGGAGGCCCTGGATTAGTCAGCAGTTCTTTTTCCCTCTTAAGCCACTGTGGCTGGTGTCCCTTGTTGGAGTGTGGACAGCAGCACTACCGAATGCTTGCCTCTGACGTCTGGCGTGTATTAGCTTTCCAGCTGTCCAGTTTTGATGACATCGAACAGCTGTCTGGATGCTTGGACGAAACCCTTCACCTCACCCACCTGTAGTCAGCGATTGGGAGCTAGCGCAATATATTTGAATGCGCCAAACAATCTGAAATAGATCGTTGGGAGACAGGCCGGAATTCTCTCTTCGCCCGAGCCCAGATCCGCCCACCGGCCTGAGCCATGTCGGCCAACGACTCCGACTCGAGCAGCATCGGCGAGGCCATCGTAGCTTTCGCCCTCGAAGGCCGCTTCCCGAATCCGAAAATTTGGCGTCGATACCAATAACACCAGGGTCTCTGCCACCTGCGCTGGAGGCATTGGCAAAAGCCAGGAGTCATCTCGAGGTATGGACCACCCGCTATTCCAAGGAGAAACGAACCAATCTCATAGGATGTCTCTAACGCGCAAACCGTTTTTGTAGAAAGACATACACGAAATCAACGAAGACACGAAAGAGGATGTCAGCTCATGGGTCAAGAATGCAAAGTCGCTACAGGAAGATATAGTGCGCTCAAAGGTGATTGCGAACGACATCATACGCCAGTCGGAGACGCCAGATGTGTCGGGCAAGGCGATCGAGGATGCGGAGGCGAAGCTTGACTTTTAGCGCGAGAGGTCCAGTACAACCGCCAGCTTCAGGCTGCGCTCCGCGAAATTAAGCACGTCAACCAGCTGCTCTCGCAAGCGGAGGAGGCTAGTAATGGGCGGCGGGTCCTGGACTCTCTGCGGCTCCTAGAAGGTTCGTATGTCGAGGATGGTTCTTAGCGGGTTGCTTGTGCTAATCAGTGCGTGGCCTGCAGAATCATGGGCGGCCATGGACAAACTCTCGGTGAGCAAGACGTGCCGAGCTGTCAAGCTAGTAAATATCCGGTCGTTCGAGCTCAAATCTAGTGTGCACGAGGTTTTGAACCAGGTGTGGAGGGATCTTGTCAACGTTGATATTGATAACAATGTGATCAAGATCCAAGAGCACCGTGAGGGTATGTAGGCTTACTGGCGTGATGGCTGATCCCTGGACTAACCCTTGTCACAGATGGCCAGCTGAGCCTTGCTCACGCTGTGATCGGACTTCGGGCCTTTAAAGAAGTTGAGGAAAGGATGGAGCAGCTTTGGCACAATCTGGACGGCGCTATACTCACACCGCGCATGGACTTGACGAGAACTCCCCTTCCTTCTATCAAAGCAGATACTGTAAGTGAGCCTTGCCCCTTATAACCATGGGCCCGGGACCTAACACTCTCTTGTAGGACACGTTATCACTCGTTGGAGAAACTGATTCGTCCGTCGAGGCGCTGCTAACCGACCTTTCGACCGTTTTCACGTTCTTGGGAGAAAGACTACCCTCCGACCTTCTCCAAATACTCGACTCTGTGATGATGGGAGAAGTTATCAACAGGGTGGTCAAAGTTTGGCTGGACTCAGCGATACCGCCCGCCTTGAAGGACGTGGCCAAGTACCAGAGTGTGATTAAGAGTGCCGAGCAATTTTGTTCGGTGCTAGAGACTCAGGGTTACACACGGTATGAGCTTTTGAGGAATTGGGTAGACAACGCCCCCACCATGTGGCTCAACAAGTGCAGGGAGACGGCGCTAGACTCTGTACGGTCTAAACTTTCAAGCGGAATCGGGGAGGCGACAGTAGTGGAGAGGGTCGAAAAGCAGATGGTGTCGTTGGCAGAAGGCAAGGAGCTGGCCAAGTCGGGGACAGTCAAGTCGTCCGCGCAAGAGCAGGATTGGGATTCCGCGTGGGGTTTCGACGAGGAGGTTGTGGATGAGTCTGCTGGGGTAGACGAGCCCATGGTTGACGAGGATGAGGCTCCAGCTGCGCAACAATCGGCAGAGGACGACGGGGCTGATGCGTGGGGCTGGGATGATGGGCCGGAAGAAGAACCTACGGAGCCTCCGGCCGCCGAGGAAGAGAAATCGAGTCCCAAGAGCGAAGAGGATGAAGCAGCGGACGCGTGGGGATGGGGAGATGACGATGTTGCAGAGGGTCAAGGACCGACGCCGGCGCCGGTATCAACACACGAACCTGAACCCGAACCGAAGAAACAGAAACTGGCAACGCCTGCCTCCCGGGGAAGGAAATAAGGATACGCGATCAGGATGAGACGAGGGAGATGGTTTTGAAGGAGACATATCATATTTCGTCGATGCCTGAGCCTGTTCTCACCCTGATTTCGGCGATCCTCGAAGACGGTGCCGCACTCACAGGCCCAGGGTATGCTACTACCTGTTTACAATCCTGCCAGGATTCCATGTGGATGCGAGTTCACTAATCAATTTTGCAGGCATGAATCCAACCCGGTCGCCTCCGCAGCATCGGGCCTGTTTGGTATCCCCACCTTGGCACTCGCCCTATTTAGGGCGATATCGCCATATTACTACTCCTTGACATCGGCGGCACCATGTAAGCCACCGCTAAAGCCTTCTGCTATCTCGTGATCGGATCTCGTTCGGCAGACTAACAAATCTGCTAGGTATCTCTACAACGACGCCAGGTACTTGGCGGAGAAACTCGCCGAGTTTTCCAAGGAGTGGAAAGCGCGTGAGGATCTGACTGCCCGGGCGCGCAACATGCTGCGCATCGACAACGACGTCAAGAGTCTCGAAAGCTTTGCCAACCGAGCCTACAGCACAGAAATGGCAACCCAGAAAACCGTGATTCGAGACCTGCTCGGGGGTATGTTGAATCTCTTCTCTACTCCCATCAAAACTGAAACTGGGTTGGCACTAACGCACGTGTGGCGTAGGAACGCACAGCCTCCTGCACCAAGAAGAGACGGAGAGCTGCATCGACTCGGCGGTAGCGAGGATACGTTCGATGGCGGTAACATGGGACGAGATCCTCCCCGTTCGGTGTGGTGTCAAGCCGTAGGATCGCTGGTGGACACGCTTGCATCCAAGATCATCACCGACGTAATGGACCTGCCAGCGATCGGGCAAGACGAGGCATACAACATCGCTAGCATGATCGCCAAGGTCACGGAGCTTGACGACGTGTTTTTGCCTAGTAAGCTCTCGGGCCAGCCGGGGAGACTGGAGAGATTGCACTGACGGCGCAGTATGCGCCGTCGTGGCTTCGCCTTCAGTATCTCTCCGAGGTGCTGCAGTCGAACCTCAACGAGGTACGGTACCTCTGGTTCGAGAGCGAGCTGAGCCTCTACTTCTCAGCAGGCGAGGTTATTGACCTCGTAAACGTGAGTTTTGAGGCGAACGCCCGGTCCAAGGAGGTTATCCGAGAAATCAAGGAAAGGCCGCACCCTCGCTCGGAGTGAAAGGCGTGAGACTACGTTGTGGCTTCCCTCTCCCACTGTAATTGTTGTATGTCGGAAGTAAACAATCTATTGATATTTCTATATTTGGATACCCCCGCGGGCGTGTCATTGAGAATAATTAGAAGACTGGATGAATAAGAAACCGCCTCATTCCATTTCCGAGATCCCCGTTAATCTCATCGCAAAGAACAATTCAATGCACATACTGGGAAGGTGCGGGTGCCACAGTTTGTAGCTTAAACTTGTTCGTCGAATTCCTGCCTGGAGGTTGGGGGGTTAGTAATGCACCCTTCCATTGATCAACCCAAACGTGGCTGCTGGAGGCCGCGTTTCAACACCGCCACAGTTCTGGTCCTCCCCAAGCCATCCAAGCCAAGCTTCCAGAAATCCAATTGCAAGGAACCTTCGGGCAACTGGGGAACAGGTAGACGCATCCGCCAAAGGGGGCATGGTTCGCGGAACCTAATGACAAAAGATCGCCAGACCCTTGGTTTTTCTCTCCTCTCCCCTATTCTGTCTCACGTTCATTTCAATCACCCAACACCCAACGCCGCGAGCTGAGCGTGTGCCCTCCATCGATACCTTTTGACGCTAGAGTGACGGCCCCGACAACTTCTTGATTGTAGCTAGTTACATTACCCCTTTCCGACGTGCCGGACCTGGTGAACGTGAACCGAACGAACCGCAAGATCCACGACAGCCCCCTGCCGCTGCGACAACGGCCACGATTGCGGTCACGACGAACCTTCTTCTTTGCCCCCTTCCTTCTACTCGACTTAATAGTTACACGGTGACGAAATAATATGCTGCAATAAGGGAGAAGGCGCCGATCGGTTACTTGTTCTATTTTTGTTCTTTTTCTCTTCTTTGTCTCTTTTTCCTCTCTCTCTTCGTGTCTTGTCGCCGTTGGCCCCCTTTCCGTCTTTACGTCTCCACGTATATTGATGTGAGCCGCGCACGAACTGCGCATCTCCACCTACCGTTCGTTGATAAATGGATGACTCGCCTTCGGGGCCCTCGAAAATGACGAAACGCTGGGCTCGCAGGGTGGAGCGGACTTGCTGCAACTGCATCACCTATCTTCCTTTGGCATTCGTTTGGGGCCTGACTTCATGGGCTGTCTGGGTCGATGTCATGGTCGGCTCCATGCCGCCGTCCAAGGGCTCCTGGCTCGGTATGTTGCCCCCTGTCCTCCTTCTTCTTCGTGTACCCTTTGCTGTAGTGAATGCCAAACGCACTTTGATAAAGCGCCCTAGCTAATCCCTTCCCTCCTTGATTTACAATAGGAACTGGCTCGTCGATAGGGGCTGTTATCCTCTTCCTAATGCTCAACTGGTCCTACATAACGGCCGTCTTCACCCACCCCGGTAGCACCACCAACCTGAACGGCGAATACACGTCCCTCGAGAGCGCCCCCACATGACGTCCTTCACTGTCAAGTCCAACGGCGAGGTGCGATTCTGCAAAAGTGCCAGGCCCGTAAGCCCGACCGCGCCCACCACTGCTCCACCTGCCGCCGCTGCATCCTCAAGATGGACCACCACTGCCCCTGGCTGGCCACCTGTATCGGCCTACGGAATCACAAAGCCTTTCTGCTCTTCCTCATCTACACCACCATTTTTTGCTGGTACAGCTTTTTCGTCACCGGCTCCTGGCTGTGGGTGGAGATCGCCAACGACACCACCACGGTCGAGGACCTGACCCCGTCAACTTTGCCCTCCTCTGCGTCGTCGGCGGCATCATCGGTGTCGTCGTCGGCGCCTTCACCATCTGGCACCTGATCCTTGCCGCGCGCGGCCAGACCACCATCGAGTGCCTCGAAAAGACCCGCTATTTATCCCCTCTGCGCAAGTCGCTGCAGAGCAATCTCGCCGCCGCCTCGGCCGCCGCGCCTGGTTACGGCCAGCAGTTTATCGATATGCACGCCAACGCCCTCCCCGGAATCACGAGGCCCGAGGTGGGAGAGGAGGTCCGTAGCTTCCCTTCGGATGGCTCGAGGCCCGTGCAGCTCTCCTACGCCGAGATGGAACGCCGCCAGCGCAACAGGCGCCACGAAGAGTACATGAACGAACAGGATTCCGGCAAACTGCCCCATGCCTTTGACCTCGGGTGGAAGCGCAACTACAACCACCTCTTTGGGCCCTCGCCGTGGCTCTGGTTCATCCCCATCTGCAACACCACGGGCGATGGCTGGAGCTGGGAACCCAGCTCCAAGTGGGAGCTGGTGAGGGACAAGATCCGCTCCGAGAGAGAGGAGCAGCGCGCCAGAGAAGTCCAGGCTGGCTGGGGCGGCAGCGAGTACTCTCCCGGACTGCCCTCCGGCACCCTCACCCCCGGTGGTGCTGGCCGGCACTACCTAGGCTCTCCGCTGCCCTCTCCCGGGGTCGACGCACCCCGTCCAAGGCAGACCGGGTTCTCGGCCGCGATCCCGATCTCTACGCCGACGTGGCCCCCAATCCATCGCTATGCGTAGCCTCAACAAGAAGGGCCGCGTGCTCCACGACGAGGATCTCTTCAAGACGGACGACGAGGACGACGAGTGGCCGGAGGAGCAAGAAGAGGAGGAGCAGAACGGGAGGGAGACCAAGATCCTCGACGCTACGGAGACCACGCCGGCCATTGCGCGCGTGCCCTCCAAGCCCACGCCTCCCAACATCAATTCCACCGCTCGGTGGCAGGGCGGCGGTGCGAGCGGCATCCTCCGGAAGACGAGCCCGACAACGGCCACCGCCCCCAAATCCGCCTTTGCGTCACCCGCGCAGCAGGCCGTCATGGAAGATACGGTGGATTGATTTTGCTCTTTAATTCATGTCTTGATGTCTTTTCTTTTTTTGTTTTTCTCCTACCCATCTTTCTTCTTCCTCCTCCCCTCCCTCTCCCTTCGACTTGCTCCTTACGGGGAAGCATGTTGGAGGACCACGACCTCCCCGCCTTCAATCCTACCTGGGGCCCTTTCTTGGAGGGATTCCCTCTCCCCTTTTGATCGAGTTCTTTCAGAACCCTACTTTATTCTCGTTTGCGCGCATGGCTAGGGCGTTTTTCACACAGGCTTTGTCTTTATTGCTTTCTATTCCCCTTTTTCTTCCCTCATCTCCCTCTCAACCCTACGGCTGCTTCCAGCGGTGCCTCCCCCGGCAGAAGTCTGTTGCGGTTTCTTAAACGGCACTCCTTCTCGGAGGAAGGAGTAGAAAACACCAAATCCAAGACATGTATATCAGACTTTGTGGCACGACTGTGAGAAAGTGTAGTAGTAGAACAATCTAGTGCAAGACCGATGAATCATGCACAAATAGACCGATCCTCACGTATTGCATCAGCGTCGTCCCTAGTCGCGTAATGTGTCTGCGAGCCATTTTTGTCTCAACGGACAGATGGAGGTGCGCCGGCAGCCTGGGCGGAGGTTCTCTCGCCAATCGTACTTTTCCGCCGCGCCCTCAGACATCGCGCACACATCAGCAACAGCTACGCTTCCCCTTCAAGTTCCAACGAGCATGGTTGTGTACCCACGTGGGTCTATATCGTATGCACGTGGAGGCCAATAAAGTCAGCCAAGGTCAAACATGAGGGGAAAGCAGCAGACATCTTGATCATTTCATTCATATATTGTAAGATATAACACAAGGCAGCGGGGCCAAGGGCGCAACAAACTCATCGTTGGATAGGGACACTATCCGAGAGGTTAGTCGACTTTTATCCGCCCATGCAATTGTGCTCTCCAGTCACCTTGCTCTGTAAATTGTACATGGAAGTGAAGTGGTAAAGCAGAGAAACGGGGAATTGAAATGAGCTTCTGGCGAAAAGAAGAGAAGAAAGGGGAAAAGGAAAAAAAAAGAGGGTACACGGGGTCATATGTGTTGCCAGCATCATCAATGTTCTAATAGTAAACAAGTCCAGGGTTCCCTTTCCGTAAACAGCAGGAAGGAGAAAAGATCAGGGAGTACAAGAGGCCCAAAGGATGGGGGAGCAAAAGTGGAAGCAAACGGAAGGGCACAAGGCAATCGTATACAGCAAGGCAAAGTAAGGCAAAGACAGGTAGGTAGGCAGTGGTGGTTGTAGAAGGAATGGTGCATCCTCGTTTGTGTCTCGTTCTGGACATGTCCATTGTATGTGTTGTTGCGTTTTATAGCTTAAAACAAGGTCCGGTCCATTCCCGATTCGGGTTCCCATAAACAAATAAAGACAAAAAATCCCAAGTCTATATCAAGTTTCATATTTCCCTTTCCTGATGCATATATGTATGAGAGCCTCTCCATCGATTGGGGGAGGGGAGCGTGTCCCTTGTCTCTTTTTGTTTCCCCTTTGCCGTCTTGGGCATGGGAGTGATGATGTTTCCTTTGGTTTCGCCGTGATCCGAATAGTAATAATAATAATAGTAAATCCAAGTCGTGAGTACAGGATGAAAAGAAGTGAGACTTCCGAGTCAACAAGTGGGTTCTTTGACAAAAGAGATATTGAAAACAGAGTAGCGTGAAGGGGTACGGGATAAACGACTGGCTGTGATGTAAATGCAGAAGCGACTGGCAGAATAAATCGGGCAATGGGCCAAGGGGAAGAAGAGTGGAAGAGAGACAAAAGGAAACATGATGGGGTATAAAAAATATGACACAAAAGAATCAAAAAGGGAGAGGCATCAAGCTGATGGCAGCGCGGCCCAGCAGCCTTAGGCCCCTCCCAAAGCCGATTTCTAACCGGCATAAGATAAAAGGCCTTGACTAGCGCTGCTAGATGAGTAGAGAAGAATCAGAGCTAGCCTTTTCAATAGTGGCCCGAGGGCTGCCGCTGGACCTTCCGAAAACGCCTAGGCCGATGCTGAGGAACTTGCCCGAAGAATCTGCCGTAACCTGGCGATCCTCGGGGCAGTCAAGTAGGATTCGGGTGATGGGATCCTTCTTGATATGGCAAAATAGGGTCGAGAAGACGTACTCTTCACCGATGCGGTTGAGAAGCGGAATTGTCCGGAAACCCTGCTTAAGATTGGCGAGCTTGGCCATAAAGGTGGCAACCGGCGGGCGATCGTTGTAACTCTCGCCGTCCGAAGAGAGCTTGACGGACCACCGGACAAAAACGAGGTCTGGGTATTTCGTGGTGACCTTGAAGCTGACTCTCTTGTCGAAGCGGGGATTGAAACCGTTCTCAGGCATGATCTGGGTCCGGTGGACTAGGGGAGTGTCTGTGTCCGTAGCGAGAAGAGAATCGGTCTCATTCTTGTAGCGCTTGTCGTTGGGGTGGAAGACCTCAACTTCGATATAGGGGTGAAAGCCTTTGCTTGTCGACATACCGCTCGGCCGCATGAGTTGCTGTGCCGAGATCACATCGATGGAGAAGCTAACCGTCTTCCTCTCCCGTTTACCAATCCAGCCGTCACGCATGTGCTGGATCTCGCGGAGCTCGCTGGGCTTAAGCACATACCCTGTGCTATCCGTCCCGCCCTCAAACATGGCCCTGTTGAGTTGCATGCCAAGGTCGAACGTCTGCCAGTTCAGGGCCGCCATTTGCACGCCGCGGCGCCAGTAGATCAGGGGATCAAAGTTGTGGGATGAGATTCGTTTCCGGTCCGGGTACACACGCATAAGATACCGCATGTTGTGACGGTCCAGCAGCTTCTTCGCCTCCCTCGGCTTGCCATACTTGGAAAAGGTTGATTCCATAAAGGAGAAGATGTGGTTGAACGTCTTCGCTTCTGGGGTATCAAATCCTCGAAATTTGACACCAGCGCAGTAGACGGCAAGATCGCCCAAGACCCTTTCCGTCCTGAGCTCACGCTTGTCCGAAGGTTTACTTCCGATGGATACATCTGCGACGCTTTCTTCATCGCTGCTGCCGCTGCTACTAGCCCTTTCTTGCGAGACGCCCTCGGTTATCGGGTCGACTTTATTCCTGGGTGCTGTGCGTCGGGAGTAAAGCGGGTATAGGAGAGGGCTTTGGGGAAGCGATTGCGGGAGCGAGCTAATGTTGTCCACGAGCGGCTTCGTGTATGGGGAGGTCAGACTGTTGCCACGTCGGCGGCCGGTGATCTCGAGAGGGCGAGGATCCTCTCGCGTGTACGTCTTCTTGACTTTGATCAAAATTCTCTCCATGAGCTCGCTTGGGCAAGGAAGCTTCTCTACAGTTGGATCGAGAGACTCAGTAACGAGCATGTCACCGAAAGTCTCCTTCATAATGTTGGCCATGCGAGCTTGCTGTGTGGGGTTGGTGTGCACCTCGAGGGAGATCCAGAGAGGGTACTTGCTCTTCACAAAGGCGTACCGCTTGATAGTGGTCATGACTTCCTGGAAGCTGATTGACGTAGTCATCGATCTCCCGTGGAGCACCATGGGCTGCCCATCATTGCCGTCCCAACAGTCTACTTCAACACATCTGCAGCCACCGACAAGGGCGCTGATGTAGCCTTCGATGCTTGAATGCCCCACAACCTGCCTGCCTAGAAGATAAGTGTTGTGCGAGCTCGAGATGAAGTATTCGTTCATAGGCCGGTCCAGGGTAATCTCCTTGGGGGTCTCTACGATCGGGGTGTTGTAGCGAGAGGTCAGGAAACGGGTAAAGGCGGCGGCGGACATGGCACCCTTGCTGTTGGGTACCGACCCTGTTCCTTCGTCGGCAAACTCGGCGTAAATTGCGTTCCACTTGGCCGTGTCCTTCTCGACGTCTTCGCCCTGAACGTTGGTGACAAAGTCCAGGAATTCTTGGCTAGACAGGCCATCCTTTGAGCTCTTGGCATGGGTGGCGTAGATATCGGCGATGTCGTTACGAGTCTTCATGAGGTTAACAAACTCCTTGAACTTGGCGTAGTCTAGGCGGCCGGTTCCGGTGGGGTCGGCCGCGTGAAATCGGGAGAGAAGGTCAGCAGGGGAGGCGTTTATATGGAGACTGCGGCAGACGCGCTCAAAGCCTTGGAAGTCAAGATCGCCGTTGTTGTCGGCCGTCATCCCAATATCCTCACAAGAGCTCTGTAGCAAAACCTCGCTTTTCCAGTATTTCTCAATGGCCTTCTCGTCAAAGGCCATGAGAGACGTAAGGTTCTCGAGTCGATCCTGCCACACCCTCTGCAGGGTGCTTGTCCAGTTCTTGAACGTTCCGATATCGTCGGCGATAAGATGGAGCGTCTTAGTCTTCTGTAGTTCCGGGGCAGCGTAGATGATAGAGAACAGGCGGGTGCCCTCCGTATCGGAGATATCGAAGTCGCGGCAGTACTGCCTGGTGTCGGAGCCAGTACGGATCTCTTTGATATCATCGATGCGAATCTGCTTCTTCTTGGTGCTATCCCAGAGGATTCTCCCAAAGTCGGGGTCTAGGAGAAGTACGATGCGCTTCCAGCGGTTTTTGCTGGAAACTTTACGGAGAGGTGTGCCGGTTAGAAGCTGCGTCGGCCAAACAGGGCCATCTATACCGGGGAAGACGAGTCGTTGGAATGCCGCTCCTTGAAGGGGACATCGTGGGGACCATCCTCGCGATCATCCAAAGATTCATCCGAGTCGGTGGGAAGAGTACCAACAGGGTTGAGGTCCGGAGGTGCTGTAGCAGTGCTGCCGCTGCGCTTGCGTACCATGGCTGGCCCTACGCTTCCTTCTCGGCTGTTGGGAGCGACCGAGGATTGCCTACGTCTAGTAACGAGGTTGGTAGCACGGTTGGAGAACCGTCGAACAAGCCCACTCTTTCCGGAGCCGAGAGGATCCTGCGAGAGACTGGGGCTCCCGACGGCATGCTGGGACAGAGATGAGAGGCTCGGTTTGGTGGCCAAGACGGAATCCGGAAGCTGTTGGTAAGGGATTTGGTCATCAGACGTCGAGCCCCGGGTGGGATCGGGGGAAGGAACAACGGAGCTGTTAGCAGTCATAGCTGGGGTCTCCGGGAACATGATGGGGGACATGTTCTGAGGACTGGAGGAGATCGAAGAGGAGCTGATGGCAGAGGGCGGAATAGTAGAGTAGTAAAACGTCGCTGGGTGCGACGTTATGTTGGTAGTCTGGACGTTAACCGGTCGGGGCCGGCGCATTGACATGGCTTGAGTTATCATGTTACTGGGCCGTAGAGATGGTGAGTTTGCCGGGCGCGTTGTTATGTGGCTTGTGGTAGACATGTTGGTCGATGTGGAAAGGAGAGGATTCAATGGTGCGTGGAGGCGAGGTGTTGAGAATATGTATGGGTTGCTAGTATCAAGGTGTTACAGCAAACCAGATGAGCTTAGGCCAGGCAGGCTTCTATCCATAGCAGCTTCATTGGCCTGGCTCCTCTTTCGTGGGTTGAGACGTTGATGGTATTCAAGGGTAAGTGAGGCAAGGGGACAGAGGAAGTAGGAGAGGGTGAGGGAGGGCGCGGGATAGATATATATATATATATGAAAAGATACCCGGGTATGTATATGATATATGCAGATGGGTCAGGAAGCAACTTCAAGAGGTCAACGTTGTGCCACCTCCGTTCACAGGCCCCTCTAGAGAGGGGGTAACCGTAGAGCCGGTGTCCCTGTGGGATGTCAGGTCAGGGTGCTGCTGTTGGGTTCTCTCGGGAGACAGCTTGCACTCCACCTTGGGCACGTCAAGCGAATGAATGGCGAGTAGTTGGGGGTTCCAATTGGGCGCGGAGGTTAAGGATTGCCGAGACTTCTGAAGCAGGAAACTTTTCGTAAGAAGCTAGCAGAGACGGCCAATGGGTCATCGAGACGTGGTCGCGTACAACTCCAAGGATGGTGCGAGAGCTGGCTCGTTCCTGGGAAACTGGTCGCTGCCGCGTTCCAGGTCCGAGGTGCTCCTAGGGCCAATATATTGCGCTGAGAGATATGCAGGTGGGAGGCAGCTTATCTAGAAGATGCAGGTGATCCCCACAGAACTGACGACTGCAAGAAACCCCGGATGACCTGTTTCGCGCAACCTGGGGGTGGGAGTGGACCGTTTCCAAAGGCCCGCGGGATGTGCTGCACGGCTATGGCGTTCCAGTAAGACGACGGAAAAGTTGATATGTGAGAAAGAATGGACGAGAGAAGACAAGCCAAAATCGATGGCGGGTGCCTCGGGCTGGAGTCGCAATCCAGGTCTAAGTACTCCTGATACGGTCTTGTAGATCTCCAGCAAACGTCGCAGAGAGTCTGAACCAGCGGACTCTTCCAAATCGCGCGTGCACGCTCTCCGAAAAATGGCTTCCACGGGGTGAAAAAGAATAGTTAGGGCGAGTGCCGCGGTGTTTGGGGGCCTGGTGCAAGAGAGGATGCGTCGGCTGTCGCGGAAGCGCAAAACGTAGTAGGCGTGCGCGGATTCCTCAATGTGTCGAAGGGACCTCCTGAACAAAGGAGGCGTTATGCTGGGAGGTTGATATCCGGATGATGAGAAGAGGGTGCGCGTCAAGAAGAGCGATACACTGGGCGCATTTGGTTTTCTTTTCGTTTTGTAAAGGTGTGGAAGACAAAAGGAATGAACAATGCAAACCACTAGTATTGAGTGGAATTGAACTGAAAAGAAAAAAAAGTTGGAGCGCGCCTGATGGAGTGGAGAGTCAACGGGAAGGAGGGAAGGGAGTGCAAGGAGTGTAAGTGCTTTAAGTTGGTGGGTGCCGGGAAATTTTAATAATGTCGTGAAGGAGGATGGGGCGGGAACAAACGCATGGCTGAGTGTTATTTTGGGGGATGGGCGAGGAGACACTGCCGGGAGACCTTTCGTACTTGTACGAAATGGGCGAAGGACCTTCTGTCTGGGTGCTCTGGCTCCAGGACCGATCGACTTGGCTCCCCAAGGCACCTGGGAGCTCGGATCAAATGGATGGGTAGCCAAGGTACGGTACGCAAGCCAAGTACAGAGGGAGGGGGCGTGGATTAGCAACGCGACAGCAAATTCAAGTCCGAACCAAGACACCTCGAGGGATCCGAATGAGGAGACAGGGTTGCGTCGTGCGGAGTGCGTCGTCGGTCAGTCGGGTGTTGGGGGTATAGGGTGGGAAAGGGTGTGTGCAAGTGAGCGTGTGTGCGTGGTACTTGGGCTGGTCAAACCCAGTTACAAAACCCTGAGTGGAGTGACTGCACCTGCTGTAGCGGTACTTTCTTTGTCACTCTTGAGATCATCAATCCTTTTGGCGGGGCAAGGGAAAAAGCTAAGGAAAGAGCAGAGCCTGAGGACAGTAACATATGATGGAAGGGAAGAAGATGGGTTGTGGTGGGGCACTCGGCTGAAGCAGAAGCGTGGTTCGAAGGCGGACAGGTACAGTACCGCCTAGCCTAGCCTGAGCGACACTCCAGGCGGTGTAGAAGCAAACACGGAAGGTGGGTGGGCTTTTGGGGTTCTTCCTTGCCTCTCGACGTGCAATTGCTGGTTTGTCCGTTTGACTTGGCTGGCCAAGGACCTGAAATTGGGGTACCGTGCGGTTTGTATCAATTTCTGGAGACTGTGAAGCTGGCTGGTTGAGGGGCGGGCCGTCTGCCTTCTACCTTCTGCCTTGCCCCCAACCTTCAATGAGCACACATCCATCCATGGATAGATCCATATTCACTTTTACATGGCGAGTTGGTGGCCAATTATGGCACAGAATGGCACAGCAGGGGCGTGGCCCCAGTTATTTTCCCTTTGAGCAGACACTCGCTGATGCGGCGGATAGGTCAGGACCGGCCACGGGTTTCTGTCTCCCTCTCTTCCTTTAGAGGAGAAAAGAAGAAGAAAAGAAGAACTGAAAGTAGACTGAAAAGAGAGAGCACGGGAGAGGATGAAAGCGAGCTACCAGGGAGGGGGTGTGTGGGAAATAGGAGGTGTGGCAAAAGGGCTGGGGAAAAAAAGAAGAAGAAGGAAAGAAAAGAAAAGAAAAAAAGAAAACGACGTAAGAAAAAAATTAAACACCAAACCCGGTGGAACGGACTGTGTGGGAAGGGGCGATGGCATAGAAGCGGCGGCGACGCCTACCAATGGTCAGAAACAAAACCTGGTGCCAGCACCAGGTCAGTCAGTCACGACCAAGGCCAAGGCGTTCCCTTTTCGTCATATCAATTTGGTTTCTCCTATCGGAAAGGGGATGCAAGAAATTAATTTCTCCCACAGCAATGGGGGCATGGCCTCGAGGAGTCATTCCCATGGTCCTTATGTGGATTAGCCTCACAACATTCCGCCGCAGAAAGGAACTCAAACCCTCCTCGAAGAAAAAGGAAAGAATAATAATAATAATAATTATAATAATAATACAAAGAATAAGTCAGACGAGAAACAAGTTACGTGTATCTGGCTAGCATGGGGTAAACCCAGCGACAGACCGCCAGATCCGAATTGTTGACTTCTCATCTGTGTTAGCAAGAAACGAAAGCGGAGACCAAGAAGCCAAAAAGATTGTGAGGGTGATGTGGAGTCGAGGTGACTCAAACTAGAAATCAAGAAGGGAAAAAAAAAAAACGAGTGGAAAAAGAAAAAAGGATAAAAAGAAGCAAAGACTGCAAAACCGACTTTTCAAAATCAACAAATAACAATAAGGGTCACTCAAGTCAGTCATCCAGGCGTCTCAGTCACTCATCCCGTCCAGGAGATCCTCCCCACCAGATCTGCCTTTGGATTAGACGCAAGCATCAATAACCAAGCATGATAGGTAGCTTTCTTGCTCCCTTTGCTTCCAGGACGTGCGAATCATTGGAGTGACTCGACAAAATGCCCGCAGTGTCCTCTTTGGGGATATATATAGAGAAAAAGATAAAAAAGATAAAAAGAGATAAAAACGGAAGGGCGGCCCATCACTTAAAAGTGAGAATAAGGCTTCTCGTTTTCGGTGTAAAGTGAACTTGCAATCATCCCAAAGTTACATGCGCACTTGCACTGGCGCCCAACGGCGGTGGCTGCCCGCTCAATAGGTGTCTCAGTTTCCATTTCCACCGAAACAAAAGGAACCTTCGCACGTTTCTGGATCGGAGTCGGCCAGCCTAGCCTAACACGAGAAGAATGCAGCGGTGGAGCTGCCCTTGTCCGGGACACTCACGCGCGTATTCGCACACCCTCCCTTGAACGAGGAACGAAAATTCCAGCAAAGGAGGGAATGGGGTAGAAAGAAGAGAGTAGAAACTTGAGGGCCAAGGAAAATTTTTGCGCCTTGGTTTAATCTTATCCTAGCTCGGAAAAAGAATACGACCAGTTGCGTCTGACTCGAGCTTGACTTGCATTACGCTCGGGTTCCCCAGGACTTAAAAGCGTGGGAAGAGTTTTTATCGTCGCTCCGCCCATACTCTTTTAGGGTCTGTCAGTCGAATTAGTCTTGAATTTTCTGCCGTTCGCGGCCAGTATCAATGCAGACCCGCCTGCTCCTTTCAAATCGGGAACTGTCCGCCGGCTCATGTGGTTCCCCGTTTAGTAATGCGCCGGATGGCAAGCCTTACAACCCCAGACCCAAACCCTATCAACGTAGATCATCTTTGAAACAAAAAAAAAAAAGGGGAGGGAACTAATAAAAGGATGGGGAACGGGGAAATTTTTGTTCTGCTGAAAAATGACTGGAATGGGAAAATTGCGGCCCGCTGGAGTCACCGAGAAATTCAATGCAAGGGAAGCTCATCGCGGATGCGTGTATAAGATGCTGTAAGTGGTAGTGTCTCACGCCATGAATATCTACGAATATCTACTCACACCTCGTCAAGCGGGCTCTGTATATCTCATTCAAAGAAAGCAAGGTGACGCAACGCGCTCTGGGTCAACCAGAGGCGAGTGCTGGAGGAGCGAAGTTGCAAATCTTAACTCCAGCTATAGGTAGCGATTTACGGCATTGTGTAAGTTGAATAGCGGCAGCTGGCAGCGGTGGGACGACGAGGGCTTGAGTGGCCCCGTCACTTCCCTCTCTCCCCGTCTTTAGGTTTTCCGGATTTTGCTTTAGTCTGTTTTATTTAATTTATTTTTATTCGGGTTTGGGCTTTGCTGCCAGCAGTGCGAGGAGGAGATGGACGATCCATTGGATCCATCCGATCCCCGTGCCCCTTCTTTCCCCAAGCAACGGAATTCTAGACTCTCTTGGACAAGCACTGCCAACTCGCTAGCGCAAGGTTCGACGGTACATTGGCTGGCTCTTGGCCTTTTTCTATCCATTGACACCTTGTAACGAATTCCTACCACCCAACGGCTGTGGTTGCCGATGGCC